TAAGTAAACCAGAAAGACAAATACCATATGGTCTCATATGTAGAACCTAAACAAAACAAACAAACAAGAACACAAGCTCATAGATACACAGAACAGATCAGTGGTTGACAGAGGTAAAGGGTTCAGGGCCCTACCTAGTTTGGCTCAATGGATAGAGTGTCAGCCTGTGGACTGAAGGGTCCCAGGTTCGATTCCGGTCAAGGGCACATGCCTACATTGTAGGCTTGGTTCCCCAGTGGGGGACGTGCAGGAGGCAGCCAATTAATGATCCTCTCTCATTATTGATTTTTCTACCTTTCTCTCTCCCTTCTTCTCTGAAATCAATAAAAATATATTTTTAAAAAGGGATTTAGGGTAGGGGAAATGGATGAAGGGGGTCAAAGGTATAAACTTTTAGTAATAATGTAAATCCTGGTGATAAATGTATAGCATGGTGACCATAGTTAATAATACTGTATTGTATATTTTAAAGTTGCTAAAAGAGTAGATCTTAGAAGTTCTCATCACTAGAAAAAAATGTATGTGTGGTGACATGTGTTAACTATATTTTGTGGTCACCATTTGCTTTATATACAAATATCAAATCATTTTGTACCCCAAAAATTAATCTATTATATGTCAATTACATCTCAACTTAATAAAAACAACACAGATTTCTAGAACACCAGCAAATTGTATTGCCAATTAGTCACCAAGTTCTTAGGTCATTAGGCAGATGACAACCTGCAAATCCAATCCATGAAATAGCATACCAAAAGGCTACACACATACATACTAATAAAAGCCTAGGTGGCCCTGACCAGTTTGGCTCAGCAGCTAGAGCATCAGCCTACGGATGTACCTTGGTTGTGGACACATCCCCAGTAGAAGGTGTGCAAGAGGCAGCTGATTGATGTTTCTCTTCCATTGGTGTTTCTTTCTATCCCTCTCTCTTGCTCTCTGTAAAAAATCAATAAAACATGCGGAGACTGGTTTGGCTCAATGGATAGAGCGTCGGCTTGGGGACTGAAAGGTCCCGGGTTCGATTCCCGGCAAGGGCATGTACCTTGGTTGCGAGCATATCCCCAGTAGGGGGTGTGCAAGAGGCGGCTGATCGATGACTCTCTCTCATCGATGTTTCTAGCTCTCTCTCTCTCTCCCTTCCTCTCTGTACAAAATCAATAAAATCTATTTAAATATGTATATATATTAAAATGCCCTCACACCATCACAAGAGAGCTATGGGCACAGTGAAGGCAGGGTTCCCACAGCCCTGCCATTGCACCACAGGGGCGGGGCCTCGGCAGCTACTCAGGGCAGGTTCCACCGGGGTTCCCGTGGCCCTGTACCTGTGGAGGCAGGACCCCTGGCTCCAGCCTACCTTTTTGGGGCAATCCATTGAGGAGCCCTGGATGGGTGGGCAGGGCCTACCTCTTTGGGGTGATCTTACACTGGGCTCCCGCACTGAGAGGGCACGGGCCAGGCTGGGGGAATCCCCCCCCACACCCCTGTCCTCCTAAGTGCATGAATTTCATGCACTGAACCTCTAGTTATTCCATAAAAAAGGGAGCCTCACTGCTTTTCATAAATTCTGTAAAGTTGATTGTATTCAGTATTGAACTTTAAATTCCAAATTGGAATTTGGTGGTGATGGAAGAGATTGGGTGGTCCATACACTAAAATAATTGGATAACAGTTGAGGGTTAAGGAAAAGGGCTGGGAAATGTGGTGGGCCAACCACTTGCTAACCAGGAAGGCTGAGACTTTTCACCAAGGCAGCAGTGACCAGGCAAGGTAGAATGCCCTACTCTGCAGACAAGAGCCCCTGCAAATGAATGGTGAGCCTTTGACATGAGTTCCTGGTTAATAACACACTGGAAGTTAAACTAGTGCTCTAAGAACATTTTAAACATAACTTTGAAATACAGATGTGGTAGTGTTCATCAAAAGAAATAAATGGCCTTAGTTGGTTTAGCTCAGTGGATAGAGCTTTGGAGGGAACTGGTCCCGATTGGATTCCAGTCAGGGGCACATGCCCAGGTTGTGGGCTGGATTCGCAGTAGGGGGTGTGTGGGAGGCAACCGCAGGCAGCCAATCAATTATTCTCATCATTAATGTTTCTTTTTTTAAAAATATATTTTACTGGAGAAACCAAGATGGCGGCATAGGTAAATGCCTAACTGCAGCCTCACACAACTATTTCAAAAAATACAACTAAAATATAAAGTGAACATCATCCAGAACTACAGGAAAGTTGACTGACTGGAAATTGTACAACTAGAAGGAAAGAGGAAACCAGAAGGAAAATCAGAGGAGCTGTAAAAGCCTAAGGTATGGAGACACGGTGTGCGCGTGGGGAGAGGATGGAGCCGGAGAAGAGGGTCGGCCAAGTGCCTGGCTGGCATTCCCTAACAGGAAGAAAATAAAAGCTCTGGACTGTGCTGAGCCCAGTTTTGACTGCACTGAACCCCAGTTCTGGGTGAGACCCTGGGGACCCAGGCTCATACAGAGGGATTCTAAGCTGTAAGGCGGAAACTCAGGGGAGCCCCAGAGTTGTGCACATTGCACACAGAGGACGGACTGTTGACTGTACTGCTGGATTGCCCTAGCGGGAAGGAGACAAAAGCTCCAAACCGTACTAAGCCCCAGTTCCAACTGCACTGAACCCCAGTTCTAGACCAGACCCTGGGGACCCAAGTTCATATGGAGGGAATCTGGGCTATAAGGCAGAAACTCAGGGAAGCGGCGAAAGACAGAGCCCCAGAGTCTCGCACGTTGCGCACAGAGGACGGACTGTGCCACTGGATTGCCCAAACAGGAAAGAGACAAAAGCTCTGTACTGCACTGAACCCCAGTTCCGGGCTCATTGGGGGAGAGATTAGACTGTCTGGTAGTGGGCAAAACTCGAGGGCACCTTTCTCTCAGAGGTGCTTGCAGTGAGTACCAAAGGACACTGAGGAACACTGAGACTCAGGAACCTCACAGGGCGGGGCTGACAGGAAGCCAAGGCTGTAGGCTCCACACTGAAACTCCGTCCCATCCAAGCTGAGCACGGAGGATTTTGAATAAGGCTGTCTCCTGGCATAGACACAGCTGATCTTCACAGCCAATTGGCCTGGAGGTCAGTTCCTCCCAGTGATACCAACAACAATTAAGACTTAACTACAAAAGGCTGTACACACAGTCCACAAAGGGGTGCACCAAGAGGGTCTACCTCAGGTAACTGGGAGGCTGACCCACTGAACCATATAGGACACTAACACACAAAGCCTCCCTACCAACGCAGGGAAGCAGTGAAAATGCCGAGACAAGGAAATAGATCACAAACAAAAGAAATGGAGGACAAAAAGTGATTGGATATAGAGTTCAAAACCATGCTTATAAGGTTTTTCAAGAATTTCCTAGAAAAGGCCGATAAAATAAACGAGACCTATGAGGAGATGAAAAGGGATCAACTAGAAATAAAGAATACATTGTTTGAAATAAAAAAAAAATTATACAGAGTTCTAAAAACAGAATGGAAGATCCCAAGAATCAAGTCATAGATTTGGAACACAAAGAGCCAGAGAACACTCCTCCGCAGAAGCGAGAAGACAAGAAAATCCAGAAAGTTGAAGATAGTGTAAGAAACCTCTGGGACAACTTCAAGCAAACCAACATCAGAATTATGGGGGTCCCAGAAGATGAGAGAGCAAGATATCGAAAACATACTGAAAGAAATAGTGACAGAAAACTTTCCCCACCTGGTGAAAGAAATAGATTTACAAGTCCAGGAAGCGCATAGAACCCCAAACAAAAGGAACCCAAAGTGGACCACACCAAGATACATCATAATTAAAATTCCAAGAGCAAAAGACAAAGAATATTAAAAGCAGCAAGAGAGAAAAAGGTAGTTACCTATAAAGGAGCAACCATATGATTGTCAGCTGATTTCTCAACAGAAACCATGCAGGCCAGACGGGAATGGCAAGAAATATTCAAGGTGATGAATCACAAGAACCTACAGCCAAAAATACTCTACCCAGCAAAGCTATCACTCAGAATCTAAGGCCAGATAAAGAGCTTCACTAATAAAAAAAAGCTAAAGGAGTTCATCACCACCAAACCAGAATTATATGAATTGCTGAAGGGGGTTATTTAGGAAGAGGAAGAAAATAAAGATAAAAATTATGATCAACAAATACGTAACTATCAACAAGTGAATCTAAAAACCAAGGAAATTAAAAAAAACCTGATGAACAATATTAACTGTTGAATATAATAGAATCAGAGGTATGGAAGGGGAGTGGACTGACGATTCACTGGGAGGTGCGGGAAGAGACTGAACATAAACCATGCACCTATGGATGAGGACAATGGGAAGTGGGGAAAGGGCAGAGGGTGGGGTGGGAATTTGGTGGAGGGGGAAAAAAATGAGAACTTTTGTAATAATATGAACAATAAAGATTTATTTAAAAATATATATATATATTTTACTGATTTTTTACAGATAGGAAGATAGAGTGATAGCCAGAAACATCCATGAGAGAAACATCCATCAGCTGCCTCCTGCACACCCCCCACTAGGGAATGTGCCCACAACCAAGGTACATGCCCTGGATAGGAATCGAACTGGGGACCCCTCGTCTGCAGGCCCACGCTCTTATCCAATTAACCAAACCTAGCAAACTAGCACTCATCGTTAATGTTTCTCCCTCTCCCTCTACCTTCCTCTCTGAAATCAATAAAAATATTTTTTTACAAAAGATATAAATGAATTCGTGTCAATTTCAGAATATTCCCATTCATGGTAAAACTTACTGGTTTATTCAGTTTTGTTATATTTTAGATATTGATAAACCAACCATGATCCTTTTTAAGTTTTCTATTTCCCTCTTCTGAAAGCTTTATATGTCTGGTTCTTCTATTATATCCTTATATTCTACAAATACTTCCTGTTCTTCTGATGAATACGGTGTTTTGTTTATGTTAGGCTAGGACCACGTTAGTCTTGTAACTTGGCTGGTCCTGCTGTTGAGATGATGGAAGAAAGGGGTGACAGTCTCACCCCAGGAACTTTCTCAAAGTTGAGCCTCCTCTGCTGCCCACACTCTCTCCCCATACTGCACCTGGTAACGGCAAGGGCAGATCCGCCTCCAAATCTCCGAATCAGCGTGGCCTCGGGACCCCTTTCGACAGCAGCACAGTCACGGCTCTTCTCGGGCTCCATTCATTCGCCTTCAGGTTGGTTCCATGATTTGGGAGCCTGGCCGGGCCTGAAGCAGGGCCTGGGGTAATCGAGACAAAAAGAGGTTGGCTCCAGAAGGAGGGCGTTCCAATAGGTTCCAGCTGGGTCCTTCCCTTCAAGCAGCTCAAGCAGCGGCATTTTCACGGTGGCTGTATCCATAGACTCAGGTCAGGACCCAGGCGCGCCTTGTCTGCCTGCTCGCTGGGCCCGCGCCGCAGAGTTCTAGCGTGAGCAGGGGCCAGCGCACAAACGCGCGGGGGCGCGGCCCCTGGGCAGATGCGGGACACTCCCCGCGTGACCAGGGCCGCCTCCGTGCCCGGCAGCAGGCGGCCGCCTCCCCTCGCCCGCCCGATGCTCTGCTGTGCGCCGGGGGGAATATCTCCAGGTGGTGCCAAGTGCTGTGGCTTACTTCAATGACCTTCTCATCCACAGGCAGGTTTTCTCCTCCTTCCTTTCCCCTCAGGGATACCCGCCTCTCACGTGTGCGCATCCTGTCAAACCTTGCTTTAGCTTCTGTATGGAGCCTTTCTCTCTTTCCCCACTCCGCACACCAGGAAACCTTTGGCTGGTGCTGCCAAACGGTATAAAAGGGCCCTGTGGCTCCCTGGGTATAACTTATGTGGGTATAATTTAAAACAAAACAAAAATATTTCATTGATTTTTTTTTTTTTTCAGAGAGGAAGGGAGATAGTTAGAAACATCAGCTGCTTTCTGCACACCCCCTACTGGGGATGTGCCCGCAACCAAGGTACATGCCCTTGACCTGAATCGAACCTGGGACCCTTCAGTCCCCAGGCTGACGCTCTATCCACTGAGTCAAACCAGTCAGGGCTATGTGCGTATAATTTTAACAGCAAAACTGGACAAGAACAGTACAGAAAAGGAAAACTATCAGCAAAATTACTCATAATCTCAGGCATAAAATTATGAGTTGTTTATTTGTAGTCGATTTCATAGAGGAAGGGAGAGGTAGAGAGAGAGAGAGAAACATCAATGATGGGAGAGAATCATTGATTGGCTGCCTCTTGCATGCCCCCCACTGTTGAGATAGAAATGATGATAAAGCTCAGGCGGTATGGCTCAATGGTTGAGCATCGATTTATGGGCCAGGAGGTCATTGATTCCCGATCAGGCCCAGGTGGGGCTTGATCCCCAGTGTGGAGCGTGCAGGAGGCAGCTGATCAATGATTCTCTCTCATCATTGATGTTTTTCTCTCTACCTCTCCCTTCCTTTCTGAAATCAATAAAAATATATTTTTTTAAAAAGAAAAAAATTATGATAAAGGACAACATTTTCTTGCTTGATACTGATATCAACAGAAAATTTTCACAGTTTCAACACCAAGAGTGAAATTTATTATAGATTTTTTTTTATGGATGCCCTTTAACGGATTAAGAAAATTTCCATCTATTCCTAGTTTTTAAAATCATGAAAAAAGTTGCAATTTATCAACTGCTTTGGCATCTATTGTAATGATCATATGAGTTTTCTCCTTTAATCCCTTAATGTGGCAAATTATGTTAATTTTCTAATGTTAAAGTCCAAACTTGATTTTCTGGGACAAATGCAACTTAGTCAGAAAACATTTTCCTTTTTATACATTGCTGGTTTTTATATTAGTTAGAACAGTTTTTTGATGCTTAGAATTTTTTTGCATTGAGTAAATTTGGCCTGTAATTTTTTTTTTTCATATTGTCCTCATTAGGTTTTGATGTAAAGATTAGTATAATTCTCATAAAACAAGTTGGAAAATGTTCCCTCTTTTTCTATTTTCTTTTTTTTAAAATATATTTTATTGATTTTTTTTACAGAGAGGAAGGGAGAGAGATGGAGAGCTAGAAACATCGATGAGAGAGAAACATTGACCAGCTGCCTCTTGCACACCCTCTACTGGGGATATGCCTGCAACCAAAATACATGCCCCTGACCAGAATCAAACCTGGGACCTTTCAGTCCACAGACCGATGCTCTACCGCTGAGCCAAACTGGTTTTGGCCTCTTTTCCTATTTTCTTAGAGAGTTTGTGAAATATTGAAACCATACCAGTTTAAAGAAAGAATTTAATTTAGGAAGGTGTGTAAACAAGTATTAGAGAACTAAAAAGGAACTGCAGTAACACAGAGATAGTAAATCTAGGAAGTAGATACTATCCTGGTGATAAACATACAAAGAAAAGAGGTTGGGTTATTAAAAACGATAGACTTGTAAGCCAGTCAATGAAAGAAAAACACCACATGATCTCACTAATTTATGGATAATAAAGAACATTATAAAGTGATGAACAAAAAGATAGATACAGAGACAGTAAAGCAACAGTCAAATTACAGCGGGAGGGTTAGGGAGATAGGGGGAGATAAGAGATCAACCGAAGGACTTGTATGCATGCATACAAGCATAACCAATGGACCCAAAACTCGGGGGGGGGGGGGGGGGGGGCATGTACCAGAGTGTGGGGGGGCAATGATAAGATATGTACACATATAATACCTTAACTAAAAAAATGAAAAACAAAAACAAACTATGGACTTGGAGAAGGGACCTAAGGAAGCTGGGACACAGATATCTGAGGAGGGGTGCTCTCTAGCTGTCCAAGTTCCTCAGGAATCACATAAAAGACTTAGTCAGTCCTCAGTCCTTGAAAGTTTGTTTTACTTCTAGTTTACTGTTATAGAAAGCAATTCCTCTTTTCTTAAGGAATCTTCTATCTTTCAGAAAATCATCATAATGTACTAAATTTGACAGCATGGCGGTGAAAAGACACTTCAGTACCACATATAAACCTATAGTGTCCACAATGTGTATGGCATTCTGCATGTGGCATGGGGGTGAGAGGCCCCACTGGGTATCTCTTTTGCCTTCCAAAAATTTGTTGAATTCTTTCATTTCTTTATCTATCCTTTCTAATTTTTAAAATCTTTTTTATTCCTTTCTATAATTTTAATGCGATTTTGAGTTTCATGCAATGCATGTAATCAAATCATCCTTAACCATTAATCATATGTAAATTAATTTGTAAGTTATAAATATATTGTTTTATATTTATTAAATTATTCATTATACATTACAAAGTGTATTAAAATTAATTTGTAACTTTGACATTTTTATAACATTTCTTCTTCTAATATCAGCATTTGTTTTCTAGGTTCAAAGGAAAACATTAAACATCAAAATTAAAAATGAGTTACAACCTTATATTGATATAAAACCTATTAGCAAATAAGATGTTAGGAAAGAAACTATTTCAGAAGAAGTAAAGGATATCACTAGTTTATTCAAGAAAGAAACAGAAATGATGGAGAAGCCTGGATTTATTAAAGAAACATCAGGTTTATTAAAGGAAGCTTCTGATGGGAAACCTTCTAATCAGATTTATAAAACACATCTGGGAATGGATATATTAGGGACACATTGTGGTACAGCAACATCCTCTTCTGAACGTAAGCCTAAGAATAATGAAGAAGGTCTATCATTAACAACTGAGATGACTGCTGAATATCAGGCTTCTGTTGACTTCCTATCTCATGAAATATTAGGAAAAAATAGCCTACAATTCTCTGAAGAGTATCAGAAAGGACTTGACGAAAAGCCAGATAACTTTACTATTAACCTCAAGGCCAAGGGTTTACAAGAATTCCCTAAGAGCATTATAAAAACAAAATATCTAAAATATCTATATTTAGACCAGAACAAAATCAAAGGTTTTAAAAGAGCAGACTTAACTGAGCTGCTAGGACTTGAAATTCTATCCTTGCAAGACAATGGGTTATCATCATTTCCATCTGAAATTCAGTTACTTCATAATTTAAGGATATTAAATGTCAGTCACAACCAAATATCACATATTCCTAAAGAAATATCACAGCTTGAGAATATCAGGCAACTCTTTTTAAATTACAATGGCATGGAGAATTTTCCTTCTGGCTTAGAAAACCTTAGAAAGTTGGAAATTTTAAATTTGGCTAATAACAACTTAAAATGTATACCAGATACTTTGTCTAGTTTAAAAAACTTGAGCGTTCTCAATTTGGAATACAACCAGTTAACAATATTTCCTAAAGTTTTGTGCTTCCTTTCAAAGTTAATTTCACTAAACCTTACTGGAAACCTGATAAGCAGTTTGCCTAAGGAAATTAGGGAGCTTAAACATTTAGAAAAACTTTTACTGGCTCACAATAAACTTACATTTTTGTCGGTGGAAATTTTTCAATTGTTCAAAATGCAAGAACTCCAACTGAATGACAATAAATTAGAAGTTATTTCACACAGAATTGAAAATTTTAGGATACTTAGGATTCTAATACTTGATAAAAATTTATTGAAAGAAATACCAGAGAATATTTCCCACTGTGTAATGTTGGAATGCCTTAGCCTCAGTGATAATCAATTAACAAAACTTCCTAAGAACATCCATAAGCTTAAAAATTTAAGAATCTTCAATGTAAATAGAAATAATATAATGAGAATACCTGAAGATATCTCACATTTTAATAATATGCTTAGCTTAGGATTGTCAGGAAATATAATCATAGATGTTCCCATTGAAATAAAAAACTGTAAGAAAATAACTAAAGTTGAGTTGAGTTATAATAAAATAACGTATTTTCCAATAGGTCTGTGTGCTTTAGAGTACCTTTATTATTTGATTATTAATGGAAATTATATTTCAGAAATACCTGTGGATATATCTTTCAGTAAACAATTGCTTCACTTAGAGTTTAATGAAAACAAACTCCTCATATTTTCTGAGCACTTATGTTCTCTTATTAATCTTCAATACCTGGATCTTAGTAAAAACCAAATAAGGACAATTCCATCATCTATTTCCAATATGGAATCACTCCATGTTCTTATTTTAAGCTGTAATAAATTTGAAACTTTCCCTAAACAAGTGTGTACTTTAGCAAATTTGCAAGTACTTGATATTTCAGAAAACCAAATACAAAATATCCCTTCAGCGATCTATAACTTAAAAAAAATCCAGAAATTAAATATCTCAAGCAACCAATTTTTGTATTTTCCTGTTGAACTGTGTCAACTACAATCACTGAAAGAGCTGAATATGAGTCAGAAAAATGGGAGAAAGGTAAGAGACTGCTGTTTTGGGATTTGGGGGAAGGTGGGACTGGAGGGGATCAGAATCTATGATGTAGTAAATGTGTATGTGTGTTTTAAATTTAGTTGGATGTCTTATTTCTAAAGGATAGGCTTTTTATAACCTCAAACATGGCTTACAAATACATTTCTCAACACAACGTTTTATAGAAAAACTAGAGGCTGGGTGCATGAAATTTGTGCATGAAAGGGGGTGTCCCTCAGCCCAGCCTGCACCCCCTCTAACCTGGGACCTCTCAGGGGATGTCCGACTGCTGGTTTAGGCCCGATCCCTGGGATTGGCAGACTGACATCTCTATCACAATCCTGGACTGCTGGCTCCTACCTGCTCACCTGTGTGCCTGCCTGATCACCCCTAACCAACGCCTTCCAGCCTGGTCACCCCTGACTGCCCTCCTGCCAGCCTGATCACCCTTAACTGCTTCTGCCTGCTGACCTGATCATCCCCAACTGTCCTCTTCTCTGCCATCCTGGTCACCCCACACATCCTGCTGCTCAGTCATTTGGTTGTCACTCACTAACCCCTCTTCCAGCCTGATTGCCCCATGCAGTCTATTTTGTTGTCCATTTGGTTGCAACAGTTGCTTAAGCTTTTATATAGATAGATATTTCAAATCATATAGAATTGGTAGCCTGGATCAGTATTTGGATATCACACAATACGTGGTGAGTTTTAGCAAAGTAGTCACATGAATTTGTGATATATGAAAATATCTCCCTTTTAAAACAACAAAAAAAATTCTTCCATTTGATTTTAGAAGTTTTAGTCATAGAAATATTTATTAAAAATATAATTGTTTAATATTTGTACAGTTATCAAGACTTCCACAAGAACTGATTAAAATGACTCAACTTAAAGGACTTGATATCTCAAATAATGCAATCAGAGAACTTCCAAGAAATATAGGGGAAATGAAAAGCTTGGTCAGTTTACATGCATACAACAATCAAATAAGATATCTGCCACCATCTATTCTATCTTTAAAACAACTTCAGGAACTAAACTTGAGTGGTGAGTGTCAAGCAAAATCAATAAGTAGAGTGTTAGTGTTTAGGTTGCAAATTTTACCAGTAAGACATAACAGCAAACTGGTAAGATAATATATTAAGTGTCCATTGGGAGAAAATAGCTGTCATAGGTTCAAAAAATATGAGCAGAACATAAGGCCCAGTTCCTTCCCTGAAACAGGTTATAATCCTGCTGGGAAACCTGAGCATTTTTTCATTTTGTCTTTTCTAACTATACCCTTTCTTCTCTTTCTGAATCTGACCTCTTCCCTCCCTGTACACACATCTACCCACCCAAACTTAGGACAGTGTTTTCAGTTTTCATTTCTCTGCTAGCTCCTTTGACTCCACTCCTATACCCTATTGTATTCTAACTGGAGGCCTGGTGCACAAGTTCTGCATGGGCCTGGACAGTGAGCAGGGCTGATCAGGGCCTTCTGGCTGCCGGCCAGGGCCTTCCTTCCCTAGCTCCCGGCCGAGGCCTTCCTTCATTCTGTGCTGCCCCCTGCCCTGGTGGTCAGCGCACGTCATAGTGAGTAATCAAACTCCTGCTCTCCTGGTCAAACTCCCGAGGGGACACTTTGCATATTAGCCTTTTATATATATAGGTACCTTACAGTCTTTTACCAAGTAAATCACTACATTAACAAACATAAAGCAAATTGTTCACTCTAAAGATTTCCCAAAGCACAGAAAATACTAGGCTGGCATCCTATATAATCCTATATAATAAAAGGCTAATATGCAAATGGTTGCCATGCCCTCATGCGTAATGACCTATCAGCTGGAGGCTGCATGCACAGCAAGTGTGCGCAGGTGGACCGGGCTGCATGTGCAACCAGTCACCAGGACTACTTAGAGCACCTCTTGGTCCCTCTCCCCCAGCTCCTGTGGGCGGTGGCGGTGGCTTGCTCCCAGCTCAAACAGAAGTGGTGGGTGACATACTGCACGTGATTTTGCATGCTGGGCCACTAGTTTTTAAGAAAATAACTTACAGGAAATAATAAATACCTATGTATCTGTTCCCAGACATAAATAATGCTGATTTTGTGATATTTACTTGAGATACGATATAATGAGGCATTTCACCTCTGTGATATTATTTCCAAAAACCTATAACCTCATTCTAATCATGAGAAAATATACCAGATAAATGCAAGTTTGGGAATATTCTACAAAATACCTAACTAGTGTAACTCAAACTGTCACGACCCACAGGTTGAGAACCGCTGCTGTAGAGCCTAAGACCATTGGAAAACACAGATATTTACATTATGATTCATTAACAATAACAAAATTACAATAATGAAGTAGCAACAAAAATAATTTTATGGTTGGGGGTCACTACACCATGAGGAACTGTATTAAAGGGTTGCAGCATTAGAAAGTTTGAGAACCACTACCCTAGAAATAGTTATCTCCATAGTTTTCTTTTACAGAAAGGTACAATTTAATTATATATTTTTTCTATTAGGAAATAATCTTACAGCTCTGCCTAGTGGAATCCACAACCTTTTCTCACTGAAAGATATAAATTTTGATGATAACCCTTTGCTGAGACCTCCAATGGAAATTTGTAAAGGAAAACAGTTGTATACTATTGCATGCTATCTACAGAGGGCAGAGGAAAGAGATGGTAGGTGACAAGTGAGTGACTAGCTTACGAGTTATTTCCTAGTATTATCTGCAAATTAAAAGATAGTTTACTTCTTGGCTAGTGTGGCTCAGTGGTTGAGCATCAACTTATGAACCAAGAGGTCATGGTTACATTCCCAATCAGGGCACATGCCTGGCTTTTGGGCTTAATCCCCAGTAGGGAGCATGCAGGATGCAGCTAATCAATGATTCTCTTATCATTGATGTTTCTAGCTCTCCCTCTTCCTTCTCTCTGAAATCAATAAGAACATATTTTAAAAAATATTAAAAAGATAGTTTGCTTTAATTGGAGGCTTTAAATCTGGCAGAAACATTAAAATATCTATCATCTTCCCTCTTCAGAGGGTTAGAGTTTATTTTGGTAATTCAGATAATTTTATCTGGGTCCAATAAAATTGAATAATCAAAAACAGTTAAATCCATGTGGTCAGTGGACTGCTTCCCACCTATTGGTCTCAATGTGCTTCAATAGGTTTTTCATCATGGTTGTTGTGGTCAGACTCAGAGAATCCACACCCATATTTCTCCATCACTTTTGGTCTATATCATCATATTTAGTTGTTCTAAAAGTCATATTTGGCCTTGAAGGAAGTTCATAGATCCTTCTCACTGATGCCAGTCAGTATTTGGCCCACTATGATCACCTGTCTGCAATCCTAGGGCAGTCTTCATTTCTTCTGCCCTTATGATTGCCCTGATAATTGCATAGAGCAGGTCCATTTTCTTTAAATGTCCTTCCATTGGACCAGTGGAAACTGGTTTCTTCAAGTCTCTTGGAGGGAAGTTTCACTGTCCAATTCTTTCCATGGGACTGAGCTCTTAACAACAAAGTTTTCTCCATTACTCTTACTTTGCCACTCATTGTCAATCCTCAGAATGGATCCAGATTTAGGTCCTCCATTTTAATGTTATGAAGTATTAAATCAATTTTAATATTGTTACAGATTTGGGGAAATCTGTGTATACAAAATCTGAATATACAAAACCGTCCCCTAAAATTATTCTACTGCTTACCCTTGTCTTATATAATTAGAAGATTAGCATAATTAAGCATAATTAGCACAATATAGCATAATTATAATTAAGATTAGCATAATCTTAAAATTTAGTGAGACAGTCACAGAAAAGTGCAGTCCTCTTGTAAGCCACATCCATATTTATGGCTACCATTCAGAAGCTTTTGCAGGATTTGAGCCTCATTGATGGAAAAATCCCCAAGAAAGAAGATTAAAAGTCACAATCGCTGTTTTCTCTAACTTGCTAACCAAGTCAGTTTTGCTAATTATGATAATAAAAAAGGAATATTTTGTAGTAACTTTATTTCTGTAAAATAAAGATTTTAGGGGTTTCCAAGGAACCATAAATAATTCCTGTTAGGTAACAGTACTTTAGAGAAGTCTGTAAACTTCATGACTGAAAATTCTTGCTGAAATTCTGTTATCCCAGTTTTTGAGGAAGGATTCATGTGGTTCTAGCCTCTATGGCAAAAGTACAATGGGCAATGGCAACAGATAAAAGTCAATAAAAACAAGAGGACCCTCGCCATTTATCTTCTTTCTTTGTGGTCAATGGGCCTTTATACTGCAGGCTGGGCACCCAGAGAGTAAAGAGAATGTCATCATGGGAGATGCATTTATTGTGCAATTAACAAAGAACATGGGGTCTCTTCCTAAAAATTTTACTTAGAAGACTGGATTTTTGTTTATATCATTAGCATACAATTTAACTTGAGGGATTAATGGCATGAATAAAAAACAAATAAGCACCAGAAAACATAGAACATATTTGAGATGATTACAGAGGGGTGGGAGATTGCTAGTTCTTAAAAACTTCCAAAGTACCTTAGGTCAACAACAACAAAAAGAGTACTGTTAAAATTAGCTAGAAGCTTAAAAAAAAAATAAACTAAGAACTCTCTATATCTAAATCAACATACATTAAATAAGGGATTGGAATACAAAATATGCATATATGCACCATATATTTAAATTTAAAATTTTTATTTATTGATTTGGGACAGAGGTATTAATTTGTTACACAGTTCCATTTATTTATGCATTTTTTTGTTTTTTGTGTTAAATCCTCATCTGAGGATATATATATATATATATTTTTAGAAATCATCATTTAATAGTTCAAAATACAATATTATTCTAATACAATTAAGTCATGTTGTGTGGGATTGAGCAATAGATCACTTGTGGGCTAATGTTCTTCAACACACTATTTTGGGGGTGGGACAGAGACTATTTGGTGAACAAATTCACTTCTTTTAATCTTTGTCTTCCTACAAATCCTTTTACCAAAAGTTTGCCCAGGAAGCATATTATAAATGAAATGCATTGAATCCAACTGGTTTCAGGTAAATTAGCTAAAGATAACAGCACCGTTGGTGAGCAAAATGACAGCTAGATATGGATATGTCTCATTGATTTTTTTTTTTTTTTTTTTTTTTTTTATTTTATTTTTTTTTGATTAAGCCAGCAAGAATTTATTACAGATTCGAATCCAGGCTCAAACTGTGGCTGACGCAGCAGCCGGCAAACACCCAGATAAGAGCCCTGATGGAGGGGCAGTCCCTCCAGAGCGCTCACACAAAAACACCGACAAACACACACCTACCGCGGCCAGTCAGGCTCTCTGGATCGGGGTCCCTCATGGTCCTGGCTGAGGATCCCAGACGAATTCGTGATCCTCAAGGACCACCAGGGAGCCGAGTCCGATGCAATAAACAAAAGAGCCATCTCCATGCTAGCATCAGCCCTGTGCCACTCACGCTGGCAGCATGGTGGAAGAGAGTCATTGATTTTTTTTTTTTTAGATATAGTGTAAGGGAGGGGGGGAAAAAGGAGAGAGAGAGAAACATTGGTGTGAGAAAGACACACTTATTGCCTCTCACACATGTCCTGACTAGGAGCAGAGATGGAACCTGCTACCCAGGTACTTGGCCCTTGACTGGAACTGGAACTGCAACCATTCGGTATGTGGACTGATGCTCTAACTACTGAGAAATAGGAGCCAAGGTTATTGGTTGCTTCTTATATGTGCCCTGATTGAAGATAGAATCCACAACTTTTGTGTATTGGAACGATGCTCTAACCAGCTGAGCTACACAGCCAGGGCCTACACCATATTTATAGTTGTGAACTTGGCTTCTCAAGACAGAGAAACATTGGTGTGAGAAGGACACACTTATTACCTCTCACACATGTCCTGACTAGGAGCAGAGATGGAACCTGCTACCCCGGTACTTGGCCCTTGACTGGAACTGGAACTGCAACCATTCGGTATGTGGACTGATGCTCTAACTACTGAGAAATAGGAGCCAAGGTTATTGGTTGCTTCTTATATGTGCCCTGATTGAAGATAGAATCCACAACTTTTGTGTATTGGAACGATGCTCTAACCAGCTGAGCTACACAGCCAGGGCCTGCACCATATTTATAGTTGTGAACTTGGCTTCTCAAGACAGTGCATAAAGAAGCACATTAAACTGATAAGAACAGATACTACACTTGATCTTAGCCAAAAGGCCGAGAAGCGATATACAGAAGCACATTAAAAAGCCAGTTTGTATATCAGGTCTGCATTTTACTTTTGAATTGACATATACATTTGGTAGGAGCCCAGTAGAAACCTAGATATAACATTAGCTCAAAATACTGTATGTTTTTTAAGAGTGACAGCCTAAATTTTCTTTTATGTTCAAATGTAGAGAAAATCTTAGAGAAGATCTTGAAGATAGTTGCCAACAACATCACTGAAATAACTTTTCAATATTTGTGTCAAAAATTACATGTAATCTCAGAAATAGATATACATCCAAAGAGGTATGTATGAATGACAACATGTGATATAAAGCTTATTCTTATGTTATGACTTATATTAATACTAGAGACTTGGTACACGAATTTGTGCATGGTGAGGTCCTTCAGCTTGGCATGTGCCCTCTCGCAATCCAGGACCCCTTGGGGGATGTCGGATCAGGCCGAAACCAGCAGTCCAACATCCCCGAAGGGGTGCAGTAGTCCGTGAAGGGCAGGCAGCCGGGGCGGAGCCCGAGCCTGGGCCAGGCGCTGTGCAGCTCCCACTTATCCCGGCCCCCAGTGCGCCTGCCTCTGTCACCACTAGGTAGTGCTGCCTCAGCTGCGCTCAACAGATGAGAGCCTGGTGACACTCATTAGTCAGCTGAGCAGTGGCACACTCTCCTATTGTGGAAGCACACTGACCAGCAGGGGGCAGCTCCTGCATTGATCACCTGCCCCCTACTGATCAGTGTGCATCATAGTGACTGGTCGTTACATGATTTTTATATGGACCAGTCATTCTCTTGTTCGGTCACTTAGGCTTTTATATATAGATTGCATAACTGTGAGACAATCATATTAACATGAACTCTAATTTGCTATAAAATATTTATTTTAGTTTATTGTACTTGAGATCCCTGTGGATATAGGTAATAGTTAAGAACAAGGGCTCAGAGGACTGACTGCTTAGCTTTAAATCCCAACCAATTTTGTGACCTTATATAATTCCTTTATCTTTTCCGTGCCTTAGTTTCTTCACTGGTAAAATGGATACCCTTAGCTAAGAGAGTTGTCATGAAATCAAGTTCCATAGCATGGGGAACTGTAGCAGTAGTGTACTGGTTTATAGTAAGTAATCCATAATTATTGTTTTGAGGTCTTGAGTAAATCAGAATTGACTGTTAATTGAATTGTCGATTTTCTACAAAGAAGCAACGGGTGGCATGGGGCTAACATTTTCTTTCTGCTAAATTTTTATATGGACTATCTTTACCAATTAATGTAATCCTCACTTCAATATGATAAATTAGTTTTAAAACCTAGACATATCATATTTAAGTAGTTTAAAACAACGTTCTCTACATAATTATTATTTAAAAACTTTTTCAGTACTCTTTCACTAAGCGAGAAAGCCCAGCGAGCACTTGATAAATGGAAAATGGAACACAGCAACTTGTCCACTGATGCTTTAAGAGACCAACTAACCCGGGTGCTAACTATGATAGGAGCATATGAAATTATGGACAAAATAACAGCTTTTCAACTTTCTGCATGCACAATCAAATTCTGAACAGTGTATCCATAATAAAAGCTGAAAACTTAGGATGCACTTTATAATTAAAACTGGATATAAGAGAATTGCATGTCATTTCTCTTAATATGCATTTCTAAGATGATGACAATTTATATGTTAAAATAAAATATCAGACACTGTTTTGTGTATTTGTTCTATTGCTCTAGAATTATGATAATGAATTTTTCCATTGAACATTCTTTGTTACATAATGCTTTTATGCAACCCTAGATTTATAGGTAATATGGTTATTAGTAACTTTTATTGGAGTTAGAAAGCAAGGAAGTTTCTTTTTAGATGGTGGCTTAAAAACAGAAATCAATTGTATTACAGGAATGGGAGAGCTGTGAAACATAAACTAAGTCCTGGGTCAGTAATCCTCTAGCTAAATGTCCAGACAGGACTGGTGGAGTGGCATCTTGCCTGTCATGCATGCCTCTCCCCTTTTTCTGTCATAAACACTCTTTCATATGGGGAAGCCATTTAATATATTTTAGGTGCCGTTGAACCAGCTCTTGTCATATGCAATCCTCTTTCCCCACTCCTGAAGCTGCTAATACCAAGGTCTTCTACCCATATACCTACAGTGAATGGTCCAGGGAAAGCCATTTGATTCAAGCCAGGCCATTAAGAATTCGCTTGGGCCTTTCTGCACAGCTCTCAGGGAAGATACAATCTTTCTGCTGGTAGGTTAGGAGTCTTGGAGTCTTAGTCTATCACGTGCAGCTTCTGGTGGTTTGTTTGAGAGCTAGATAGGAAGAGGAAGATGGAACCCAGCTGTATTACTCAGGGTTCTCTAAAGAAACAGAACCAACAAGCTATGTGTGTGTATATGCATTTTTATTAGATGTAGGCTCTGTATTTCAAACCCAAGATTTCCTGGATCCAGAACCCATAGTTGTCTCTCTGACAGACACATGGCTTCTAAAACATAAGCTTTTCAACAAAAGGTGCCAGGACAACTGAATAGACATATGCAAAAGAATGGACCCCTTGCCGGGACCGGTTAGGCTCAGTGGATAGAGCGTCGGCCTGCGGACTGAAAGGTCCCGGGTTCGATTCCTGGCAAGGGCATGTACCTTGGTTGCGGGCACATCCCCAGTAGGGGGTGTGCAAGAGGCAGCTGATCGATGATTCTCTCTCATCGATGTTTCTAACTCTCTATCTCTCTCTTCCTCTCTGTGAAAAATCAATAAAATATATTTTAAAAAAATCAATAAAAAAAAAAGAATGGACCCGTATCTCATGTGATATACAAACATTAATTCAAAATGGATTGGTCTTATGCATACGAGATAAAACTATAGAATTCTTAGCCAAAAACTGGTTTGGCTCAGTGGATAGAGCATCGAACTGTGGACTGAAAGGTCCCAGGTTTGATTCCAGCCAAGGGCATATACATTGGTTGCAGGCACATCCCTGGTAGGGGGTGTGCAGGAGGCAGCTGGTTGATGTTTTTCTCTCTTCAATGTTTCTAGCTATCTATTCCTCTCCCTTCCTTCCTGTAAAAAGTCAATAAAATATATTTTTTAAAAAAATTTTTAGAATTCTTAGAAGAAAACACAGGCATAATTCTTCATGACCTTGGGCTAGGCAAAAGTTTCTGGATATGACACCAAAGGAAAGTAACAAAGGAAAAAGTGATCACTGCTGTGATCTATTATTGTAAAGATACAATTTCAAAGCTACAGCCAGGTCTTTTGTGCCACTGAAAAGTACCCAACAGCAGTAAATAGTCCTATTATTTCAAGTGCTCTAGTTGGCATGGTTTGAAACCCAGAGGATGCACAATGGGAAATCACTTCTCTTTGCATAATCATGTACAGTGTCACTTCTGTTACGAGCAGGGAGATCTGTATGAATTTAGCTGCTTTTAGGAAAATGTTTCTCTTACTTGGCCCAAAGCTGAGAAAATGTTTGTTGTGTGTGTGTGTGTGTTTGGTCCAATAAGTTACCAGAAAACTACAGAAGAAATGAAGATGTACATTTCATTTCACACTGGGATAGAGACTTGAGGGGTCTAAACTTGGGGTGTCAAATGGGACAGTTTTGCATAATTGTGTCCTGTAAACTGCCCCCCTGAGGTTTGGGTGTGGGTGGGCTGTGGATCCTGGGGAAAATAATCTCTGTGGGAGGGATCAGAGTTCTCCTAAATGGAGATTGAAAAAAATATCTATATTTTATTGGTTTTTTACAGAGAGGAAGAGAGAGGTGTTGGGAGCCGAGTCCCCTGCCGACCTGAGAATCGGGGGATGGAGCAAGGGTAGGTAGCCCTGCCTGCTCTCCCCCAGGAGTCGGGTCACTTGGGGAAGTGGCAAGCAACAGTGTCCTTCGTTCTGCTGTGCGTGCAAAATTGGAATCTGCAAACATGTCCTTGAATTAACATAGCAGAGCACAGCTGGATGAACTTTCCCAGGCAGCTATCTCCCTACGTAGGTCTTAAGGAACTGGCACGTAGCCATCATGCCCTGAGAGAAGGCCATTTGGAGGAATGCCCAGCTACAGGGTATAAAAAAGTTTGCGCCTTTAATAAACTTGCTGCAGTGCCATCGAGCATTCCAGAGCTCCTGAACCCCCGCTGTTCCTGTCCTTTTCTTTTCTTTTTCCTTTTCTTTCTTTTCCTGAGCCTCCTAGCCTGATCTTCAGGACCTGCAGAACCGGCTGGATCCGGTAGAGAGGGATCGAGAGTTAGGATGAGAGAGAATGATCGATCAGCTGCCTCTTGCACACCCCCTACTGGGGATGTGCCCGCAACCAAGGTTCATGCGCTTGACCGGAATCGAACCTGGGACCTTTCCGTCCGCAGGCGGACACTCTATCCACTGAGCCAAACCGGTTTCGGCTAAATGTAGATTTTTTTTTATAGTAGGAGGGAAAGAAAGTTCCTTCACTGAGGAGCAGTGAAGTAAGTCTCCAATTGACATAAGTAAATCGTAGGCAGTACAACTAGGTACTGCTGTGTCCATGAAGAAAACTTCCAGTCCCCACTAACTGTTGAACGTTTTGTTCTTTTCCTTTAACTTTAGAAATAGACATATTTAGCATCTGATTTTGTTTTCTCTTGGGTTCTAAAATTTTATTATCTACAATCTTTCAGTAAAACTGTAAAGGTTAATTCACGCGTAGACATAGTGCGGTTTTGGGAATTTCAGTCAGAGTAGCATCCTGTTGAGGTATTAAGGCCGAGAGCTGAGATGGAAGAGCTCTCTGGCTGCAATCTGTACCGATCCAGGAGTCACAGACTATAATCCTCTCCTCCCCACCAAAATGTGTCAGAAGGTAACAGGCCGACGCTCTACCCACTGAGCCAAACCGGCTTCGGCCCAACTTGTACTTTCAATGGCTGTCCCTCACGTGTGCTTTGGGAACACCAGGCATCCTTAGTCATTTGAACATGCTGGCTCATTGAGTTTTTGCAAAGATTCAGTATCTTGACGCGTTTTAGCATCACGACTACCTCACACGTAAAACTTTATTTTGGGGAAGCCCCCAGCACCTCGAACCGCCAAGCTTGGCTCCCTGTGTGGCGGTGTGCTAATACCTGTCAAGCTGGCTGGCTGTCTGTCACCGGGGCGCGGCGGGCCTGGCCTCACGGGATCCCCGGGACGTGACCGGAGCGGCGGGCGCAGGGCTCGGGGCGGGCGCCCAGGCAGGGGGCGGCGCCAGGCCCCCCGCCCCGCTGACGCCACATAGGCCGACATCACCTCAGGCGCGCGCGGTGCAATCGCCGCCGCCGGCCGCCCCGGCGCGGTCGGACCCTGAGATCCCTCCGCCCTCGCGCTCAGATCCCTCCACCCGCCCCTAGACGGACTCTCGTGGTCCTGGCGCCCCGCATCCGGGAGCACACAGGTTGGGGTGCGCCCGCACCTCCCAAGCGGGCCTCCTCCAAGCTCACGGCCTAATTCCTTCTCGGTGCCACCGCAGGTGCCGCAGGTGCAGCCCGCTCCTTCAGGTGGTCGTCTCTCCAGGCGGAAGGAGACCGCGGCGTCAAAGAGTCCGCGCGAGGGGGCGTGGCCGGCGGCAGGCCCCGCCCCGGCCTGTGACGCACCGGGTGGCGCGCGCCGGAGCCGGGCGGAGGGAGTGGGTCCGGGTGGAGGAGAAGATCTGGGGGCCCGGGCCGCCTGCCGACGTCCACCCGCCTGCCTCTCTCGCCCCGCGGACTCCGAGCAGCGGCCGGCGACTTGGGTCTGCAAGCGTCTCCGGACAACCAAGGCGGCGGCGGCGGCGGCGACGGCCGGGATGGCGTTGCTGGGCTTACTGCAGGCGGGCGGGTCGGTGCTGGGGCAGGCGATGGAGAAAGTGACGGGCGGCAACCTTCTGTCCATGTTCCTGGTCGCCTGCGCCTTCACGCTCAGCCTGGTCTACCTGCTCCGCCTCGCCATCGGCCACCTCGCCCCCCCGCCGGCCGGGGCGGTAGGTGCACCCCCAGGGGTCTGGGGTGGGGGCGGAAGGGCTAGTGGGGGCGGCGACCTGCGCTCGGCTAGGCGTTGGCGGCGGCTCCAAGGGGTAGGGCGCACGGGGTGGGCGCGCACGGGGAGTCCGGTGCGAAGGGGATTCAGGAGTAGCGCCTGCTTTGGCCTTGCTGGCCTTGGTGCTGACGGTCCCGATACTGACGGTGGCCACATGTCTGGTCCTGGCCGCCGGGGTCAGGTGCTTGCCGCGTTTGTGATCACAGTGGTTCTGTGCTGGTTGCGGTCCTGCTAGTTCTGATGAAGGCTGAGGCCATGGCCGGGACGCCCGTCCTGGCCGCCTCAGGGGTATTTCGGGTCTGGCGGGGGACCCTGATGGCGATGCTGTGGACAGCTGTGGCCCTGGTGGCTTCATCCTGGTGGCTGCTGTCCTTGTGTGGCTGTGTGGTTCACTGCCCTGTGGGCTGTGGCATTCATCGCCCCAGATGGCGACTTGTCAGTATGGAGGAGGAAGAGGGTGTTCATTTTGGTAGAACGGGAGTGACTGGAGTGCTGAAGTGTAGGGACCTTCCTATGAGGCTGATAAAAGCATTTCATCTAATTTCGTGGCTTTATTGACCACTTCTCTATTTGAGGAGTGCATCCTTAACCAGCCAACAACTAGTAGCTGCCTTGTTACTGATGGTGGAGGGCACAAACTACTGACCAAGTAGCTTTACAAATAATTTTTGTTTGAACTCTAGCAAGCTTTTAGTATTGTTATCTTTGCTTCACATGGGATTTTTTTTTTGGGAGTGGTATTTGTCTTTGGAAAGATAAGTGGCTTTGGTTTTATTTATTTTTAATATTTAAAATATATATTTCATTGATTTTTTTTTTTTTTGAGAGAGAGAGAGAGAGAGAGAGAGAGAGAGGAAGGGAGTGGGATAGAAAGAGAGAAACATAGATGAGAGGGAAACATCATGGATTAGCTGCCTCCTGCACACTCCCTCCAGGGGACCGAGCCCACAACCTGGGCATATGCCCTGACCTGGAATCTAATTGAACTGGTGGCCTCTTGGTTCCTGGCTCATTGCTCCCCGCTGAGTTACATCAGCCATACTGTAGTGTGCTGTGACATGCTGTAACATGCTGTAGCTTTAGTATTTAATATTGTTACTATTATCCCAAGAGTGGCAAGTTTGATTTCCAGGAAACTTAATGTTGTAATCTGCAAGTCTCATTTGAGGTCATCTAAAGTACCTTTTATAGTGAACTAGAGGCCCTGTACACGACATTTGTGCACTGGGTGAGGTTCCCTCAGCCTGACCTGTGCCCTCTTGCAGTCCGGGACCTGTTGGGGGATGTCCGCTTGCTGGCTTAGGTCTGCTTGCCATGAGCTGGCTTCTGGCTGAAGAGAGATCTCCTGTGGGAACCCACTGACCACCAGGGGGCAGCTCCTGTGATGAGCATCTGCCCCCTGGTGGTCAGTGAGAATCATAGCAACTGGTCATTCTGCTTTTTGGTCAATTAGCATATTGGGGTGTTATTATATAGGATGCCCAAAAATTCCTGCTACAGTGAATCTACTCTCTCTTAAAATCAGTGGATCTATAATAGTTCATTTGCAGTGAGAGAAGCATGAGATGTGTTCTGTGTACTGATAAATGCCACTTCTTAAACATTTCCTTTATTTCTGTACCTCAAGTTACTGTTTGTCTTTTTCTCTAGCTTCTTTAGGCAAGATTCTGGGACTAAAATTCTGAGTGGTCATGGGAGTAAGTGGTGAAGACACTTTTAAGTTTGACTTTTTCAGGTTGTGTTTTGTTTTCCACTCATGATTAAGAAAGTTGCCTAGAAACACCAGTAATAGTATTGGACATATTCTGAACAGTGTTCAGCACTTATAATTGCAATGCCTTTATGTGTGTGTGTAGTGACATAGCCTACATTATGTGTTGAGTTCCTGTTCATTTTACTATGGATATTCCTAAGATATTTACATTTTAGCTGTTCTTTATTACTTTTGGTGCTTCATTTTTTGGTAACTTTTTAGTATTAATAGCAAATTTCATTTGTTTGGTTATGAAACTGAACTGGATCTCTCTCTTAAAATGTGAACTGAAAGTTTTTTGTTTCTCTTGCAGAAAAGTCCACCATACATTTTCTCTCCAATTCCGTTCCTTGGGCATGCCATAGCATTTGGGAAAAGTCCAATTGAATTCCTCGAAAATGCATATGAGAAGGTAAGTCTTCCAGAGGAAAAGAAATTAGTGCTTTTCAAACTTTTAAATGGCAGAATGTGACCAAGCTAGGATTTACTTGTGGTTTGATTTCCAAGTCTATGCTTTTAGTAGAAGTAGTAGTAATAAAACACTTATGTAATGTTTATTATGGCCAAGCTATTCTAATATATTTTTCTCTAATATATAAAATATGCATATATATACACACTCTAGTTATTAGAGTCTAATATATATAATATTCTCTAACATATCTATATTTATTTAACCTTGACAACAGTTCTATGAAGTGGGTGCTATTATTCCCATTTTATAGATGAGGGAAGCTGAAGCATGTTGGTGAGATAGTGGTAAAACTACTAAATTTTTTTGTATCTTCATATAGCAAGCACTATAGGAAGGGGCATAATCCTTTAGATACTCTTGTCAATTTATCTTTAACCAATGGGAGGAAAAAAAATCTATATTCTCAAAGATACTTATGGCAGAATTGTATATAAGTAAAAAATGGACACATCATTCATGTCTAATAATGAAAGAATAGTTAATTACATTATGATATCTGTGTATAAGATAGAAAGTATTTTCAATATAAACAGTGAAAAAAACAATAAGAATTTTTATTTTCCATTTGCAATTAGATGAGCATAATTATAAACTTGGACAAAGACTGGGGAAGAATTGCATTAAGGTTTATGAATGATTTTATTTTTAACAGTTACTGTTTTGTGATTTAAGAAATCATTGTCTTCGTGCTGTATATCTTTTGGTAACGTCAATATGGGTACTTTTTTCTCTTTAGTATGGACCTGTGTTTAGTTTCACAATGGTGGGCAAGACGTTTACTTACCTTCTGGGGAGTGATGCTGCTGCACTGCTTTTTAATAGCAAAAATGAAGACCTGAATGCAGAAGATGTCTACAGCCGACTGACAACACCTGTGTTTGGGAAGGGAGTTGCATATGATGTGCCTAATCCAGTAGGTGACACTGTTATCTTTAAGAAAAATAAATCTATACTATAGTAATTATAGCTTAGTAGTGTAATAGTATATACATTTAAAATGCAGAAAAAGTTTATTCCTTGGTTCAAAAACCTGAGATTCATGAGATTTATCAGGAGGAAAGCCACGAATAACTGACAAACAATGGGTGTTTTGTTTTATAGTGGCTGGCATGGGCCAAGCAATTTTAAAGGGTGTCCTAGCCCTGACCAGTTTGGCCCAGTGGATGGAGTGTTGGTCTGTGGACTCAAGGGTCCCAGGTTTGATTCCGGTCAAGGGCATGTACCTTGGTTGTGGGCACATCCCCATTGGCAGGAGGCAGCTGATTGATGTTTCTCTCTTATCGATGTTTCTGTCTCTCTATCCCTCTCCCTTCCCCTCTGTAAAAAGTCAATAAAAAAATTTTTTTTAAAAAAGGGTGTCCTATACAAAGACATACAATCAATGATGACTTAGTTTATTGGGAATTGATTTGAGAGGATAACAAGAAAATCCCATTATTTTATTGGAGGGTCTCCTACCTCCCCACTCCTGCCTGAAATTCTAGCAGGAGAGCTCTTTTGAGCTAGAGATCCTTGACTTCAGAAGTTTGTGTGATTTCTTTCCCCCCTAAAGTCAAATATTAAAGTACTGAAACTTGATGTAAAACACAAATGAGATAATTGGCTCAGTTGCTTGGTGTGGTCTCAGACTGTGAATGTATCATGCAACTCAGCACCTAGTCTGTAGTAGTTAAGAGAGTTAACGTTAAGTGCTGTTTCTGGGGATGAGGTAGGTGGGAGAATGAATGGCTCTCCGAGGCCATAAACAAGATCCCTAGAAAAACACTGGTTAGATATATCCATATTTTTTTTCCACGCAGCTTATCAAATTCTTGAAATAGAAATATCCCAAAGATTTAAAACTATTAGTTGTCCCAGTGTGATTTTATTTTATTAAAACTATATTATATTCTAATTAAACTTCTGGCAGATAGTGTCAGTAGGAAATATAACAGGAGAATATGTGAAGGAACCTAAAAATATTGAGGGATATTGGACCTTTGGGAAGTTGCGTTGGCATCTTGGTTGGGTTGGAAGACTAGAAGATAACAATAGGAAAAGGGAGAGTTAGCTGTGAGAAAAGAATATATAGGAATGACAGGAGTTGGGAAACCTAACTTATCATTTGGGAAGGGCCTGCGAAACAGTTCTTCTAGGTTACTTTAGATAGATGCATAAGTGTTCTAAGTTTCTCATATCTAGTGTGATTTTAAAAAAATCCTTTTACTATTTTAATTTTTTAGAAGGTTATTTTCTTTGAGTGTTACAGAGTTATAACCCAAATGGATCTTGTGATAAAACAAAATTGTATTTTAATGCTGTATACTCTTAATTTTTTTAAGGTTTTCTTGGAGCAGAAGAAAATGTTAAAAAGTGGCCTTAACATAGCACACTTTAGACAGCATGTTTCTATAATTGAAAATGAAACAAAGGAATACTTTCAGAGTTGGGGAGAAAGTGGAGAAAAAAGTAAGCAAAATGTTTTGGTTTTGCATTTGTCCTAATATTTCTACTTTTCTAACTTGGAATGTAAGAATATGTGTGTGTATATAAAAAACAAACTACAACATAATGTAAAACCACCATAGATTTAATGGAAAGAACATGCTATGATTACCAAGGAGTTAAACAGCCTGAGAGGAAGTGGTTATTGCTGCTCACTAGCAAAAACTTAAATGGGTTAATGAACATGTATATCATTCAGTTCATTTATACAAATAATATAAAAATGGTTCGTGATTAGATTTTGAAATAAACAATGTAAAACTTTTGTAAGTTCATTTTAAGATATATATATATATATATATATATATATATATATTTATTTTACACCCATTGGGCAAGTAAATGTCCAAATGATTTAATTATATATTTAATACCTTATTTACCTATTATTGTATGGGAATGATATAGTCTATAAAAATAAATTTAAATACATAAGCTTACTTTACCAAAAGTTTGATTTTAGCCCTTTCCAATAGAAATCTTTTAAAATGTATTATATACACCTTTGCATTATATAATGTACTGAATTGTTTGGATATTTCTGGGAACCCAGCCTTCATATTGGGGTGCCATGTTTCTTCCAGAGACAGTTGTCATAGTCATGGCTGGAAGCAACATCTGCCCAAGGAGCAGTAAGACCTCTGTGTAGGTTACCATGTTCTGGGTCTGGTATTCAGTTCTTTATAAAAGGTCTAGAAACTTGATTTATGGTTCTTGAGTTTTTATTCTCACTTTCCCTTCACAATTTTATATCTCTAATAAAACAGAACATTTTAAAAGCATTTTTGGCAATATTAATGGGAATGACCTTTTTCTCTCCAGATTTGTTTGAAGCTCTTTCTGAGCTCATAATTTTAACAGCTAGCCATTGTTTACATGGAAAGGAAATCAGAAGTCAACTTAATGAGAAGGTGGCACAACTGTATGCAGATTTGGATGGAGGTTTTAGCCATGCAGCCTGGCTGTTGCCAGGTTGGCTCCCTTTGCCTAGTTTCAGGTATGGATAAAGAAACTATCTGGGGGGATTTAACTTTGTATAATTACTGTAGTGTTAACAAAGATAAACATTAAACAAATTGAAGTACAAATTGGCAGTTACAAAATAGTCACAGGATATATAGTACAGCATAGGGAATATAGTAAATATCTGTATATATAAAAGCCTAAGTGACCAGCTGACCGGCCTTTAGCTATGATGTACACCAACCACCAGGGGGCAGACGTTCAATGCAGGAGCAGAAACCACAGACATGGAAACATTGAACAGACTGATGAATCTCAGAAAGAGGGAAGAGGGCAGGAAAAGATTAACCAAAGATTTTTATATGCATAGTAGAGGCCCAGTGCACGGATTTGTGCACTGGTGGAGTCCCTTGGGCTGGCCAGGCTGAAACAGGTCTGGTGCATGGATTTGTACACTGGTGGGGTCCCTCAGCCTGGCCTGAGGGGATCAGGCTGAAAACAGCTCTCCAATATTCCCTAAGGGTTCCTGGATTGCGAGAGGGTGCAGGCCAGGCTGAGGGACACCACTGGTGCATGAATCCACGCGCTGGGCCTCTAGCTTGTATATTATAAAAGCCTAAGTGACCGAATGTCTGGTCAACTGGTCGCTATGATGTGCACTGACCACCAGGGGCAGATGTTCAACGCAGAGCTTCTCCCTTGTGGTCAGTATACTCCCACAGTGGGAGTGCTGCTCAGTTGACCAACGTGTGCCAGAGGCAGGGCTCACAGCTGGCAAGTGCCGCTGCAGCGGTGCAATTCTCTCCCAATCGGGACTGACTGGGTATGAGTCACAGCAGGTGCAGTAGGGCCAGGATGAGCGGGAGCAGCAGGCAGGAGAGTCAGGCATTTGGATTGCCTGTTTCAGCCTGATCCCCGCAGGCCATGCCAAGGGACCCCACCAGTGCATGAATCTGTGCACCGGCCCTCTAATATCGTAATATCTCTGCCAGGTGGATACTAGACTTACTAGGGAGATCACTTGGTAAATTATATAAATGTCTCATGACTATGCTGTACACCTGAAACTAATATAATATTGAATGTCAACTGTATTGAGCTCATTTAAGGTACGTTTTAGCTTATTAAAAGGTTAATTTGTTGTCCAGCTGTTCAAATATTTTCAAATTTATTTATCTCACATATTTCTTATACCCAGGAAAGTCTCCGAACTCTACCTAAAAGTGATATAGCCCTCTAAGCACTTGTTTGAGACCATTTGTAGCATATTGTGAAATTTTTTTGTTTAAAGTGTTAATGCCTTTCTTTAATCTTCTCTGTCTCCATGCCAGCTGTAGTTTGATTACCTAACCAGCAGGGATCATCTGTGATACTGAGAAATATTGCTCATAGACTTTACATAAGCTTAGCATCTTGCTTAATAGGCTTTCTGTACCTTTGTTGATTCTTTTCTGTTCAGGTGAGATGGAGAGGAATTAATTTTTTTCTTTTGTGTCTGTCACTTCTATGTATTTACAGACTAAAGCCAGGAGAGAGTCTAGAGGTCTTTGGTTATGTCCATCATAGTGACTGGTCGACCGTTCGTTCCACTGTTTGGTCGCTAAGCTTTTATTTATATGATTACATTCTTTTTGCCCTGAGGGAAACTAGAAAAATTTAAAAATATATGATTTTCATGATGTCTTTTTTCCCCTTGTTTCTGAGTTTTGTCAGATATTTTAGAGTCATTAAAGTTACTGAAGGTTTAAGCTAGATCATGGTTATTTTCAAAAGGAATTTGGTGCCAGAAAGTATTGCTTTATTGTTTGAAATTATTTTCATCTTTGAATTACAGACGCAGAGACAGAGCTCATCGAGAGATCAAGAGTATTTTTTATAAGGCAATCCAGAAACGCAGGCAGTCAGAAGAAAAAATTGATGACATTCTCCAAACTTTACTAGATTCTACTTACAAGTAAGAGCTGTTTAGATCATATATTAAGCTGAAGCAGGAGATTACACATTAAAACATAGTTAAATAATACTATGTCTCCATGATGCTGCCTGACTGATATGGCCCAGTGGTTGAGCATTGGCCTATGACTAGAAGGTCACAGCACATGCCTGGGTTGTGGGGTTTTGATCCCCAGTGTGTGTGTGTGTGGGGGGGGCTGACTTTTGTAGTTTTTAAATGAATGAGACATTAATTGCTGGGATCCCATGACTGTTGGCATCCCAGTGATTATGCATGGTGAAAAGTTTGGTAGGAAAACTGCAATTAAGTGTTTGTAATCAAAACATATTTTCTATTTTCTGCCTCTTTTCGCTACTAGATAAAATTCTGACTTCTGATGCACAAATACAAGAAACCATTATACCTGACAAATAGTTTCATTATAACCCTTTATTTAAAGGTTGAGGTGTGAAATGTGTCGGCCAAAATGTTACATTTGTGTGTGTGGTTCACTCTGCAGGGATGGGCATCCTTTGACGGATGATGAAGTAGCAGGTATGCTCATTGGACTGCTCTTGGCAGGGCAGCACACATCCTCCACTACCAGTGCCTGGATGGGCTTCTTCTTGGCCAGAGACAAGACACTTCAAGAAAAATGTTACTTAGAACAGAAAGCAGTCTGTGGAGAAAATCTGCCTCCTTTAACTTATGACCAGGTTTGTTGGGTTATTATTTTTATTGCTGCCTTATTTGAATATCTGTATCTAACTTTTAAAGGGGACAATTTGAGTAACAAAAGCAAAAATAAACAATAACTAAAAAGATTTTGTACAGTTAAGAAGACCATCAGTAAAACAAAAAGACAACCTACTGAATGGCCTAAGATACTTTAAAATGATACATTCAATAAAGGGTTAATACCCCAAAATTTTGGCATAACATCCTAAATAATTGGTGTAGCTATTTTGAAAAAACAATATGGAGATTCCTTAAAAATTTTAAAGTAGAACTGTCCTAGGACTCAGCAATATTACTTCTAGGTATTTATGCGAAGAAAACAAAAACACTAATTCAAAAAGATATGGGCACCTCTGTATTCACTGTAGCATTATTTATAGTAGCAGCAATCTGCCTCCTTTAACTTATGACCAGGTTTGTTGGGTTATTATTTTTATTGCTGCCTTATTTGAATATCTGTGTCTAACTTTTAAAGGGGACAATTTGAGTAACAAAAGCAAAAATAAACAATAACTATAATAACTAAAAAGATTTTGTACAGTTAAGAAGACCATCAATAAAACAAAAAGACAACCTACTGAATGGCCTGTAGCATTATTTATAGTAGCAGCATATGGAAGCAACTTAGGTGTCTATCAATAGATAAATGGCTAAAGAAGATGTAGCATATTCATACAATAGAATAATACCCAGCAAAAAAAGAATAAAGAATGAAGTCTTACTATTTGTGAAATCTTGCCATTTGTTTTTTGAACCCAGAGGGTATTATGCTAAGTGAAATAAGCCAGAGAAAGACAAATACCATATGATTTCACTTATATGTAGAATCTACAAAAACAAATGAATTAACAACTAAAAAACCAGACCCATAAATACAGAGAGCAAGTAATGGTTATCAAAGAAGATGGAGTAGGGATAGATGAAAAGAATTTTTTGAAAATGGAATATAAAAAATAGAGGGGACAATTTAAGATTTTCTGTGTACTATATAGATTCATTTGACTAGTGTCCTTGTTTTTTGAAAATTTCCCAGAAATGCCCTAATGTTGGATTTGGTTTGCTAATACTTTGTTGAGGATTTTTGCATCTTTATACAGGATATTGATCTGTGGCTTTATTTATTTATTTGTTTTAAAAAAAGTATATTTTATTGATTTTTTACAGAGAGAAAGAGAGAGGAATAGTTAGAAACATCGATGAGAGAGAATCATCGATCAGCTGCCTCCGGAACAGCTCCCACTGGGGATGTGCCCACAACCATAGTACATGCCTTGACCAGAATCAAACCCGGGACCTTTCAGTCCGCGGGCCGATGCTCTATCCACTGAGCCAAATCGGTTTCGGCTTGATCTGTAGTTTTAATATGAAGTCTTTGATAGATTTGCTATCAGTAATACACATCTCATAGAATGAGTTTGGAAATGTTCTCTTATTTTTTGAAGAGTTTATGAAGGGGGTTGGTGGTAATTCTTTCTTACATGTCTGTCTGATCGATTTCAGTAGAGAAGCCATGTATGTGTTTTTCTTTGTTGTAAGTTTTTTTTTTTATTACTAATTCAATCTCTTTGTTGCAGGTTTATTCATATGTCCTGTTTCTTCTTGAATCAATTTTGGTAGTTTGTGTCTTTTTAGGAATATATCCATTTTATCTAGATCACCTAATCTGATGGCATACAGTTGTTATAGTATTCTCCTATAATCTTTGTTAGGTCTCCTCTTTAATTTCTGATTTTAGTAACTTTTAAAACAACAGCTTAATTTATATATAATTCACATACTATGAAATCCATTTAAAGTATAGAATTTACTGGTTTTTAAATATACTCATAGTTGTAAAATCATAATTTAATTTTAGAACATTTACATCACTTCCAAAAGAAAGCCAGTACACATTAGTAGTTACTCTCCATTTTCCCTGTGTCCTTGTAATAACCCAGAAAAAATAGTTTTAACTTAAAATTAACTAAATAAAATAAATTTTAATTTATAAGATATTTAAGTTAAAATACTGTTGAAGTATGTTAAATATTTGTAAAATTCCGGAAATGCTTTTTCTTTTCAGCTTAAGGATCTAAATTTACTCGATCGCTGTATAAAAGAAACGTTAAGACTTCGACCTCCTATTATGACTATGATGAGAATGGCCAAAACTCCTCAGGTGAGTCTCTTGGTTAGATAGCTCCTTATATGTCCTCAATTTTAATTTATCAAAGAGATGATTTCCAGGAAGAGAATTTTTAAATTAAAGAAATAGAAAAATAATCATTTCTAGCCAATTTTCAAGTTTATAAGTTCTAAATACATAAATATTTTCATATAATTGGTTAGTCTGTTCCCTGCATTTTAACTTAATGATTTGGTTGCTTTTTTTAAAAAATGGAAATACATTTTAAAATTATTTTTAAAATAACATATTTTTTTAAATTCCAACTATATGAAAGCCTAAAAATCAGATTATGAAAAGACTCCTTGAAATTCCACTCCTATCTTTGAGGCACTATGACCTTTTTTGTGTATATACTTTTAGTCCAATTTTGGGTCATTTGGAAATCATCTCTAGTTAATTTTTTGCTGGCCTATTGTCCTGCTAGTTTTTAAATCTGATGTATATTAATGCTGTATTGCACAATGACCTGATTTTTTTTGGAAGAATATTTTAAAATTGTCTAATGAGTCAATTTGGAAAAAAGGAGACATGTAATACTTTAAACAATAAAAAAATTTTAAAGAATTATCTAATAAAATAATTTGCTTTCCTTTGTAGACTGTGGCAGGGTACACCATTCCTCCAGGACATCAGGTGTGTGTTTCTCCCACTGTCAATCAAAGACTTAAAGACTCCTGGAGTGATCGTCTGCACTTCAATCCTGATCGCTACTTACAGGACAACCCAGCATCAGGAGAGAAATTTGCCTATGTGCCATTTGGAGCTGGTAAGATGATTATATTTCATATTTGAAATGTTTGTTCTGATAACAGGTGGTCAGAAGTTACCAGAACAAAAATAACCCATGTGAATTTTATTTACAAGTATCTTTCCCTTTCCTAAGAAGGATATTTTTGCAAACGTACGGGGATTTTTCCCCCCCATACCAATTCTCTGCAGACAGTATCTGAGTTCCTACAATTCAGTTCAGTTCTGACATTCTCTACCTGAGGTTGGTTAGTACAGGCCTCATTAGAAGCTCAGTTCCAGAAGACTGCTCCCTTTCCCCCACTTCAGCTACAATTAATTGCAAGTCCAGCTGTCACCTGACTGACTGGTTACAAATCGGAGGTCCTCTCAATCCATAATTTGTTGGAGGGGCTCTCAGAACTTAGAAAAACAGTTTACGTACTAGACCAAAGATACAACTCAGAACAGCCTGATTGAAGAGATGCATAGAGCATGTATGGGAGAAGGGGCAGAGAGCTTCCATGCCCTCTGGGTATGCCACCTCCCAGCACCTGCAGGTGTTCACCAGGCTGGAAACTCTCTGAACACCCTTGTTATTTTAAGGATTTAAAAAAATATATATTTTATTGATTTTGTACAGATAGGAAGGGAGACAGAGAGTTAGAAACATCAATGAGAGAGAGTCATCGATCAGCTGCCTCTTGCACACCCCCTACTGGGGATATGCCCGCAACCAAGGTACATGCCCTTGACCGGAATCGAACCCGGGACCCTTCAGTCCCCAAGCCGACGCTCTATCCATTGAGCCAAACCAGTTTCGGCTGTTTTAAGGATTTTTATTGAGGCTTCATCACAAAGGCATGCTTGATTAAAATCATTGGTCATTAGGAATTAATTTAACCTCCAGCCTTTCTCCCTCCTGGAAGTCAAGGGGTGGGACTGAAAGTTGCAACCCTTTCATCTCCTGGTTGGTTCCCCTGGCAGTCAGCCTCCCTCCTGAGGGGCTTTCCAGAAGTCACCTCATTAACAAACACAGGTGTGGCTGAAGGGAGACTCCTTCACTCCTCCCCACCCCCCACCGGCCCCGCCCCCTGGTCAAACATTTGCATAACAGGCTTTTATTATACAGGATTACAGTATCACAGTTGCAGTACCTGTAGTATTGAAGTCAAATTTGAAGTCAGTTTAGTCCTCCAACTTGGTTTCTTCCAGGATGGCTTTGGATATACTAGGTCCTTTGTATTTTCATGTTCATTTTAGAATCAGCTTATCAGTTCTTAAGAGTATATGACCTTTCAAATTTTGATCTCAGTATGTGTTGCTATTTTGGGTTTATTAAAAACCTTTTTCTTTCACTGTCATTTGTTAAAGGCATTTAAAGTTTTGATTGGAATGTTTATGTTGACTTTTAACTAGGGCTCTCTTGGGAGAGAAGTATATTGCCAAACTAAATTAGCATCATACTAATGTATTTCAAACCATCATATATTTAACCTAGATGTTAAGTTTCAAAAAAGGTAATTGAAAAAGTCATATAATTAATTACCCAAGTGCTGTTTCCCCTAAAAATAGATGTTGAAAAAATCTCCTAGGATTTTTTATTAACTATGTATATATTTTTAAATTTTATTATTTTAATTTTCACCTGAAGATAAGTGTTTTTTAAATTGATTTGAGAGAGATAGGGAAAGGTAAAGAGAGTGAAAGAGAGCAACATTGATGTGAGAAAGAAACATTGATTGGCTGCCTCCTAAAGCTGCCCTTACTGGGAAATCAAATTCACTTGTGATGAAGCCTCAAGTATGTGCTTCGACTGGAAATCAAACCTTTTACCCTTCGGTGCATGAGAGGATACTCCAGCTGAGTGAGCCACACCGGCCAGGCCATATTCTTGTTTTATGTGAAAAGAATGTCATCTTTTTATTATATCTGTAAATCTGCCCTTCACCTGTAGTTAAGCAAATTTCATCACTCCAGGCTAAAAGAAGTGAAAAGAATTTCAACTGATTCTTATGAAACATTTTTTTTTTTTTTACAGGGCGTCATCGTTGTATTGGGGAGAATTTTGCTTATGTGCAAATCAAGACAATTTGGTCCACTATGCTTCGTTTATATGAATTTGACCTCATCAATGGATATTTTCCTACTGTGAATTATACAACCATGATTCACACCCCTGAAAACCCAGTTATCCGATACAAGCGAAGATCAAAATGAAAAATGCTCAGGGAATACCTGAAACATCACTGTAAACAGCAAAAGCATTTGAAGAGAATGAAGTTGATGAAACAACTTACTCTTTTTTGAGTGTTTTACTTTAAAGACAGCCAACTTAACGGGTTTTATATTTTCTTAACTGAATGGTTGCATAAAATCTAATGGCATTTCAGGCATTTCTTAATACTTTTATGATGGATATTTGCTACATATGCTTTATTTAAGGAAATCAAGCTACTTAAGTTGTTTAGGGGACCTTGGTTATTGGAAGATTCTAAATAACACAATTTCCAGTTATTTAAGAGTATACATAGCTCTTGGTAAGTTCAGGATATTTAAATGTTGGACTAGATCTCCAAATATAAAAGCCAAATGAGATACTTGGAAGCCTTAGGTTATTTATTCATTTCCTGTATAATGTTTGGGTGTGTGAGGATAGGTGGTTAGGGGATAAACTCACATTTAAAGCCTTGTATGAAAGAATCCTATTGTTTTGGTATGATGATAATTGGGAGTGATGGGGTTATGTTGTAAAAAAAAAAAATGTCTTTAAGAAGTACTGTCTTTTAGGAAATTGAGGGAGTTCTATGGTAATTACATTTCCTAAAAAAAGAATGTAATTACTTTAAAGACTGCTTGCATTAACTTGATTTAATTACTAAATATTTCATTTACTTGATAAATTTGTATCTGGTTCCACATGGTCACACACCTGTGTGAAAATCCAAAATAAAGTCCCTAAGGGATAATTTTTGTTCTCTTTGGCTCAAAGTGGTTCCCTGCTTCCTCTCCAGAATCTACTTAGGGGTGTTTCTGTTACTAGTTCTTTTTATTAAAACTTAGGTCAGTTAGATTTCCTTTTTAAATACAAAATCTGAGATCAGGGAAGAGTAGGATCATTGGCCATACTATGTGAAGGCTGTGTTCAAGAATCAACTCAAATTATAACTGGGGGCCTGTCTATGTACCTGTAATTTGGCCACATTACTGTTTTTAAAATAAGGACAAAATATTTCCCCCTCTAAGTTCTGTTTAAGAGGCTGGAGGACTCATGTTAAACTCTTAATCTCTATTAGTTTTCCACATTAAAATTACCTTTGAGAAAAATATAGTCTATATTCACGAATTGTAAAGCATGTGTGTTATAGTAGAATTCAGGAATCTATAAACTAGATGGAAAAAGAATTACATCCTTATTTGTACTGTATTCAAATTTAGGCAACAAACAATATGGTAATAGCAGTACCCATGACTGTGAACAGAAATCCGTTATTTTCATGTCATATTATAGTTGTTGTAGATCTTAAAGTTCTTTTACTCTCATCACTACTATGAAATTATGGTAGTTGTTAGATCTGCTAGATCCTACGTCTTTAAACTTACATGTTATGTCACACATTTAAAAAAGTTTGACTACTTCTGTAAAATTGGTTTTCTTTATAGTTTATTTTAGACCCTAATTAGTTTTTAATCATAGACTAAGTGTTGGTAAGCATTAACAAGTTGATGGCAGAGGCCTATGGTCATAGAGGGCTGATGGTCAGTGGGAGTGAATAGAATGATCAGAGCACTTGTCCATCTGCTCCTTTCTCAGAGCAAAGCAGCCTTGAATGGCAAGCTATGAAATGTTTTACCCAGAGTCCTTAACTTCGGATATCTGCTTTAGAATACACTTGTTATTTCTATAACTCTTATCAGAACCCAGCTGCTAATAGGAACAATTTAGGTACTGTGAAAATTTTTAAGAATGTATAATTTGTTTCCATATCTTGTTTGTATTGGTATAAATCCTAGAATACCAGTAGTAAAACAAAAATCTGGTTATAAGCATCAAATACTACTAATTCTTGTTGTTTTTAGTGAGTTGCCATGTTATCAGGGGGGACTCTTAAGAAAACATTTTTTATATCTCTGAGAGATTCCTATTATGGATTTGGCTTAGCAGAAACAGTTTCATTCTATTTGTGGTTAATAAATTTTAAGATTATTTGAATTAAATGAGTCCTGCATCATCTCAGCAGACATGACTTTGAGGGCACACCTTTGACCACAAGTAACAATAAAATTAATAGAGCAAATAATAGAGAAAAATACCAATATAGCTTTTAAAATATCATACAATATAAAAAAACCCGTATAATAAAAGCCTAATATGCAAATTGCCCCCCCCCCCCCACCTGGAGTTAGACTGCTCGCTATGATGTGCATTGACCAAATTGGGGTGGCGCAGAACATGGCGGGCGGCCCTGAGAGGCCCTGATGAGAGTGCGACTGCAGCGGGATGGTGGAGCAGGTGAGCAGGCAGCGCCAGGCCAAGGCAGGTGTGAGCGGGGCCTGATGGCCCCCAACTATTGCCCAGCAGACTGCGACCAGCTGTGGTGATGGCGGGCAGGGCTGCCTCCCTGCTCCCAGAAGCTGAGGGAGCTGGGGGGGCGGGGGGGAGGGAGGGCGATGACTCAGGCAGAGGGGGGTGCGCGGGACCCCAGGTGCTGCCCAGGGCCCAGAGGTCAGCTGGGACCTGCCCTTCCACACCAGACCCTCACTAACAGGGACTGCACCCATGCTCCACTTTCGTGCACTGGGCCTCTAGTATTATATTGTGTAAAGTTGAAAAAAAAAAAAAAACACATGCAAAATTCCTCCTCAATAGAGGGAGAGAAAACCCCCAATAGTATCTATAAGATTAGGACAACTTTCTGAATCTCTCAAGTCCTACATATTTCTAGTAAGTAATGAGGTGATATGCACTGCTGCAGAATGAATGTGTCTCCCTCCACCCCCAAATTCATTGTTGAAACAATCTGTGGGGTGATTATATCACGGAGGATCTCTCATGGACAGCTACATTGGTATTTTTAAAAGCTATATTGGTATTTTTCTTTATTTGCTCTCGTTTATAAAAGATCTCAGAGAGCTCCCTTGCCCCTTCTGCCATATGAGACAGCAAGAAGATAGCAGTCTATGAATGAGGAAGCAGGCCCCACTAGTAACCATATCTGTTGGTATCTTGATCGTGGACTTCCCAGACTCCAGACTGTGAAAAACAAATTTCTGTTTATCGGACACCCAGTCTATGGCATTTTGTTAGAGCAGCTGGAATGGACTTAAGACACGCACCAAGAACTATGGCTTAGTTAAAAATGAAGAGGGTTCAAATACAGTGTGGTTAAAATGGTGAAGTCATTTTTATTTCAGTACTTGACAAAATACCCCATAAAATTCAAAACTTCTACCATTATACAAAAATAGGTCTCTACAAGTGATATCTGTCATCATCACCAGTAGCAAATATATTAGGCAGAAACAGGTAACTTCAGTAGCCTTGTAAGAAAAGTGCAGGACACCTCAAGCTACACATTCAGCAGTGTCATAATATGCAAAAGTTTAATCTTTTCACCCATTTGATAAATACACCAGGTTTATAATTTAACCATTTAAATTAGCATTCCACAAATACACATGTAATTGAACGATTATTGTGCATGAGTACATACACAATGCTTATATGTACAAATTCCAGTTTGCTTTCATGTACTGGCTGGGCTTCGTGTACAATCATAAGCTGTGTTCGTGTTGGTCCCACTGAATATCCGCAATACAAAAGCACAAAAGAACCATTGGTTTACAAAAGGGAGTTTGCTTAAAATCATGATGTTTCAAAGGATTATCTTCTCATGCCAGCATGAAAATGAGCGGAACCTAGAAGAGGAAACCAGAATATGTAAATGATTTCCAATTAGATTGCTCTCTGTACCATACTAAATAGTTCATGAAGGGCAGATTACCATTACCCTCCATTTAAAAATAATGCTTTTTATAGTCTTAAAAAGTTCTTCATATTTGAAGAGATTTGAAGAGATTTTGAATATATATTTAAAAGTCACTATGGCAGGTTCTGTATTTTTGAGCAGAGAGAAATAAAAGGTAATTTTTATAGTCTTTTTAAATGTATAGGTTTTATGAATCAAACATAAAAGCACAAGATCCTCCTATGAATAATGGCTGCATTAAATGCTTCTAGTCCTTGCTTGCTCCTCTTATCTCCCCACCCAGAGAGAGACAGAGAGAGACAGAGAGAGAGAGAGAGAGAGAAACATTGATATGAGAGACTTATCAATAGGTTGTCCCCCCACTCACCCCAGCCAGGGCCAGGGATAGAACCTGCAACCCAGGACCCTTCAATGTGCCGGTGACACTTAACCATTGAGCCCACTGGCTAGCGTGGTGCTGCCAATTTGCGGCTAAGCTGCGAGTACCTGACTGTACAGTTCCAAGGCGCCTTTGCAGTGCCTCCAGCCGGGTGATGTAATCTGTCAGGGCTCTGTCAGGGTCATAATTCTGAAGCTGAGAACATGCTAAGGAAGCAGGATTTAAATCGGCTGGAGGGCCTGGGTACCTATGAGATCCAAAATATAAACATGAACCTAAATTATCCAGAAACAAGGTAACTTCCCCACCAGCCTCCACCGTCTCTCAAAAGGCAGACCACTTGTACATGGCCTGATCTGTATCTTCTGCGTTTGTGTTGTAAAGTGAAAAAAATGCCTCACTAAATGTAAAGCAGCAGCTGTGAAGTCATCACAATAATGTGCAGTATACGGCCTGCCACAAGGTCCTCAATAAATGGAGTATATTATCTAATTGCATCTGACTTGCAGCCTCGAGAGGTTTCTTCATAGTGTCCATAGACTATCAATTTTAGTCAATTCGTTTCCCAATGCCTAATCCACAGCATTTACTAAATAACACTTGATCAGATGTTTCCTATACCTTTGGAAACCAGTTACAATTTGATTATACAAATCATATATTCCTGTAGATACATTTAGCTTTTTCAATGAAAATAAGTCAAAGCCCTAACACTTGCCTTTTTCTATCAGTATATTTAACTACTCTAGGCAAGTTTTATCAAATTCTTACCTATTTTGAAATGGAAGAGGAGATCTAGGATAGTCCAGATCTGCTCTTGAGCGGTATGTAGTGTGTCTCGGCTCTCCGTACAGCTCCAGTCCACCGGGAGAATGATAAAACAGGTCAGTCTTTTCAGCACCTAAAGCAATCCCAGACATACCTTGTTCAAAAGAAATGCCAAGCTCTTGAAAAGTTTCTACAACACAGATGAATACTCAGAAGATTATTATACTGTACTACACTATCTCCTATTTATAGTTATTTTCAATTGTTCTTGCTGTAGGAGAGAAACAGCAGTGGAAATGTTACTTTGTTGACCTTTCAATACGAGCAATTCTGCTAATCCAGAACGATAGCTCAGAGAAAATAAATGATTTAATTGAAATATTTTCTTTTTAAAAAACTTAGTATTAATTAGAGTGAGGTAAAGGGTGCCTGAGTATGTATGGTTTAGGGGGAAAAGAGGTTGTGGGTAAAAAAATATTAGACTAATGTAGTCAAGCCATTCTTGTGATTTTATTATAAAAAGTTGAAATCAAGATTTACTAACACAGAACTCACTATGATACAAATTTCAGCTGTTTCAATATAAGCTTAGATTCATATTTCAAAAACACTTGGCTTAGGATACTAAATATATTTCCTCTCTCTCTGGTGCTCATGCTTAGCTACCGGGAGAAAATGTCCAGGTGGCTTAATAGCAATACATAGCAGAGTCCTGCTGTGTGTCTGTAACTTCGTGTTCGCCTCTCCTTATGCCTGAAATGTTGAGCCCTGATGTTTGTTTCCCCTTCTAGGTGTAGAGAGAAGTAACTTCAACTATCAATCATTACTATATAACCTATCAGTAAACTCAGAAACCTTTTTGAATATTGCTAAATTGTAAAAACTTCACTCCATAAACTTGTCCATATGGCTGAGAAGAGCAACCCGCTTTTTTTTTTTTTTTTTTTTTTTTAGCAATCCAATCTTGAACCAGAACCTTAAATGCAGTGGTAAGGAGCATGGGTTCTGGAGCCAAACTGTCAGGGTTCGATGTTCGCTCCTGGGTAACTTGGGACAAATGACCATGCTTTTCATGCCCCAGTTTTCCATCTGGAAGGTGATAATACCGTTTCCCCAAAAATAAGACAGTGTCTTATATAAATTTTTCTCCCAAAGATGTGCTAGGTCTTATTTTTCCACGAAGAAGAATACGGTACACATTTATTGTTAAATGAAAATAAAGGAAATTTATTACCTGTATACGGTACGGTAGTATGGTAGTTGTCAACACAAACCAGACAAACTGTGAATCCTACAGTATCAAGAATTTACTCATTTATTCAATGACAATCATGTCATCATCTTCTGGAACATCATCATAACAATCCAATTCCTGAATTTCCTGGTGAATTTCTTGTGACTCCATTTCTTTCAGAATCAGTGGACCGAATTTCTCATGTTTAGCCTGGGGGGGCCTTATTTTCAGGGGAATGCCTTATTTTTCACTCAGAAGGAAACCTGTAAGTAGGTCTTATTTTCGGAGGATGTCTTATTTTCGGGGAAACACGGTAGTAACTGCACCCACATCACAGGATAGGGAGACTACACGGCAAAAGCAGGGCCTTGTGCAGAACAAGTATTCCTCAAAAACCAGCCATTACCATTCTTTAAAATACAAGGTCCCCAGCTCTGAGTTATAAGGGCTCTCTCCATCTTTGAACAACATTATTTGGACGGTATTACACATGCAGTAATTTTAGACAATCATAAACAGGAGAAAAAAATTCTATTTTGACTTCACCTGGATTCAGTCCATCCCTGTTAATATTGATGGAACCAGAACTTGTGACTCGATGCCACCGTCGAACCAAAAATTTCATTCTAGAAAAGATCCCAGAAAAAATTTCACATACTATCTATAATGTAGAGAGTATAAATATACACTTTGCACAAAAATCAAGTCACACATATAAAGATGAATGCAGAACAATTTCAAAATCACATGGTTGCCTAATCTAAAATGATGCAAATGTCCCCCTGTGCCTGTGGCAAAATGAACTGGAGCAGAAGGACAGAGGCACCAAAGGTCTCTGGTGAGGACCACATCAGGTCTGGCTTTAGGGGTCAGAGGGGCACAAGAGATGGAGAGCAAAAGTTGAAAAGAGAAAAGAGGATGGGCAAAGAAAGGGCGAGAAGTAATAAAAAGGGGAGAAAAGAATGGAGACTAAAAGGGCAGATGGAATAGACCCTTAAGGTGTCAGGGCGTGAGCTGAGCTGGGAAAGCTGGAGGAGGAGGCCTTGTTCAGCGATGACAGGAGTTTCGGCCTTCCCAGGATCAGGGCAGCAGTGTCAAGAACCAGCTGCAGCAAGTTGCTGCCTGCCTCGCCCTGGCCTGACCAGCTTTCTGAAGCACCAGTTGTGATTTCATAATTCCAATCAGTTTCAAGGCTCAGTTTTAGGAATGTCAAAAGACAATGAACATATAAGAGGAAAACAAAAAGAGGGAGGTAGAATGAAGTCCAGTGGCAGGTGGTTTTCAAGGAGACTTCCCCAATTCTAATAAAAATTAATGGTTAGCTCCTGAGACCGCTCATTTAGCGTATTCTAATGTACGGGCATGTTGGTCTTCCCCACTAGGACGTGAGCCGTCTCTGGGGATGGAGGCAGGGATTAGGACTTCTCCTCAGGGCCTCTCCTAGCACTTAACTCTGTACAAGGTGCACAAAGTGATGGAGAGAACTGGAACCACATGTCTACAATGTGGAGTAGCAGCCGCAGGGAGAATGGAGACATCAATAGGTCAAATGTGAGCTCTCTTTAGAGAATCAATATGGATGAGACTTGGGAGTCCTGGCTAGTTATCCAAACTCTATTACTATTGGCTTAGCAACATCTCCCTGTCTCAGTTTCCTCATCTGTGAAATGACATTCTGGGCTATGTGATCTCAGACAGCTTCTAGTTAAAAAATTCTAAATCACACATACGTAATACCTTAATAAAGTAAAAAAATTCTAAGTCATATTTTTCAAAAAAAGATATAGATTTAAAAATATATATATTATATATATATATAGGGCTGTACCACTGGAGATGCATCAGATGTGATCAGATAGGGACACTTGGAAAATCAAATTTCTTTTGTTCTGTCTGACTTCTCCAGAAGTAAAAGGGCCTGCGTATACACCACTCAGGTCCTAACTCCACTCCAATCAGACACAGAACAAGTACTGGTGACCCTAGTGTGGAACTGCTAGAGAGAGGGACGAGGGCAGTAGCAGAGCCCAACGACTCATATCTGGCCTGAATGCAGAGTTAGGGCTTTCTGTAGCTGGGCCTCAAAAGTATGTATGAGTGCATGTCACAACCTAAGTAATTTTTCCAACCCCTCTTCCACCACTTATTTATATGTGGGAAAGAGTTCAAGGATTTATTCAGATTTAGGAAAAAAAAAAAAAAAAAAAAAAAGACAGTCTAGATCGGATGTGCCAGCTCCGAGTCACCAGCTGTCTGCATCTGGAAAGGGCCCTTTCCCCATGGTCTCGAGAGGACAACGTAAGGTATCCCTGCTAAAAGATGGAAACTGAGAAAAAAGCAGGCATGTTTTAGGACATGTCTCATACCACATGACTATACGGAGCATACAGGCAGAGAAAAGAGAGATTAAAAATAACAATCCCTTTAGAGAGTCTATTGAAATGGATTTGTTTTCAAGTACTTCACCTCGAAATTGCCATGGACACTCTGACAGCTGACCGAAACCTGGTGAAGCCCTTCGGACGGTTGGTGATCACCTCCAGGTCCGTGCAGGCCGGCTGCCCGCCCATCCGGGCAAGCAGAGCCAGCGTGGCCTCTTCACACTCCTGGAAGCCACCCAGTAACAGCAGCAGGTATTTCTTCTGATAAATGAGAGCTTTCCGAAAACTTTCTGCTCTCAGGTATTTACCATAAATTCTCTACATTTAAAGAAGAGAAGAATATAAAGACATTATCAAGAAGTTATTCAAATTGTTCTCTAGGGCAAGATGACCTATATTTTATTAAAAGACCAAACAAAACCAAAACTAGTGGGCATCAGCCAGTTTGGCTCAGTGGGTAGAGCATCAACCTACAGACTGAAGGGTCTGGGCATCTGCCCAGGGTTGTGAGCTCAATCCCCAGTAGAGGGCATGAAGGAGACAGCTGATCAATGATTCTCCCTCATCATTGATGTTTCTCTTTCTCTCTCCCTCTATGAAATCAATAAAAATATATTTTTTTAAAAATTAAGGAACTAGTGGTAGTAGAATGGCAGGTACTTTATCCCTGTTCTCTATCAGCGAAGTTGAAAGTAAAAATAAGGGACCCTAGCCTTACACTTCAGCGGAATCTGAATATTAACCTTAAAGTCTATGCTTTTTATTTTGGATATTAGCCCCTATTCACCACATTTATTGCAAACATTTTTGTCATTCAATTATCGTCTTGAGTTTTTACATTTAACTGTACAGAGCTATTTTATTATTATGGTCACTAAGCTATTTAACTTTTTCATTAACATTTGCCATCCCTTGAAGAGTCATAAATTCATGTTCATTCCATAGTTGGAATAACCATTCCAAACACTTTTCTTTCTTTTTGTTTTGTATTTTAAGTTGACCGATTAGAGTAGTTTTACTACAATATTCATTAATAGTCAGTAGAGAGGCTATTCAGAGGGCTTACCATCTTATAGAGCACTAGAAGCCCGGTGCATGAAAATTCATGCACTGGAGGGGGGGTCCCTTAGTCGGCCTGCCCCCTCTCACAGTCTGGGAGCCCTCAGGCGATCAGCGGAAGGCTAAGCTCCCATCATACCTCTGCTGCTGCCACTGCTGGCAGCACAAGCCTTAGCTGGCCCTGGTTACCTGAGCCTTGGGCAGCCCTGGAGGCTGGGCAGCCGCCATCCGAGGCTTGCCTGCACTTCAGGCCAGCCCTGGGTGGCTGGGGAGACTGGGGGTGGGGGTGGGTGGGGGGACTCTGGAGGCAGGTGCACAGAGCAGCCAGGCCCGTCTGCCACCCAAATGGGGCTGAGGGGACTGGGTGCCACCATCTTGTGGCTGTGGGTGCTGCCATCTTTGAGAATGTGACAGGCAATTAGCATATTCCCTCCTTATTGGCTGTGGGCACTGCCACCATCCTGGCAATGGTGCGAAGGTCAATTAGCATATTCCCCCTTTATTAGAGAGGATGATGATCTACATTGACAGTGGCAGGGTTTTTGTTGGGAGTTAAATGGTATTTTTCTGTGGTCTACTAAGGATGAGGTTGTAGGAAGGAGGACCACAAGCTCAGGTGCTGCCAACTGTGACCATTAATAAAGCCTAACCACAAAGTTTTTGTGACCAGCTAAGACACCTGTGCTCATGACAAAAACTGAATAGAGAGACTGAGAGAGACAGCCTGAGTGTCACCTAAATTTCAGTCTGCAGAATGAAGGGTGATCAGAGATGAACAAGCAAAAGCAGAGAACAGCGTTGGTGCGTTCAGATGGAAGGTGTCCGACCTTTAGAGTGGCATGTTCAGGGTCAGGGCTCAGACTGTGGAGTAAAGCTTCATTTCTCAGTTCAGCTTTCAGTTTGTATACTTCGGCTTCGGCCCTCTTCAAGGATTTTTGAAGAGCCAACTTTTCTCTGTTCCAGACTTCTTTTTCAGAAGCAATGATGGCTTCAATGTTGGCACCACCACTGAATGAAAACCTAGAAGACTTCAGAGACCAGAGCCTAATTACTTGATTTTTAAGAATAAGAAAATCCTGATTTAAACATATTAAAGGTGTTGCTATGGGAGATAGAGAATTCTCAACTTTTCAACCTCAAACAGGAACATTAAAAGCTGATCTCAACTGTCACTAAAGAGTATACAGTAGTTTTAAGTACATGGTCGTTTGCTGAGCAGATTAACTTTACAACTGAAAAGCCTTATGAGAGTCTAGCTCCAGAAAAGGTGTTTAGATTTAGCAGAACTTTGTAACTAAAAATGTTTAGAGACTTAATAGATGGACCATCTGGGTCCAAATGTTGAGTTTGAGCCTAAAATAGTACACCGGAGAAACGGGGAAAAACCACACGGCACATGCACAGGAAGTGGAGCCCTACAGAAGCTGTGCAGATGTGTTATTGTGTATTTGACTGCACAACTGTCTTAGAGGTCTTCCCTATCTTTATGTTGCATAAAGACAGAGCTAACAATTTATTTTGCAGTTTAAAATGAAAAAAATTCAAAAAAAAATTCACAGAACTAAGTGACATTTTCCACTTGCGTTATGAACATAATAACTGATATATAACTGACAAGGGCAGAATTCAAATTTGAACATTTAACAGGTGTCTGCTGCTGCTCCATAGTATCTGGCTTTGTGGTTAAGTTGACCTTGGCTTGACTACACTGACTTCGGTTTTCTTACATTAAGGCTGGGCGTAGAAACAGAGGTTCTGAATGTATAAAACCCCAAATCTGGCAAAGAGAAGGCTTTCAATAAAGAACAGCTATTATTATTACTGTCACCCCTATAAAAATTTCCAAAGATTCTACTAAGAATCAGATACTTAATATTTCTACATTATCAGGGGTAAAAACTGAAACTAGGTAGCAGAAACTGTCACTCTGCACTACTTCTAATATGTGGCCATGAAGAAACAGACGTACATAATCTCTGCCAGCTCCTGTCTGCTGATACCATCGGATCTGCTCTTCCAGCTTCATAACCAGGTTCCTTAAATCATTCTTCTCTTCGGTCAGCTGGCTGATATGTCCTGTCAGGTCAGCATTTTGTCTCAGTAGTCTTTCAGTCAATGAGCCACAAGATGTATTTGGGGACACTAAGGCAGGCTAGAAAGATAAATTGGCATAAGGTTGCATAGCACAAACATTTGTAAATAATATACACAAAATGCGGACAGGCACTGAGAACAGCGATTTCATAAAGAAGTGGTGCTCGTGTTGAGCCTTAAATGGGAAGTTGGAATTTTCCAGGCAGGAAAGAAGACAGGGAAGGATATATTAAGCAGAAGGAACAGCATGTGTAAAGGCACAAAGGCTTGAGCAAGAGTGTGCTGGTTTTAGGGATCTACAGTTGCTTGGGAAGGCTGGAGTAAAGACTGCCTTCATTTAAGAATAACAGAACTAAAAACGTAGGCAGTGGAGAGCCATGAAAGGCTTTGGGCATGAGCATGCCATAGACAAAACTTACAGGTTAGAAAGGTTTCTTGGGTAAAAGTGTGCAAAGTAGATTAGATTAGCAAAAAACAGATCCTGGTGTGAGGCAGGCGCATCAGGAAGTTAATGCCGCAGTCTAGGTGACAAAGGCTTAAGGCCTGCATGAAGAGGATGACGAAGGGCGCATGGATGGATGCTGGGATGTGCATGTACAGAGAAGGAAGGTGGTCTATGGTAACGTTCAGCTTTCTGAACGGGGCTGGGACAGGAAAGAGAAAAGGAAAAGGAATGTGTCTGTGAGGTTCCTAAGGTGTCACTATGGAGTACATTTCCCCAAAGTGAGATGTTTAATAACTAACAAAAAATATAAACCTGGACCACAGGACAAAGGCGGCCCACCAGAACATAAGCCCCATAAGGGAAGCATTTACTTACTATATCTCCATAACCCAGGATAACACCGGCACATAGTAGGTGCCCAATGTAAGTATCTGTTCAGTAAATAAGCCTAGTGAGAAACTCAGGCTGCATAACTGAGTAAGCTTCCACAGCTGTAGTTAGAGAAAAAAAATGAATGCGGACAGGAGGAAGAGGAACTCATGAAGGTGACTGATGAAAGAATGGAATGAGAGAATACTGGCACAAAAATAAGGAAGAGAGGATTTTAAGATGGAAGAGGTAAAAAGTGTCAAATGCCACAAAGACAGTGAGGTCAAGAAAGATAGGGGCTGAAAAGATTCACCAGATCACTCAATTGTGAAGACCCAGTGACATTCATCGAGTGATGAGAGTACTACCCAGACTAATCTTCAGGAAACGTGGTTATCATAATACAAGAGGCCAACATAATTATTCTACAGTGATAATGAAAGTTAATTTCCCCTCAAGCTTTCAGTACCTTTTATTGGGCGGAGGCAAACATTATTATTATTGAAAATAAATGAAAAGATAAAAGTAAAATTCTTGAGAAAATATGGTGCCAGTTTCAAATAAATCATATTTCCATTAAACCTTTGCTCTCAATACTGTACAGAGTTTTCTAAGCCATACCTCTTTGCCTGGATGGCCAGTTAATTTTCGTAGTTGTAAAATAATTTCATCAATATTTTCCTGAATCCAAATGAAATCTTCATCATCTGCTGTGTCAAACTGCAGTCTTCAAAAAAAGAAAAGGACAAAAAGTGAAAACATCTTCTCAATTAGTGGTGCTGACTAGCACAAATGTTATGGACTGGGCAACACTGTGCTCATAGATAGCTTCTCCTTTACATTACGTGTTCTCGCTCCCTGGTCAAGGTGTTAACATATTTGTTTTCAGGTGTATGAGTTCTGTTAGAAAATATCACCTCCTAATGTAAACCGGCATTCACTTTAAAATTTCAACTCTCCACCCTTGACTAGCCACTAGTGAGGGGCAGATGCTGTGCAGCCTGTCTGGGAATGCTCTTTCCAAAGGCCAGGCAGAAAGGTCTCACCGATTGGAGGCTTTCTGGGCTAGATGCTGTAGTTTTGAAGCTGTATGTTGAAGCTTTTGTTTGATCATTTCTAATTCATGATTATAGCCAGTATCTCCTCCATTCATTGCAATCAGTTTAGGATAGTTTGATTCCTTTGTCTCTCCTTCTATTTTCTGTTGAAGAACCCAATTTCTAGTTCGATCATTGGTTAAACTCCATGTGGATGGCTAGCAATTTTGGACAGAAAAGGAAAAGCAATAATTATAAATGAACAGCATTCTTTCTTAAGGGAACACAATTTACAGTAAACTTTTGCTTAATGTCATGGATAGGTTCTGTGGCTTTAAGTGAAGCAACATATAACAAAACCAACTTTACCATAGGCTAATTGATATTCATAAAAGTTCCAATGGCATCTCATCAATGTTATAACAAAACAAAGTTGAATGGAATGGTATTATTTGAGGATCTGCTGCATTATCTATACTGCAAAGAAACTTCTATAGATTTTGTTTTAAAGTGATTTGTATATAGCTATTTAAATAATCCAATATCAAAATTATATGATCAAAGGGCTGCAATATTCTTTTTTAAAATATTATAAGACAAAGTGTCAATATACCTCATTAAGATTCTGATACAGAATTCTTCTTTCTCGCTTTTCTTCTCGTGCGAGTTCTTGTTTCTGGAATTCCTGCATGATTCCTTGCAGTCGCTTTCCTTCAAGATCTAACTTATAAACTTGTTGCCTTTTCTCTTCCAGCTGGTGCTGAAGATCTTCCACTTTGGACTGGAGCTCATGCATTTTCCTCTGTCCCTCAGTGTTGGCCTCCTGCTCTGTCTGCAACGTCTTCCTGTGAACCTGCCTATCCTTTTCCATTTGCTGTCTTGTCTGCAGAGAATCCAGTCTGTATTTCTCAGTCTCATTTAACAGTTCTACGATGCGACTGTGTTTTTCTTCCAACTGTTTCTGCAGCTCTTTAAGGAGGTCCTCGGAGGGCACCAGGGGCCGAGGCTGCCCACTGTCATCACTGTGCTGCTGCAGCTGTGCGAGCACTTCCCGCTCCCTGTCCAGGGTACTGCTCATTTCCCGAATCCGAACTTTCTCCGATTCCAGAAGTACTTGAAGCTCTAAGTTTCGGCCCCGTTCTTCTGACAGCTGGGCATTGTGGAGCACTCTTTGTGATTCTATTTCCTGCTGTGATTCATTTAGTAGTTGTTTTTGTTGTTCCAAAAGTTGACTCAGCTGAATATTTCTTTGTTTTTGACCCTCAAGTGAAAATTTCAGATCCTTGTAGGAGAAAGTGATATTAAAAATTTATTATTGTTATTAAAAATACTTTATATAAGTGCACAATTGTGCTTTCATTAATATTAAGTTGGCAGTACTGATTAATAGCACTGATTATTCGGTTTATTAACTTAAATTTTCATTGGTTAGAGCATAATTATTTGAACAGCTAGGTGATTTTCATCAAAGAATAATTAAGCTAAATAATACTTTCATAATATTAACTAAATCTGGTTTAAATATGAAGCAGGATACCTTTCTTCTAATGACAATAACCTTTAAAAATACAAATATTTCTGATAAAATGTGATAAGAGTTCCTGAAAAACTTTGTGTTTTCCAATATCACTTACTAAAAATAATAGGGATTAGGGAAAATCAGGGTTAGGGGCAAACTACTCAAAATCTATGCAAATTTTGAATGATACAAAATAATAATAGTACCCAAGGAGGTGACATGCCTTTGACAGGTAGAGAACTTGCTATGCCTGGAGACTACCATGGTGGACATTAAACAATAACCCTCAAAAGTAATAGGGCAGAAAGGCTGACTACAGAGATTTAGTATAGCACTGTGGAGTACTGCGCTATGTGGGCAGAAGAGCTCTGAGCCAGTGGGGCTACCATTAAAGTGGGCACTGCATGCAGTACCACCTGCCTTGAGCAGAGAGCTATGCAAGGCTGTGACAGAGCCCAGAGTGAAGGGACTCATTTTAAATTTTCTTAAAATATGGCATCCTGCTGCCAGGAAAGTATCGCTGCTCCCATTCCCTAGGAGAAAATGGGAACCTAAACCATTTTTTGCATTAAGTTGACATGACTGTCTTTTTATCAAATTGTGTATGCACTAATCAAATTCTCAAAAACACATGTTGCAGAACAGTCTGTATGCATCCTTGGATGCAGCAAACAAAAAAAGCATCACACTACTAGCATTTCCTAGTACAGTGTAGATACCATTATAATAGTGTTTAGAGCAAACAAATTATAGAGAGTCCAAAATTGATATTTTAGAAAGAGAAAAAGTCTCCAGATTCTTTTATATATAGTTGTGGATTTTCCATAGATATTTAAAGATAGAGATAACAATACCTCAAGTTCTTCTTTATCCCGCTCCTCATTGCGCCCCAGTTTGGCTTTCTCTTTTTCCAAAGCCCACTGGAGCTCTCTGGATTTTTTCTGTTCACTTGCTAATGTGTCATTAAGCAAATGTACTTCATCTGTTTTATCTTTAACTTCCAACCTAAATCAGAGAGACAAATACACTTTCATAAAACTACTCTATAGTGAGAGGAAGAGAGAGTACTGCTTTCAGTGAAAAGTGGAGGCATATAATACACTAGTTAGTAAGAAAATAGAAACCATTGAAGACTGTTGACTGTGGTTCATTTCCCAAATTAACAGTTTCTAGTAGTAAACCTATTAGTTATTTACCATGGAGAACAATTTACTATTACAAAATAATATTAATAAAAATTCTTCCTTATCTTCTACCAAAACTAAACATGGGAGGTATGTATTTTTGTGTGTGTGTGTGAAAACAGTGTTCAAAATAAAGACTGCGCTCAGAATGTGTTCGTTGCAAGCAGAGTATCCCAGTATTTACACTAACGAACATTCTTTTTACAAGCATTATCTTTTAAAGCATTTTGCATATATTAGTCAGCTGAACCATGAATTCTATTGAGATCATAAATGCCATTTCAGATTGGTTGGTCAAATAAATAAAATAAAGGCAAAAATTATACTTTATATAAAAAAAATCTCAAATAGAATGGAAGCCACAGTAGAGAATATGCCAATACATAATCATGAGTTTATTACTCATAAATATTTGGAGTTTTCCTTTCCACTGAGTTATTCTGTTAACAAAATTTCATGGTATTTAAACATAGTGTGTGTATAATGTTATGTTTTTGTAAGATCTGTGCAATGCCTGTGACAAAATAGTTCCACTTTCTTCACACAACACAGATTTATAAGGAAGCCTGACTCACCGGAATGCCTCCAGTTCCTTCAGGTGCTTATGCTGTGCCTTAAGGGTTGTTTCCAGTTCCAGCGTAGTCTGTGCAAGTTCGCTCTTCAGCTCAGCAACCACCATTTTCTCAGAGCTCAGCTGCTCCTGCAGCTCGGCAGCCCTGTCTTTCGCACTGCTGAGCTCCACCTGCATCTCCAGCATCTGAGACTGCTTCTGCTGGATGTTATGTTCCAGGAGTTCTATATGGAAAATTGTTAACATTTAAAATATGGTCTAGCAACTCATATCTGGTTTGTAAATATTTTGTTAAAAACTGATTTGTAATCTAGGCAATTATTATAAAGCAAATGAAAAGATTACAGTCCCAAAAGTTTGATTGCCACACAAAGTACTTACAGGAATTACTCAGTAACTACGACTACAACGTCAGCCGTCCTTGCAGATAGTCCCTAGGAACTTTACTAGAGAAGTGGGAAGTCCAAACTCCAATTTGAATCATTTTTTTTTTTAAAACTAACCAAACCCTTGCTATATGTCTGTTACAATGAAAACAAACTGAACTATTTAAATCCCTTGGTATAATAAACAAATAAGTTTCAAAATATGCATCAGGATCCAATTTTTGTGGAAAATGTGATTTTATATACATATACACTTTGAAAAGGTCTGAAGAAATATTTACCTGGATATTAACAGTCATTATTTTAAGATTAGGAAATTCTATAGGTCATTTTTACTTTCCTCTTTTATTTCTCTATTCTACCATAAAAATATTTTTAACTTAAAACATTTATTACAGCTCATCACTTCATATTAAAATTCCTATTACTGATATTAAGAGACAGAAATAACTTGAATTTAGAAAATAGTCATGTTAATTCAGGCTTTTAAAACTATTTCTTAGAGAGGCTCAGGATCTACATATATAAATATATATGTATGTAAAATATAGCTCAATGGTGTTCTATTTAACTTAAGTAAAATAATACTAATCAATTCTCTAAAAATAATCTTCAATTAATTTTATGTCTTAATATAAAGGATATATTTAATTTGTGATCTTATTATACCAATTTTCTCTGAAATATTTATAATCTTTGGCTTTTCAATGACAGATATGACTACTATAGGCCCAGTGCACAAAATTCAGAGAGGGTGCAGGCTGGGCTGGGGTCTCCTCAGCCCAGCCTGCACCCTCTCTAATCCAGGATTCCTCGGGGGATGTCCGACTGTTGGTTTAGACCCAATGCCAGGGATAGGGCCTAAATTATCAGTTGGACATCCCTCTCACAATCTTGGAGCGCTGGCTCCTAATTGCTCACCAGCCTGCCTGCCTGGTTGCCCCTAACTGCTCCCTGCTGCCGGCCTGATTGCCCTTCACTGCCTCTGTGTGCTGGCCTGGTCGCCTCTAACTGCCCCCCCTGCCATCTTGGTCACTCCTAACTGCCCCCTGCTGCTGGCTAGGTTGCCCCCAACTGTCCCCCCCCCCCAACCGGCCTTGTTGCCCCTAACTGGCCCCCCCAACGAGCCGTCACCTCTTATTGCCCCCCGCTACTGGCCTGGTTGTCCCACGTAGCCTGCTGTTCAGTCATTTGGTCGTCCCTCACTAAAGAACCCCCCCCCCCCCCAGCCTGGTCATAGGCAGCCATCTTGTGAGGGGATGAGGATTAATTTGCATATTACCTCATTATATACTAGAGGCCCAGTGCATGAAATTCATGCACGGGGGCGGGGGGGGCGGGTGTTGTGTATTTACAGAGTGATAAAGTTCAAAAGCAAAAAAAGCTAAACTTATATGGTTTAGGAAGATATAAATAGGTAGTAAAACAAAAACAAAAAATCAGGATAAGGTTACCTCTAAGTTACTAGATGAGTGTGAGTTTGGGAAAGGGGTTTCTGGTATACTTGACATGGGTGATGTTTCCACAGATACTCATTTAATTTGTTATACTATATGAGCAGATATATATGCATTTAAAACCAACTGTATAATCCTCTAATTCCTAGGGTAATTAATGTAGATTATCTCTCTGATATGAGAATGAGAACAAAATGTGAAGAAGAAAACATGTGTTTTAATTCCCTGAATAAGAAGGAGGGAGACAACGGGAAGTATTTTCACCTGTGTGTCATCATATGAGTATGTCACACAGCATACCTTGGCTTGGTTGATCATTCTCTTTTTCTCTTTTCAGAGTCATTTTTATACCATTCAACTGAGCATGCAGTGCCTGAATTTCAGATAACAAACTTCTCCTATCTGCTTTCTGGAGGCATTCCACAGCTGCTTGATATTCAACACCCTGCAACAATGCCAAATGAAAAATCAAGTGAAGGGAGTTATAAAGACAATAAAATTAACAACCAGGAATTCTGAAGAATGAATGAATGGAACACACATGCTAGGATTTACTTCTGGCTATTAATCTTTACATTTATTTTGAAATTCTTCGACACACAAGAAAACACGGGGTATCTATATATAAAATCCTAATATGCAAATAGTTGAGTTGCAGGACAACTGAACAAATGGTCGCTATGACGTGCGCTAACCACCAGAGGGTGGGCGTGGAACATGGTGAACACTGGCAGCAGGCGGCAGAGCATGGAACATGGTGGGTCGTGACAGGATGGTGGAACAGGTGAGTGGGGGCACCAGACCAAGGTGGGGCACCGTTCACTGTCATCGGGGCAAGCTTCTGATGGTTACTGAAAATTCTTTGCTCCTGTCCCACCCGGTGCTCACACCCCCTGCTAGCACCCAGTGCCAGCCTCAAACACCCCTGAGGGCTTCTCCACCTCCCCCTGCTCCTGAGGGGAGATCAGGGCAGCAGCTGCCATTTATAGCCGCTGCTGGTGCCAGCCCCAATTGCTCCGCATCATCAGCAAGTGTGAGCGGGGCCAACGCCATTAGCGCATGGGAGTGGTGGTAGCAGGAGACAGGGAACTGGGGGCTGCAGTGGGAGGGGTCAGGTGGGGGCACGGAGGATGGGCTGAGACCCGCTCAGTGCCCATCACAGCCTCACTACCCACAGTTACTTTCTAGGTGCATGAATTCATGCACTGGGCCCCTACTCTATAATAATAAAAGCATAATATGCTAATTAGACCAGGCAGCCAAACAACCTTTTGGACATCTTTCTGATGTCTTTCCAGAAAGCCCCGCAAGGCAAGCCACCGCAGCTGTGAGGGCCAAGCTCTTGCATGAATTTCGTGCATCAGGCCACTAGTACTACAATAAACAACCATGTATATAGCCTAAGAAATAGCTCCTATACAATTAAAGCCCCTCTGTACAACTCCCTGAATATATCCTTCTCTGTACCACCTGGTCAAAAATAATAAATCGTAAGTTTTGTTATTTTCATACTCTTTGCAATTATGTTACATACACACAGCTAAACAATATACAATACTGTTTTGCATGTTTTAAAGCTTTATATAACTGGCATCATATTGTATTTATCTTGGTGTAATTTGCCTTTTTCACTTAATATGTTGGTAAACCAATGGGTTGACACAAGTAGCCCTATTTCACACTCATTTCGATATTATATATAGTATTCCATAGTGTGAATAATATTATACATTTTATCTGAGCATCTTTTTATATATTTATTAGATACTCTTTGTCTTCAATAAGAACATATATTTATCCAGTTGTCCATTTACCCATTGGTTGCTTTAACATCACCAGATAATTGACCTGCTTTTTTGTGATATCTTTGTCTGGTTTTGGAATCAGAGCAATCTGGCCTCACAGAATGGGTTAGGAGATGTTTTCTGCTCTTTTTTATTTGGACGAGTTTGAGTATTTCACTAGCTTCTTTTTATTTATTACAGTTGAGCCTCATTATTTAAGGACTATGTATTTATGAATATGCCTATTCTCTAAAATGTATTTGTCACCCCAAAATCAATACTTACGGTGCTTTTTAGTCATTTGCAAACACACAATGGCAAAAAAATTTAATTGCGAGGCTTGTGTGGCTCAGTGGCTGAGCATTGACCTATGAACCAAGAGGTCACAATTTGATTTCTGGTCAGGGCACATGGCTGGGTTGTGGGCTTGATCCCCATTGTGGGGCATGTAGGAGGCAGCCAATCAATGATTCTTTCTTATCACTGATATTTATATCTCCCTTTCCCTCTCCCTTCCTATCTGAAATCAATAAAAATAAATTTTCAAAATTTTAATGGCCAGATGTGCATATTCCTAGCTGAAGTCAAACAAGATCTTGTGCCTTATTTCATCCCTTACACTCTAAACTAAAGTGTCCTTTTTGCCACCCATTTAGTGCTGTTTTATGCACTTTTGTGCTTTTTATTGGTGATACTGCTGTTTAAAATGGTCCCTCAGCACAGTGATGAAGTTATCTAGTGTTCCTAAGCACAAGAAAGCTGCAGTTTATGAAGAAAACATATGTTAAGCTTCATTTAGGCATGAGTTATAGTGTTGATGACCATGGGTTCAATGTTATTGAATCATTGATATATCGTAAATATAGTGTCTTTATACAGAAACCCACATAAAACAAGGTATATATTAATTGGTTGACAAAAATGTCATGAGCGCCGAAACCGGTTGGCTCGGTGGTAGAGCGTCGGTCTGCGGACTGAAAGGTCCCAGGTTCGATTCCAGTCAGGGGTATGTACATTGGTTGCGGGCACATCCCCATTAGGGGGTGTGCAAGAGGCAGCTGGTCGATGTTTCTCTCTCATTGACGTTTCTAGCTATCTCTCTCCCTTCCTCTATGTAAAAAATCAATAAAATATATTTTTTTAAAAATGTCATGATTAGGGACTCACAGGAACTGACCCTTCTATTTCCCCTGGTAGCAATGGCTCAGTATTCATAGCAAATTCACAGATTCTAACCACAGCCAGTAGTAATAACTGACTGTTCATATCCCTTCTAATCTCTTTAGGCTATTTTGTTGCTCATTTTCTAACTTACCAAGCAGGATGATTAGCTCATTAATTTTTAATCTTGCTCATTTTCAAACATAAGATAAAAACACTTTAGGTAGTAATTTTTCTTCTAAATATTCTTTAGTGTCTCCTGCTAAAATTTTAACTTTCTGACTTATTGTAAAATTAATCAATCATTCATTTTTTTACTATTAAAAAGAATTCCTTCCTTTAAGCTTTATGTCAAGTTTCATTCTGATACCTGTTCCTGTATTCTCTGTTCCAAACAGTTCAATAATCCAGCTGCATCTCTAGTGCCGAGAGCTGCCAGTTCGGTCTGAAATGCGGCAAGTAAAACACTTCGTTCCTTTAAGAAAGCTTGCTGCAGGGCAAGCAGAAGTTCACCTCGCCAGTCTGAGAAGTTTTCATGAGACTGAGTAAAAAAAATAAAAGTTAGCTCCAAATAAGCATGTTTAAAAATGCTATTTATCTACTAACCAAAATAAATATTAGAAGCCTGAAGCATGTCAATTTATTTGCAAGTATGTGACTTGGAACATTTACAATAATAATACATAATAATTTACGTGAAAATACATCACAAACAACAATTTAATTCATAAAGCACCTTAAGATAGCTAAAAAGCATATAAAACTATTGAGATGCATAATACTCCTGAGTACCTCGGCTTCTCTTTGCACTTGCATTTTGGTAATTAAGTCCTTAAGAGATGAGATTGTACTGATGTACGCTCTCCTCTCTTCTAGCCAGAATTCCGAAACTTGCTGAACAGAATGGTCCTCTCCATCACTGTAGGGAGATTCGGTGAGAGAAAGCACCTGCATGCCCTCATTGTGAACAGCTCTCAGTAATCCCTACAAACCAAAACCCAAAAGCCAGAATTATGACAACTTCTTCAAAGACTGCAAATTCAGACAGTGAAATTTTAAGCATATTTATATATTTATATATATGTTAGATTTATTTAGAAAAGCCACTGCAAATAGGAAGCACCATTCTACCACCTTCCTATGGTGAGGAAAGCTGTAAGATGGCCTAAGACTTTATTCCTTCTACTTATCTAATGTGCTCTTTTGGATTCAATAGCCGCTAATTTGATCAAAAGAAATATGTAGAAGATAAATTCTAGTCCTTGAGACCACTTTAATAATCTTGGCAAATGTCAATTTCAGTAACAAAAATTTTCAAAAAAAAAAAATCTTGATACAAATATACATTTTATTATCTGTAAAATATCGAATAAAATTAAGTAGATTCCCCAAGGTTCCTTCTAGTTGTGAAATTCTCTCTCCATAGAGGATTTTACTATATAACTTTGAATAGATTATTATGTTCAATATAGAAACCACACTGGCTTAGTTTTACTAAAAGATATATGTCTTTTAGTACCTTTATTTTCTTTGGAAATGAATCTGTTGAACTTTCGCTTTCTTCTCTTTGGCCTTCTGATGTCAAGTCAAATCCCTGACTTTGTGCAAGATAAATTCCTTGGCCCCAGTCTGATCCAGAATCTAAAATAAAGAAAACAACAATTGACTATTAAAAAGAAACAAGTACTTTTTAAACAAGCACTATGCAAATTTCCAGAAATTTATATAACTTACCACTAGAACATATTTCTCTAGTCTGGTAACCATCAGGATGTGTTAATTCAGGAACTGAGGATCCCTAATTGGAGAAAAAAAAAAAAAAAAACCCACATAACTTTCTTTGCTTTAATAAAAATAAGGCTCAATGAATAGTTTTGTTTTTTCTAAGCTGTAAAAAAGTAAAAACACAACAAAAAACAGCCCTCGATTAAGTTTGTTGCACTTTTCAAATAAACAAAACTATCTATGGCTTACAACAAGGCTTTACATTTTTTTTCTTCATGGAAATTAGCATAATAAGAAACATTCATGAGTTAAGGAGCATTAACACCAGGTTTCAAATCTGCACAGGGACTTTGTGGAAAGTTAGTATCTGACTCTACACAATTGAAAGACTTAAAATTGTAAGTTTATCATAAGGAAGAGATTATCCTAAATTTCTTTTTCTCTGAAAACCACAGCATTAAAAAACAAAACAAAACACAGAATGATGAAGAACAGGTAGTATGAAAACCAAATACCTCTTTAGCTTTCAGACACTGTATCACTGCCTTCAAGGTACCACATTCCTCTGTCAGTAACTGAATAGCAACATAGTGTTCCCTCTTTAAAGTTTCAGTTTCTGAAATATGTCTGGATTCCATATCCAAAATTTCAGCAGCATGTAGCTCTTGCATTTGCTCAATTTTTTCAGTAAACTGAGTGATTATTTCAGTAACTTCTTCTGATGAACATTCTCTTTGTAAATCAATTTGGATTCCTGCATTTCTAACACGGACTTGTGGAGTCTGGTTGCTGCTGTTTACCCTGAGAGTCCTGTCTGTCTGGGATGCGGTGCTTGTACCCTCTTTAATAAGCAGTGGCTCTAATATGCAGATATTTCTGTTTTCTTGTTCCTCAGTCTCATCTTCTTTTTCTAAGAAGTAGGATAATTTCTCTTTTGTCTCTGTGAGTTGATCCCTGACTTGGCTTAAATCTTTCTGGAGAAATGCCATATTCGTTTCTTTTACCTAAAAACATAATGAATAGAACCATAGAACATTTAGTATAAAATACTAAACGTAGAATTTAGGATAGAGAGGAGGGTATAATTCAGGCTAATATTTTCATTATATATTCATTTTCCTCAGAATAAATTTTTTTTTTTCAGAAACATTCACAGTCTCCATATATATTCCTATATACATGGTCACAGATTACCACAGAAAGTGAAAATGCTTTTTATCAGCCTCTACTTTTAGTTCTCATGTGATATACCGTGTTTCCCCAAAAATAAGACATCCTCTGAAAATAAAACCTACTTACAGGTTTCCTTCTGAGTGAAATATAAGGCATCCCCCCGAAAATAAGGCTCCCTAGGCTAAACATGAAAGATTTGGTCCACTGATTCTGAAAGAAATAGAGTCACAAGAAATTCACCAGGAAATTCAGGAATTGGATTGTTTTTTTTTGTTTGTTTTTTTTTTAAATATACAGTATTTTATTGATTTTTTACAGAGAGGAAGGAAGAGAGATATAGAGCTAGAAACTTCGATGAGAGAGAAACATCGACCAGCTGCCTCTTGCAGACCCTCCACCGGGGATGTGCCTGCAACCAACATACATGCCCCTGACCGGAATCGAACCTGGGACCTTTCAGTCCGCAGACCGACGCTCTATCCACTGAGCCAAACCGGTTTTGGCAGGAATTGGATTGTTATGATGATGTTCCAGAAGATGATGACCTGATTGTCATTTGAATAAATGAGTAAATTCTTGATACTGTAGGATTCAGTTGTCTGGTTTGTGTTGACAACTACCGTACTACCATACCGTATACAGGTAATAAATTTCCTTTATTTTCATTTAACAATAAATGTGTACTGTATTCTTCTTCATGGAAAAATTAAGACCTAGCGCATCGCAAAAATTAACATAAGACACTGTCTTATTTTCGAGGAAACGGGGTAGTTTGCTTTAACATCTATCTTTCTCCTCCTTCGTTAATAGAATGGAGGTTAAAAAGCATCTTTCTTAACAAAGATTCCAAGGAAAATGAAGCAAGAATATGCCAGCAATGAAGTTTATAATAACTTTTCATCAAATTCACAAAGCTTTTATTTTTTTATAGTTTTCAGTTATGGATCTGTGTTTGTTTTCATAGAAGAGAATATACCTTGAAATATAATTAAGATAAGAAGAAATAAGTGAATTAGCTATGTTAATTATTTTACCAAAAGCTCTTGTTGAAGTTTTTCTGCCTTTTCTTTATAATTGGCCAGTTCTTCTTTAGTAGCTGCTGACTCAGCTCTAAGAGCCTCCAGTTGACTAAATAATCCACTTTCTTTATTCGTATGAATTAGCTCAGTTGTCTGTATGGTAGTGGAAAAACATAAAACACAGTTTCAAAAAATATAGCCAAGTTGAAGGTACATATACAAGGCACATATATTATACATTAATTTTTATTGATTTCAGAGAGGAAGGGAGAGAGAGAGAGAGAGAAATATCAATGATGAGAGATAATCATTGTTTGACTGCCTCCTGCATGCCCCCTGCTGGGGATCAAGCCTGCAACCCAGGCATGTGCCCTTGACCGGAATCAAACCCAGGACCCTTCAGTCTGCAGGCTGATGCTCTGTCCACTGAGCCAAACGAAGTAGAGTGGCACATATATAGTCTAATGAAGCTTTTTCAGGACTACCTATCAGATAAAAAGAGTTGAAATGATCCACGTTCTTTCAACAAATAGGGAAACTTTATTAGTACCACAATTTTGTATTCTTGAGACAGTAAGAAAAGAATGCTTCCAGGAATGACAGGTAAATACTCTCATCAGTATATAGCCTAAAAATTTGTAAGTTATTATTTAAAATATTTTGGGTACCATTAAAAAAACTTGCATATTTATATCACTTTCCTCAAAAGATACTAGGTGTTACTAACGTAGTTCTTATAAGTTTTATATACATGCAAAGCAGCATTACTATTTTAATATTACTTATAGTAATTTATAGTTCCATGAAGCTAGGAAGAAAAACCCTAGTAAGTGGAAAGAATTATTATCCTTTACAAAATAAATTATACATTTATAAAATTCTGATTTAGCAGTTAATCTCCTGGTATTCATATTTACTATTCAAAATAAAAAAAAAATATATCAAGTGAGAATTTGGAATTTAAAAGTCCTTTTACATCAGTCCTATGTTAAGAAATAACTGTGATTTCAGATCTTTATGTAAGCAGATGAACAGGGTGAAATACAAATTGTTCATAGGAAAGAATAAAATTTATTATCAGATATAAAAAATCTATAAAAGCTAAAGATTTGTTACTCATATTTTAGTTTGGTAGAACACTAGAATATTTTGATAATTCCCATTACCTAAAAGGGATGTTCATATACATGCATGTTAAAGGGAAAAGGAAAAAACCCCAAACAAGTTCCAGAGGACATTTGCTAAACTTAACATTTCTAAGTTTTTCCTTACTACTGTATTTAATGACGATGCTAGTGAAATAAATATTGTGACTTGAAGACCACAATGATGGATACAAAATATGGTTTGCATAATTTATTCTAGTACTAATATGCATAGAATAGTTTTTAAAAAATAAAAACTTGATACCTATGAATTGCTAGATGTAAAGAACACTATCTTTAATTTAATAAATTAGCAATCAGCTTAAGGAACAAAGGAAAAGAGAGTTTCTTAGTTTGTATTAAAATAAAAAAAAATTAAATGCAAACTAACCTTGGGAACTTCAAAATCTCCCTGAGAGCTTCTTTTCCTTTCTTTGCCTTCCTGATTTTTCTCACTGTCCTCCAACAGCTTCTGTAGTTCTAGTAGCTTCTTTTCTTTTTCCATCGCATTTTTCTCTGCGATTTCTACCTGCTCTTTTCCTAAAACCAAACTAGTCTGCATTTCAACCACCTGGCTTTCTAATTCTGATATTCTTAGGGTTAATGCTGATACATTTGACTCCATCTCGTTTTCTGCTCGCTGATTTAAAGTCTGTGTATTTGTTCTTTCGGGCCCTGATGAACTTTCTTGTCTCCTCGGACAGAGTTCTGCATACTCCTTTACTGCGTCAAGTTGGGCCTGACTCACGACAGCAGCAGCAACTTTTTCCTCAAGCGCAGTCTGCAGGCCTACCATCTTCTTTCGGAGCATTTCTGTTTCAGCCTGGCCTTGCTCTTGCATATCCTTTATTTGGTTGTAACACTGGCTAAGTTCTAAGTTCTTTGCACTCACAGTGCTCTCAAGTTGTAGCACCTTTGTTTCCAAACTGTTTATGGAAATTCTGCTGTTTTCTTCAAAAGATCTGAGGTAAGTCTGACTTTCTGGCTGTTGAAGAGCATCCTCAGTAAGGACTTCTACTTCAGGTTCCTTTATCCTCAGATCTTCCATAGCCATGTTAACACTTTTCTCTGGAGTACTTTGGATTTTTTCCAGGTTTCCCCGTTCTCTCTTTAAGCTGAATAATTCTTGTGTTAGCTGGTTCATTTTGAAATTGGTTTCTTTAAGTTCATTTTTCATAAAGGCCATTTCTTCATTAGTGGTTTCTACTTGCTGCTCCAAAGCCAGTTTCTCAGCTATCACCATCTCCAACTGATGTTGTAGACTATCTGCTTCTTCTGGAAGAGAATTAACACGCACCGATGTCTTCTCTTCAATATTTGCCAATTCCTGTTGAAGTTTTTCAATCACTTCATTAAGCTGCTCGATTTCTTCATCTCTGGTTTTCTTCACACGTTCTTGATCACTTACCAAACATTCTATTTGGGTTTCAAGATCCCTTATCAATTCATTTTTTTCTATAATAATCTGTTAGTTAATGAAAAAAAGTAACATACATAATAAAAATGCATTTATATTTTGAGAATTCTATTTTATTTTAGGGCAGGGTATTTAAGTATTGATCACACAAAGTAATATACTTCTTGGACACACTAAATTAATTTTAATATAGATCAACAGACCCCATCATATCAAAGGACCTAATTTAGACTTTCATTCAGAAAGTTCTGTTAAATATAGAGATTTACACTTTTAGTAGCTAATTTTCTATGAGTAAAATAGTCAATATCAATACATTTAATTGAAAAAAGGAAATACTGAAATGAAAACAATCTATAGCAGATATCACTCAAATGTCATGATCTTATTTAACTAATACTAAACAATAGCAGACTCCTTGTAAAACATGAAAAATCTTTGACAATATTAGGAGGGGATAAAAAATATACACAGCTTGTTAAATTAAAATTTATGGGTAAAGAGAATTAAGGTTTATTTATTTTGATATTCAAAGAGAAACTGGGGAAAAAATTACCATTTTGTTTCTTTTAAAATTCTAGCTAAATTAATTTCAGGTAATAATCTATCTTAAATTAGTGTACCTTGTTATCCGTTGTAATTTTAAGTTGATGCTGAAGTTTTGTAATTTGCTCATTCAATCGGTCAATTTCTACCTCTTTTTCCTGCATTATTTGAGCAAATTTCCCAAATATCACATGTTGGTCCTGAGTAGAGGTAGCATCAGATTCCTTTACAGCAAATCCCAGCTTCTCCATTTCATCCTAGGGACAAAAATAACCTTCCCAGTTGGACAAATCATTATATGTGATTTCTAAACTTTAAATGAACTTTTACAAAAGATATAGTGCACAAAATATACAAATCAAAGAGTCAGAGATAGCATAGGTATTGTAAATCAATAATTCTTAAAATATTTTGATAACAAGTATACATTTTTTTTCATTATGAGGAATTTAAATGTTCTTATTGGCTTAAAAATAAGTTCCATGCAAATCCATTTGCAGTGAATGTTCCCCTATTAGCAAATGCTTAATATACTAGTAAACCCTTGCATAAAACAAAAACTATAATTATTTAGCAAAGCTTTTCTTAACTAATTACCTTAAATAATTTGTTTTCTTGTTCAAGTTCTTGTAGGCGGGTAGTAGCTTCCTTTTTCTGTATTTCTAATTGCATATGTAGTTGCTGAACTTCTTCATTCTTATTTTCCAGTTCTTCTCTAAACTGTTCTAACTGTTCTTCTAAGTTTGTGATCTTAGATACCAAAATTATCAAAAAAAGAGAAAAAACTGTTTATACAAATACTTATCAAGAGAGATGAAGAATGCTGTATTAGCTATATAAAGTTTGTGTTTTTAAAAAATTATTTTTATTGATTTTAAGAGAGAGATCGATCTGCTGTCTCAAGTACTCTCACCGACCGGGAATTGAACCCTCAGTCTATGTATGTGCCTTGACCAGTAAATGAACCTGTCACCTTTTGATGTACAGGATGATGTTCCAACTAAATAAGCCACCTTGCCAGCACTGTGAGAATAAAGGAAAGATGCTTCTCTAAGTCAGATTTAACTGTGTGGTTTCTAGACCTTTTAAAACGTAACACCCTTAAATCATCCTGCCCAAAGCAAAGACTGAGACCTTCAGAAGAAGGATAGAGGAGCTATTTCTACCTAAAATACTCCGAGATAAAGCGGAACAGGATCATGGGAGAAGAGGAAAGGTCTACATTTAAAATTTTGTCTTATGTTAAATTTAGTTTTTATCAAAAGGTTGAAGAAAGTAGAATTAAATCAGTTATTTTTGCCAGCAGGTGAGAATAGCTCAATTTAGTCCATATGAATACCCAACAAAAGATCTGGTTACCATGCGTCTTGTTTAAGGGGAAGGAAGCAGAGGTGGAGGTCAGAAATAAGAAACTTTAACAGTTATTAATATTATCTTAACAGAAAACTAGAGAGCTCCTACATGTAGGACAATATAAATTTTGCTCATTTCTGAGGATAAATCCCATTAATGACAAAGCAATTAAATTGCTCTTTGATGATTAGATAGTGATGGAAACTAATGATCAATATTAGAAGCTCCTATTGTTATATTTTAAAAATTGGGTTTGGTTGAGGACAAGAATAGGCATTTAGCTCACTGCTTTGTAGCTACTTATAAATATTTAATGAATGAATTTGCAAATGGGTATATATCTGATGATCAAATTGCAGCATTAAAAACAACCTAAGATGCAGGAGCAGCATCTAATGGCAGCTGGCAGTCTATAAATCATTTATCACCTCAGAAGTTCAAAGGGAGTATATACTGATTACATAAATACATAATCAGAATTGCATCTTAGCATTGGCAAGGCAAAGACCTTCAAAACCGTTTAGCCTAATATTTTCTTAATAGAAACAGTATTGGCACTAGTCATCATTTGTAGACAATTTACTGTTAGGCATTGTATAAAGTGCTTTATAGGTACTATTTTTAAAAAGCCCTGTAACAAACTTCTGAGGTCTTTGCTAAGATTATCCCCATTTCAGAGATGAGGAAGGAAGTTACTGAGAGAGAAGTTACCTAGTCCTGAGGTCACAAGGCCAGTATGTGGAGGCCAGCGTACAGACCAGGGAAGTTTACCTCTGGAGCCTTACTTTTTTTCCAAGAAGAAAATAGTTTATTTCAGTCTCCACATGCCTTTAGATCCTTAGTTATAGGACTTCTGTTCAGTTAATCTTCAGATGGTTCTAGGGTGATTGTTCTATAATTTAGCTGTAATTTTGATATGGTTATAGGAGGAGGCGAGCACAGCTTTGACCTACTCCACCATCCTGACTGGCTGGAGTTTTACATTCATAACTATCATTTATTCTGCTTCTAATAATTAATGTCTAAAACTTATATTTAAATTATTTTCTATAACCCTGGTATTAAACTCAACAGACACATCTTAAATACATTTACAGTTGTGCATACTATATAATTATCAGGTTTGTTGAAAATTATGATGATTATATCTTCTTCAAAGTTATCTAATACTATTTATACTATCACTATCTTCTACAACTTCTTTTGATGACAAGGTATTATTTCAACACATACATAGATATTTAAGTTCAAAATTGCTGCCCTACATCACATGGTATTTATTTCCTTTTTGATATAACAGATTAAAGTCAATGCTTAGCTCTGTGACCTAAAGCCTTGCTACTCAAAGAGTGGCCCCTGGCGCAGCATTGGCACCGTCTGGGAACATGTCAGATGCAGAGATTCTTGAGCCCCACCCGGACTTGTTGAATCAGAGTTGAATCAGGATCTTCAACAAGATCCTGAGGGGATTCATGTGCACGGTACAGTCTGAGAGGCAGTGGTCTAAAGCATCAGCACTCGTGTTACAGACAAGTGAAACAGGCATCACAATGAAGATTTCAACCCCCAAAAATGACCTCAAAGGAAAGTCTTTCCTTTTATTCAGCCAGACTCCAGTTGCAGTCCCAGGTTGTCTTAATACTGAGTCTATAACAACCCTAAAGCACAAGGATATTATTAAGGTTTAAAAATAGAATGGTAGCTATTTGTTTTAATCTTGTTTACCTTAGCTACCAAAGGATATCTATGTAGTTGCTGAACTTCTATTGGATTACATTAATTTACTCCAGTTGTGTTTTCTTTTTAAGTGATTTTACCTTTTTTTTTTTAATGTGTATGTTTCCTTAGTTAATAGCAGATTCCTTGAAATCCAGTGCTTGTTTTGTTTTTGTTTTTTTTCTTCATTTTTTGTGTTAATCCAGTGCTTGTTTTACAATTGGACAGTGGTGGTCTATATTTAGTAAGAGCTCAATAAATGTTGAATGACAGTCTTTAATACTTATATACCATCAAGGCCAAACATGGCCCACTGCTTTTGCAGTAGAGCATTACAAAGCTCACTGGAGGAATTCTTGCTCAACCACTTACTGTGTGACCATGGGCAAGTTAACCCCCCTCTCTTTTTTTTCTTTACTAAAGTATTACATATATGTCCTTATCCCCCCATTGCTCCATTACCCGCCCCCTCCCCCACTCATGCCCTTACCCGCCTGGTGTCTGTGTCCATTGCTTAGGCTTATATGCATGCATACAAGTCCTTTGGTTGATCTCTCCCCTTACCTTCACTCTCCCCTACCTTTCCTCTAGGTTTGAGAAGCATGGATCAGACCATCAAAGTTAACTTGTCTTAAGACTCAGGTAAAATAGAGATGAAAATAGAGCCTATCCTCAGGGAGACACTAGGGTTAGTAACATAGGACATTTGAAATACTTACACTTTCTAGCACAGACCTAAACGAAGTTAACTATTATTATTTACTAGAGGCCCAATGCCCAGATTCATGCGCTGGTGGGGAGGCGAGGCCTGCAGGGAATGGCTCGCAGGGGGAGCGCCACTCATCCCAGTCAGCCAAGCAGCTCTCCTCACTGTGGGAGCACACTGACTACCTGGAGGAAGCTCCTGTGTTGAGTGTCTACCTCTGGTGGCCAGTGCGCATCATAGCAACTGGTTGACCGGTCATTCCGCCAGTTGGTCACTGGGCTTTTATATATATATATATAGAGTATTGCCCTCTGTAAGCTAGATTTCATTATCTTGAAAGAGAGCTAAAACCTATTCAAGTAATATTATTCCTAAAGAAATTCTAATTCTCTATTTTCCCCCCCTTCTCTTATCATACTGAAACTCCTATCATTTAAAGTTTTCTTCTCTTTTAACTTTCCTGTCTTTCAGCCTTCAGTTACAGCTCAGGCATTCTGACACTGTATTTGTCACTGTTATTAAAAACTAGCAGACCAGGGCCAGCTGTCAGGTTAGTTCTTGCCCTGGCCTATTTTGTTCAGTGGATAGAGTGTTGGCTTGCGGACTGAAGGGTCCCAGTTCAATTCTGACATAGGCAAATGCTTGGGTTGTGGGCTCAGTCCCCAGTGGTGGGGCATGTGGGAGGCAGCCGATCAATGTTCTCTCATCATTGATGTTTCTATCTCTCCCTCTCCCTTCCTCTCTGAAATAAATTTTAAAAAAAGTTACCTCATTAAGGTAACAAGAGACACATTTATTACAAAAAAAGCCCACAAAGAAAAAACACAACCTTTTAGATAATCATTAATATTATGTATCAATGAAAAAACAATCCTGCTCATAGAAATGATTATTTCTATTAGTCATTTATATAGATGGCCTTTTTTCAACTCTAAACTATACATTCTCTGAGCTGTAGTTTAACTGATGTCTAAATCATTCTTATATTTTTCAAAGCACTTATTTACATTTTTATACTGTTTAAGTTCAATAAATATCTGTTAAAATATATTAAAATGTCCTGAGAAAACTATGTGGAGATAAAATATGTAATTTAAAAAAATTTAAATATTTTAAATGATATAATATAGCTAGACAATGTAGAGTACAATATATTTTAGAAAAACTAACAGTAGACAAAGGTTTAAATAAATTATAATTTAATTAGGAATTGGGAATTACTACTATTTTAAAAGTGGATTTTTTTGGGGGGGGGAAGAGGCAAGTAGAAAAATGTAACTTTATATAATTATTTTATTACTAATCTTTTGTTTTAAGAATATGTTTAGTATATTCTAAAACAGCACTATACTTTCCCAGGTCAATACAACTTAAAGGAAAAAACCCACAGCAAAGTAACAATAATGTAAAGCCCATGGTAAGGTCAGCAGAAAAGAAAGATACTGCCTTTGCCTTAACACTACTCATTAACTCTCTACTCTCATCTTCCATCAATGTATATCTAACCAAATTGTCCTCCTTTTTTGTCCTTTAAACTTCTTGCTGCATCAAACCCTTTACACTTACTGTCCCCTCTATAGGAATACTCTTCCTTCCTCACACCAGTGATCTGTTTAAATGTTTATGGTCTTCAAGGTCAATAGGCAATGAGCTAAGAAACAGTCTAAATTTTGGTGTTAGACCATAAATTCCACTCTGTTCGAATGATATTTTCAGGGGACTTGTTCATAATAATTCAAAGCACAACTGTCATTAAAAATAAACTCTTGCCCTGCTGGTGTGGCCCAATGGTTGAGCATCAACCTATGAATCAGGAGGTCAAAGTTCAATTCCCAGTAAGGGTACATGCCTGGGTTGTGGGGTCGATCCCCATTGTGGGGCAGCTGAGCAACGATTCTCTCTCATCACTGATGCTTCGATCTCTTTCCCCCTTTCCCTTCTTCTCTGAAATCAATAAAAACATATTAAAAAAAATAATAAGTAAACTCTTTACCTCTTTTTCCTTTCTGTCTATGGCGTCTCTCTCAGCTTGCAACTGTACTTCTAGGGACAATTCTGCTTTAGCTTCTACAGCTCCAAATTGTTTTCGGTCCTCTACCTTTAAATATATAAGAATTTTCTCAAATTTTCAGACATTAAATCTTGATTATCCTTTTTAATTGGAAAAGTAGCAATTCTATTTCTCCCAATTACAAGTAGATAATCTACATTAGTGAATAATAAAAAGTTACAAATATTCAGTCTTGAATGCATTTTATACAACCTCTTACAGAAATGTTTGACGCTCTTAAAATTCATCCCTCAGATAAAATAAAGTCTGTCCCTCATCTACTCCTCCCAAGCTTCCTTATCCTGCTCTTGTGGTTTTTTGTATTTTTTTTCCATTCATTTTTGTTTTTTTGCAGTATAATGAGAATAGATTTCATTACTTTCTAGTCTGGGGTAGAGCATCAGTCTAAACAGATGTCCATAGTTTGTTCACTTGGCTATTATTTTAGAATCACAACCTATTGATGGTTAAAGGGGTATAATGAATTCTTCTGGTTTAACTAATCTTCTTTTCTCAGGACTAAGGCATGCAAGTAACATTTGGAAATAAAAATAAATAGAAATGGTTATAATGTCAATGAAGACATAAAGATATAGAATATACTTTATGCAATAACATCAAAAACTCAATAGCAACTTTTTACTTAAAAGAACTGATGTTCATGTAATTGGGAGTAGCCTGCATTAAAATATTTGATAAAAATCAACACAAAGAAAATGTCCCACCTTTTGGAAAGGGTCTGTACTAACGAGTAAGGCTTGCTCCAGTTCTCTTACTCTAAACTCCAGTTTCTCAATTTCTTCATTCCGTTCTTGAATGTCCCTCTGAAGCTGCTCTTTAGAGAGCAAAAGCTCACTGCACTTGTCTGTTTTTTCTTTCAGATGATTTGTTAACTGTTCAACCTGAAAATATGTTATACACAAAAACTGTAAATTCAAAAAATTTCAGCAAGTTAATAGAATATCTATCCCCATTTCAGAAAGTATTTTTGGCTCTACCTGGTTTGGCTCAGTGGGTAGAGTGAAGAGTCCCACGTTCCATTCTGGTCAAGGGCATATGCTCTGGTTGGGGACTCGATCCCCAGTGTGGGGGAGGGGGAGGTGCAGGAGGCAGCCAATCAATGATTCTCTCTCATCGTTGCTGTTTCTATATCTCTTTTTCTCTCCCTTCTTCTCTGATATCAATAAAAAAAATATTTTTTGAAAGTATTTTTGAATGCTATGCTTATTATTATTTTTTTAATCCTCACCTGAGGATATTTCACCCCCATTATTTTTAGAGAGAATGTAAGGAAGAAAAGAGGAGGGGGGGGGGGAGAGAGAGAGAGAGAGAGAGAGAGAGAGAGGGAAATTTTTTCAATGATTGGTTGCCTCCCACATGTGCCCTGACAAGGGGGCCAGGGATCAAACCTGCAACCAACTGACCTACCTGGCCAGGGCTATACTATAAAACTTTTTAGAAATAAAATTTATTTTGAGCCCTGCCAGGTAGCTCAGTTGGTTGGAGTGTCATCCAGATACACCAAGGTTGTGGGTTTAATCTCTGGTTGGGGTACATGGAAGAATTAACTAATGAATGCAGTGGAACAACAAATCGATGTTTCTTTCCCTATCTCTCCCCATCCCCCTCTAAAAAAGAAATTTTTTTAAAAACTATTTTCAGAAATAATAGTTAAATTTAAGTGTTCATTGTGTACCAGGACAATACTTCTATCTGATGGGTTCTATTGCAATCTCTATTTTAGAAAGTGACTTTAGCCATTGTCACACACCTATTAAAGGGCAGAGACATGATTTGAACTGAAATGATCTAAAACTAAGCATAATGTTTTTTATAACCATGATAAGCCACCTTTACAATTTATATAATGAATCTTCCCTCATTCATGTAGCATACATTTGATAAATATGAAGTTCTGGTTATGTGTTCATATTAGGAGAAAATGGACAGTTGGGGTGATAAAGCAGAAGCAAGAGAGTAGTAAAGAGGCTACCAAAATCATCTAAGCAAGAAATAACAACAGCTAAGATTTAAGGAGCTGAATGAAAGGGAAAAGAATAAGAAAATGCAGTGAAACCTGACTCACTAACAGATAAGGAGGGCTGAGAAAATGTGTGGAATTAAGAATGCATTCTAGGTCTTAACAATGAGGAAGGTGGAGATGGTATAAAATTTACTGAAATAAAGAAACATGTTTTATTCTTATCCTTCTTGGTTGGGGATAGTCATGCATCAAAGCTCTCTTTTGAGCATATTAATTTTGAGACATCTAAGAGGAAATGTAGACTGGGCAACTGATCATTCAAATCTAGGACTCAACTGAGATGTTAGGGCTAGAGGTACAAATGTGGAGTCATCTATAAATATATATAAAAGCCAAAGTGACCAGCTGACCAGCCAATTGGCCGGTAGCTATGACACATACTGACCACCAGGGGGCAGACGCTCAATGCAGGAGCGGAAACCATAGATATGAAAATATGAAACAGACTGATGAACCTCAGAAGGAGAGGGCAGGGCAGGAAGAGATTAGCCAAAGATCTTATATGCATTCTAGAGGCCCGATGCCAGTGGGGTCTGGTCTGTGGGGATTAGGCCGAAATCAGCGTGGTGCCCGGATTTGTGCACCAGTGGGTCCCTCAGCTTGGCCTGTGGGGATCAGGCTGAAACCAATTCTCCGACACCCCCAAGGGGTCCCAGGCCAGGCCGAGGCACTCCCCCAGTGTACAAATCTGTGCACCGGGCCTCTAGTTTATATATAACTGCCTTAGAAAAGAATATAAATAGGAAAGAAAATGGGGCTCAAGACTAAGATTTAGGGTACTCCATCATTATTTTGGGTCAAAAAAAACAAAGACAAGAGAAAGAGACCTATGAAGTGAGTGTGTCACAGAAGCTCAAGAGAAGGAAGTGTTTCAGGAGGAAGGTTGTATGAGTGCCTCCACATGGTAGGGGTGTCGAACTCAATCAGAGAAGGGGCCAAAATCTATAATCCAGCCTAAATCGCGGGCCGAATAGTTTACTGAACAGTCATAAACTGTCATTGTGATGGAAACGCAGCGGAGTGCAGTGATGACAGTGCGGTGCGGGCCACATTGCAAGTGGGACGGATTTGGCCCGTGGGCCTTGTGTTTGACACATGTGGATAGAGAAATGGTTACTGGACATAGCCATGAGGCTGTGGGTAACCTTTATAGAACAGTTTCCACCTAGTAGAGCAGGGCTGGGGAATGTCTGGCCAGAGGGCTGTGCAGGCTCACGAAATCATTTGATCTGGTCCTACCAAGGCATTAGGGGTGAGTTAATTAAATGTTTGACCAAATGTAGTAGGCTAATTTTTAAGTTGACAATTTTGTATGGCCCACAAATGATGTTATAAATATCCAAATGGCCTGTGGCAGAAAAAAGATCCCCCACCCCTGAAGTAGAGGATAATAAACTCCATTGAGACAGAGAGGTTAGACACTTTATTGGAGTGGATTGAGAAGAGAATGAGATGGGAAAGTAAAGAGTGAATGAATATAGACAACTCTTTTGATCAGTTTTTTTGGGCATGCGGAATAAAAAATAAGTAGAAAAGTTTATTTCACTGGACAATACTAGAAGATAAATATAAGTAGTAATGATTCCAAATGTCAATGCACACAGTTTTAATCCTCATATAAAGATAATTTTTCCATTGCTTTTCAGAAAGGAGCGGGGGTGGGGGGGTGGGGAAGAGAGAGAGAAGCATTGATGTGAGAGAGACATATCCACTGGTTGCCTCCTGCATGTGCCTCAACTGAAGATGGGGAGAGAACCCATAACCCAGGTTCATGCCCTTGAATAGGAATCGAACCCACAACCCTTTGGTGTGTGGGCCAATGCTCTAAACACACCAGCCAGGACTCAATACACATAATTTTTATTTATTTATTTATTTATTTATTTATTTATTTATTTATGTATTTATTTTTAAATATATTTTATTGATTTTGTACAGAGAGGAAAGGAGTGAGATAGAGAGCTAGAAACATCGATGACAGAGAAACATCGATGACAGAGAAACATCGACCAGCTGCCTCTTGCATACCCCCCACCGGGGATGTGCCCGCAACCAATGTACATGCCCTTGACTGGAATCGAACCCGGGACACCTTTCAGTCCGGGACCGACGCTCTACCACTGAGCCAAACCGGTTTCGGCAATACACATAATTTTTAGGGTTTTAAGAACTTTTTCATGTCAAAGTAATATTTACTTTGAAGATTTACGTACAACAGAAAGAATTCCTTTTAAGTTTTTTAAAATATGCACCTTATTTTAAAATATATAAATTATTTTAAGGTAGACAATATCAGTAAAGTTCTTACCTCTCTGGTTTGATGTTCACTGATAGGCTGGAATCGAGGCACAACCTTAAGTTGCTGTTCTAATTTCTGTATTTCTTGTTGGAATACATCTCTCTCATGTTCTCTATCAATGGCTTGCTCCTGAATTTTAATAACAATAATTGAAGAAACAGTATTTATTACAGTTATTATTTTCCTCACATACCCTTTGGTTATAGGTACAGTTTTGTTTGAAGAAAACAACTGATGACCAAAGAATACTCCAAAAGATAACATTTTTGTGTGGTATGGAGCCTACATGGGCTCTTCAACAAAAATTAAGCACTTAAATATTATTTGAAGCACATTTTTCTTTTTAATTTGAGTAATGTTAAATACAAAATAAAATAAAGATTATTCTCCTTAAAATGAATTTCCTTTTTTGGAACAAAGGATGTATTCCACTGTTAACTTAATTATTAAACAAAATAAATAGAAGAAATTGTTTAGTAAATCAACTTATTTCATCCTAATCTAGGTTTTACACTTAAAATCATATAATGTGTAAGAATCTGATTCTCTGATATGTGAAGTGAACTTCAGGCTTAAATGAAATCACAAAGAAAAAAGTTCATGCGAAATTAGAGATGTGAGATTTTTTTAAAAAGAGATCAATGACAACTGTTCCAGTCCCTTGTCTCCAAGGGAACACTGTTACCAGTATGTATATCTTTTGTGGGTGTGACAATAGCGGACAATTGGCTTTTAGGATGACCCTCTCCTGCTTTGGCAGTTGGTTAAAGGAAAGACTAGGACAAGCTTCTTAACTATGACTGTGGAAAGGCAGGGCTTCTTTATAATTTGCCTGTATTGCTTTTAATTCTGATTGCTGATTCTAACAATTATTAGAATTTTTAATTGGAAGAGTAGCTTTTAATTTATTGGTAAAGACACATATAGAAGAAAATATGGAATTCATGAGTCTCTTCATAATTTAAAATTCACAACCTAGAATAGCAGCAGGTAGCATTCCACTGAGAAAAATCAACATTTAAGTTGAAGGTACTTACATCTAAAAATTTTCTTGTTTTTTCCAACTGCTTTTCCAGTGCTTGGTTCTGTTGTCTTAAATCCATTAGTTCAGCATTTTTTTCTTGTTCCAGCTCTACAAACCTACTGACTTGTTCCTCAACATCCATTTCCAGAGCTTTCACTTGTTTTTGAAGGTCATCACATACTTTTTCAGCTTGACATTGTACTTCTAATTTTTCCTTCATTAGTTTTTCTGTCTCCTGTAATAATTCTGTTTATAAATGCAAAAATATACTACATTAAATCACAGTGGCATTGTAATAGTGAAATCACATGACTATGTTTAAATTTTACCTTCAGGACATAAAGATCAGTTTTATTTCAAATACATGTAGAAAAAGAAAATATTCCTATGAAAATATCAAATAACATTCCTATATTAGCAAGCAAGTAGTATCAATAAAATTATACAGAATTAACAAAAAGAATGTCCTGTCTTTGAAAACAGTATTTTTTGTGAAAGCAGCACAGCAAATGACACCCCCCCCCAAAAAAAAATCCACTTATACTACGAGGAAAAGGACAAAGTCTAATTACACTCGAGTATGGAAATAACTCACCTCAGGCAAAAATCAATTCATTCTAAAACCATAAAGTCACTTCTTTATGCATACACAATACACATGAAGATCAAATACTGCAAATCTTTAACCAAGGCAAGTAAAAGTTAAAGAAAAAAAAATACAACTGCAATCAGAATTTTGTGTTAGTCTTAATCCTTATTAGATCCATATTCCTGAGTGAGTCTTGCACACTCATATATTTGTATATCAAGGGAAAACTGGTAAGTAGGAAAGGCAGTGTGGTGTAGTGCTTACAGTTCTGCCACTTAGCTCCCATGCTGACACTTAACATGATGCCCTTCGTTTTTCTTACATATAAACTAGGAACAGTAAGAGTACTGATCTCTAAGAGTTATTGTGGGACCAAATGAGTTAATACATGTGAAGAATAGTGCCCAGGGTATGGTGGGCACTATATAACTGTTAGCTATTATTAATATTAATCATACAATAATAAAGTATATTTAGCCAAGTAAAACAATTCTCTAATGAAGAAAATGGAAGAAACAAAACCCTAGAGTCTTTATACCAACTGGTCTGCCAACACACTACTCAGGACTAGGAATCTAGAAAACAGCTTGCCTTTCAAAACAATACTGATTTAGATGTTAATATAAAAGTAAATCAACCAGAAAGTCTCTTTATGAAATTCACTGATTCTGTTGATGCCATCATCTTATATACTTCTTGATTTAGAAATAGCATTTTGAAAAGCCATAGGCTGTAAGAGTTTAATATATTTGTTAAAGAAAAAATGTTTAACAAACCAACATTTAAAAAAAAATCAAATGGTCTTAAGTTCTGTGGAAAAACAGATATAATAAGATGATGGTCACTGTGAATCTTAGCTGTTAATTTCAAATATAAAAATATATATTTTTATTGTAAGAAAAGGTTTTGTTAAAGAGAAAAATTAGTATGAAACACAACAGCAAAATTAGAGATATGCTAGTGGGTTGAAAGTCCAAGTGTCACCCAATTTTTGGAGTTGTAAGTTTAACACCAAAGATTGGCCATGCAATTGTGTAAACACACCTGATCCAGGTGCTGCATCGACTGCAGCATCTACTAGTCCTATGAGAATAGAAAAAAACAAAACAAAACAAAAAAAAAACACACACAGAAAATATAATTTACATGGCTTCTATTTTCTAAAATAGGATAATATATATACACACAAAGAATCAAAAGTAAAAGGTGAAACCATTGAATATTAATGGTAACATTTTGAGGAATGTCAGTGTTTCTTAACTTTAGATATATGAGCCATATACTTTCCATATTAAACATTCCAACTCTAGCCTTGGCTGCTGTTACTAAATGGTAGAGCACTGACCTGTGTACCAAAAGGTCTCTGGTTCGATTCCCAGTCAAGGGCATGCACCTGGGTTGCAGGTTTGATCCCTGGCCCCACCTGGGGGGTGCATGGAAGGCAACCAATTGATATGTCTCTCTCATGTTGATGTTCCTTCCTTCCTCCCTCCCTCCCGCCTTCCCTGCCTCTCAAAAAATTATGAAAAAAATATTCTTGGGTGAAGATTAACAACAACAACAACAAATCCAATCCTAAATCTGTGTTGAACAAACTTGAGCAACCAAAAATAAATTACATATATTACAAAAATGTATGTTGTATTTCTCAACTAGTAAAACTACACACAATTCCAACAGCTTGTGAAATATTAAAGTGAGAAGTTATGATAAAAAGGATTTAAACTTCCATTGTTACAAAGACTGACATTTATGTTTTTACTGTTAAACAGACTTTATTTCAAGATGTTACCTACTTTCTCACTGAAGAAAAGATTAAAATTCATATATTCTTTGAACTACTACTTAGATTAAACTAGATGTCAGTCTGCTTTTAAAGCCACTGACCTTTTCAAGCTATTCTCTTGTAGGCCAAAATCCATCCCTACCTGCTCAATTCTAGTACCAGATCAGTGCTCTTCATTACTTATTCCAAGTACAAATTTTTGCTGCCTTTCTGCTATTAAAGGAACTAAATCTTACTGAATTTAAAAAATATCCTGTCTCATCATGTGCAGCTTTCTCTTGAAGCAGAGGTTTAAAGAAAAATGAATTATCTTCTCCTGTTAAAACTTCCAAAGGAAAAATAAAATAAAATTCTGATCCCACATATTTGGCTAGTAAGACATTTACCAATAAGATAGATTTTCTTATAATTTTTTCTTATCTCTATATAAAGTATGTGAATAATGGCACTGAAAGGGGGGAAAAGCCACCTTGAACTTTAAAGGAATGTTTCATACAAAGTCTAAGAATACATACGCTGTTCGACTGGGCCTGCTTCTGCTTTCATTGCCTCCTTCTGTCTGCACAGCAATTCTCTTTCTTCTTGGATCTGCAGTTGCTCTGCTTCCAATTCTTGTAACCTGCTACTTGCACATAACAACTCCTGCTCCAGGCCATCTATGATATCCGCTTTTTCCTGAATTTGCCTTTCATAAAGGGTTTTTTCCTCTGCATAACCATCAATGACACCTATAAGATAAAATTATTTTAAATTGTACTGGTAGGTTTTATATAAATAAAAGATGTGTGCTGCTAGCAAAATTAAAGCAAGCTATTAACAGGGTTTTTTAAAATATATATATTTTTTATTGATTTTTTTACAGAGAGGGAGAGAGAGGGATAGAGATTTAGAAACATCAATGAGAGAGAACCAGCTGCCTCTTGCACACCCCCTACTGGGGATGTGCCCGCAACCAAGGTAAGGTACATGCCCTTGACTGGAATCGAACCTGGGACCTTTCAGTTCGCAGGCTGACGCTCTATCCACTGAGCCAAACCGGTTTCGGCACTGTTAATAGTTTTGAGTGAATTTGCTGCTGCTGATAGCAACTAGAGTATGTTCAATGCAGCTTTTTTCTTGTTATCCAATATACCTAATTATGAAATTCCTCTGAACTTTCTATGCTAATGTATCACATCATGTGGGTTTAACTTAACTTTATTAAATACATATAAATAGATAGGTTCCTGGAAACCTATATATGAATCAGATGCTTATGAACTGAATCACATTTTAAATTTAACAGAGAAAGTTGATATTTAAGTGATTCTACAAGGCCAACACCCAGCACAGCAGGGTGCAATATAAACAGTCTGAGGCTTACAGGCTTAAAGCCTAGTATCATTATTTAATGGTGAGTGATCCTACAAAATCATTAATATTTTAGCTTCAGTTTCCTCATCTTTAAATTACAGGAGTTGTCTTAGGATGGCGGGATTATGGTAACAACCTACCATCACCCATTTCTGTATTTTCTAAAAATTTTTATACTTTCTATAATTCTGTTAAGTACTTTTTATAATTAAAAAATATATAGTTTTAAAAACTGTTTGAAGTAGCCGAAACCGGTTTGGCTCAATGGATAGAGCGACGGCTTGGGGACTGAAAGGTCCTGGGTTCGATTCCGGTCAAGGGCATGTACCTTAGTTGCGGGCATATCCCCAGTAGGGGGTGTGCAAGAGGCAGCTGATCGATGACTCTCTCTCATCGATGTTTCTAACTCTATCTCTCTCCCTTCCTCTCTGTACAAAATCAATAAAATATATTTAAAAAAAAGAACAGTTGATGGAGAAAAGTTTCTCTTAAAAAAAAATAAAAACTGTTTGAAGTAATTCAAAGACAAGTTACAGCTACTTTTTAATGGTCATTCTAAATTAGAGTAGATGACTGGTTTCCAAATCTGGCTTGCATCGGAATCTCTATATTTAGACTAGAAATTTCCCACCCTCAGTTGCCAATGGCAAGGTGCTCACCTTCAGCCTTACTGAGCTCCACAGCCAGCTGCTCTCTGGCCCTGGACTCCTCATGGAGGCGCTCTCGCAGTTCTTCTTGGCACTTAAGGGACTCTGTTGCTTCTCGTTTCTGTCTAAATGACTCACGCATCAACTCTGTCTGTGTAACTCTTGCATGTTCGAGCTAAAGAGGAGGGAAAGGATACATGAAGGAAAACAGCTAGTGCTGGTAATACCAATGTCATTCCCTATTAAAGCTTTAAAAAAGAGGCTTTAAATAAGAATAAAGGCATATAATACTTGTTGAACTGTAGTCATTTAATATTTTTAGTACATGCTAACATTAGTAGGTGGGATAAACAAGTATATTAGCTGTGTCCAACTTTCCATAAAAGATGTATTCTAGTTTAACAGAAAATTGCTTCTTTTGTAAATAAACATCAAGATCTGTATTCTATTGTATAAAGAGACATAAAAAGTAAGACATAGGTTCTTTTTCTATTTGTTAAATAATTTTATGTAACTGTGTTTTATGATAAACTTTATTTCTTTTATATTTACATTTATTTAATTGTGACTCCTACTGCACACTGTGAGAAACTAATAATATATGATTAAATACAATGATATCAATGAACAAAATCACAATGGCAAAACAAAATTAAATTACATAATTATGTTTTAACTAAATGTCTATGTTTCTATCTATTTGTGAAACAACTACAAGATTCTATATGGTTATTCTGTTTCTTTTCAAAACTTTAGAACACAGGCATTATCCATAAACACAGTTCCCTTAAAATGCTGTCACTGGCACACAATGACTACAAGCCAAAATTTTTCTTTAAGATGACAAGGTAATTCTCAAGTATTGTACAGAGTCAAGGCCAAAGCTCTAAAAAACAAACAAACAAACCCACAAAACAAAAAAACAAACAAACAACAACAAAAAAAAGGTATCACCATTACCAGCTGCATGAAATTACAGAAAAACACTAGTCTCTAACTTTGTTTTCTGGGCTGCTGACTGTTAATCTATTCTTATTGAAACAACTACATGGGGAAAAAATTGAGCTCAAATTGAATACTTAGATCTAGATGATTAACACTATTAAATTTTTTTAAAAGCAGTGACCATGTACATTAGTCACAGATTCACAACAATGTCATAAGAATTTGAAAATTTATATATAAAGTACTAAGTATATTAAAAATATTACCATGTCTTAAGCTTTAAATATGAATCAACTGTAGTGGTTTCTGATTTATAGTCAGGTATCAATAATGAATTATAAAATTATAATATTTAAGAATATTTTTATTTTTAAAGACATCTACCTGGTCTTCACATCTGAGTGATATTTGTAATAGCAAATAGATTTTAGAGTTACTACTGTCACTCTAAGTCAATTTCTAAAATATCTTGTTTGCATTATTCAATTTAAGATTCATAATGAAAAATAAGCATACATTTTAAATAAAATATTTCCTAATATAAATAATATGTTGCTACTTCAACATAGATAAAATTATGTTTTTACTTTAGATTGATAAGAGTATTTTCCTTTAAATGTGGATAACTAATATGCATTCATTTTTATTAATATTAATTTTTATTATAAAGAAACATAGTCATAAAGTATGAACTAATTTTTATATAATTACTCTCCCTGAATTTATAGCCATAGTAAATATTTAAGAAATATATAAATTATTTCTACATGTACATATGTTTTTCTGAAAATATTAACTGCTTTCCTGATAAATACATGAAATCACTAAAAGAGTTCAAAGTTCTAACTAAAAAGAATATGAGTCTTTTTCCTTTTTCAAATTAACTGTACAAATGAAACAGAATATTTGCAACAAACTACTTTTAGATAAGAAATTAAGTAAATCTTTACTTCTATATCCTACTTCTTAACAGGATCTAAGCCAGCCTTAAAGTGCACTTAACTGTTTGCCACAAGAAATAACAAAAATGTTGGAAGAATCAAATACAGTAAATTTGGCCAACAAATTTCATTATCATGCAAACAGCACCCTCACTTTGTTGGAATAAAAGATTCCCTTCAAATGTTCACCTAGATACTTTATACTTAAAAAACCCTCTTCTATCTAGTTGAGGTATTATTTATCCCTAATACCTATGTAATACCTAGTACTTGCTAAATATGAAATTTCATAATCAATATTTTCAAATAATTTAAGAAACCTATCATTACATTGAAAATATGTATAAAGCATCAGTAAATATTCTGTCACTTTAATATAAAAGTTTCAGGGTTGGCAACAAAACTGTTCTGAAAACCACCTGGCTTGTTAAATATTAGCTAGTATATCATAGTTAAAGTCATTAAAGCCATAAAAAGTGCTGAGTAACAGGCAGCTACACTGAATAACTTGTAGTGAATCATTTACACATATTTAAATCAAACGAACTTGAAATACCAACCTATGTTAAGTACGGGTATCCTGAACAATGTTTATAAATATATTTTTCACATAAAAAGCAAAAAAAAGGTATTTCCTCACAGGATTAGTAGCCATATAAAATCACTGAAAATGAAGTTTCTTAGAAAGTTAGCAAGAAAATTTAAATTAGAATTCAGGTCTCCCTTTTCTTGTCTGAAACTATGGCCAATATGCCATATGATTGTTAAACATTTCCTAATTGGCTCAATGACAATTCACTTAGCTATTTTAGGTTTCACAATGCCATTTCCTCAAATGGTTCCATTTTTACTCAGGATTGACATCATAAATATATAAAAGCAAGATTCTTCAGGACAAGCCAAGATCTTTGAAAATAGCTTGCCTGGCATGGGAGAACTGTAATATTATCTCATTCTGCTTTCATAGATAAAAAATGTAGTCAAGTTGGGGTTCCGAGACCAAATTTAGCCCTTCAATACGCCCAGGATGAATGAGAGATAGTAACACACCAAACCACAAAACAAGATTCTCTTCCATTTATCCTTACTAAAAGCATTTAAACTTTATTTCTCACTGTACAGTTTTTTTTTTTAAACCAAATGTGTTAAAATAAAGTATAAACTAAAACTAAAGTATAAAAAATAAAATATTTTATACTTACTGAATAAGGAGGGGTAGGCAGTGAAATTTTAGAAATAAGCTTTAATATGTGCCCGTTTTTTTTATGAATAAAATGAAAAATAGAAGTATTAATAATTACTGAGTTATTTTCATCCAAATGCTCACATAGAGGAAATGGATGTGGTAAAGGCACACGAGATTCAACCTCATAAATGTCTTCATCTTGTTCTTCCAACCAGGAGCCACTGAGTTTGACTGTTGCCAAATAGGTCCTGTAAGAATCCATTCTAGGAGATGCAGCTGCCAATGTTCCTCATTGATCAGCTTTCCATTACAGTAAAATTCTTTTTAAGCTTATCAAGACATACCAAAGCAGAATAAAAAATTCTTTTTAGCACTATCCAATAAACATTATAAAGCTAATTCATAAAAAACTAAACAAAAAAGAAAAAAACCCACAAGCCTAAAAAACAACACCTAGATCTTTCAGTCAACAACAAAACGAAACAAAAATAAAAGCAAGCAAACAACTTTTAAACCAGATTAACTAAATCCTTGAAAAATGAAAGAAAAAAAATAGAAATATCAAACTGGCTGAGCAATAAAACTGCTTTCAGCATCAAATACGTCTGTGGAAATAAATAACCCTTCCAAGCCGATCCTGGCAGGGAAGGTCAAGTTTTAAATCTCCATAGTAGCAGTCTTGAGAAATGTAGTTGCAACATTATCTCCCTTGTTCTTGTTGCTTCACTCAATTCAAAAGTAAAACCTCTTCTGAACTGAGCTATTCAAATAGCCTCTCACACTGAGCCAAAGGATTCTAGTCAGTGTCCCCTGAGGAAAAGGTCAGAACAGAGGGTGTGGTTTAATGTCTTACCTATAGGTACTCTGACAGGTGGGTGGAATGTGAATTAATACGCCCACAAAAAAGCCTGCCCAACAGGATTCAAGTTCCACGTAAGAGCTTTGGAAAGGGTATTTAGATAAGTTTATAAAGCTTCTGAGATAAGCTAGTGTTTTTCCATCCCATTAAAATGCTTGTTTTAATTTAAAAATGTGAAACCACATTACCAATGAGTTCTGCAACTATATGAAACAATCATAATTATTTCTGGAAAACTAAGTTAGCACTTCTTTTTGATATTTTCTTAGAAATAATACTCATCCTTTTAAGCAGTTACTAGAATACAGGGTAGGGTAAAAGCAGGCTTACAGGTGTGAGTACACAGAGTTCATTCTTATATTATTATTTATTAAGTATTGCATTATTTTTCCATATAAACAACAATAAACCTATTTTTGTCCCACCTCTGTATAGGTAGTCTAGTTATGACCCGTTTCCACAATGAATTGATTATAGAGTGAATATTAACAGGGAAAAAAAATGCACTTCTTTTGAAAAGCTACATAGTTGGTAACTATATCACGTAAGATAATTAAAACTTAAAAGCACAAGTTGTATATAATAGCCTTCTTGTAGCTCAAAAAAACCTGGACAACAGTGAATAAACCAGCTACTAAAGTTTTAAAAGATGAGCAACTTACTTTTCAATATTAAAAGATCCTCAAAAGTGAAAGTTGTTTTTAAATAAATGAAAAAACTTTTATACCCCATATTAAAGCGAGGCATTATTAATAAAAATTCATTTCATAGCCATTTCACCACACAAAATTGTTTAGAGGAGCCAATACTCAAGGCTTATAATTAGGGCAGAGAAAATGAGATTTTCGCCGAGACCGGTTTGGCTCAATGGATAGAGCGTCGGCTTGGGGACTGAAGGGCCCCGGGTTCGATTCAGGTCAAGGGCATGTACCTTGGTTGCGGGCATATCCCCAGTAGGGGGTGTGCAAGAGGCAGCTGATCGATGACTCTCTCTCATCGATGTTTCTAACTCTCTATCTCTCTCCCTTCCTCTCTGTACAAAATCAATAAAATATATTAAAAAAAAAGAAAAAAGAAAAAGAAAATGAGATTTTCTACAGAAAGCCAAGAATCTACAGGGAGATGAGGAAGGGGCAGCTGCCTCTTACAATTTTGGATTAAGCAATGACAAATTTCTTATGTGAACCCTCAGTTAGTTGTCTGAACATCTGTATAAGATGAAGGCCTGATCCTACCACTGACTCAGCTAAATGTGACATTACTGGGATTCAGCAGACACAAAATTATCAGCATTAAAGCCATTTAGCTTTATGGACGGTGGGACTCATGCTTAGCATGTGAAATACTTCTCAAAATACTCTTCCTTGGCTCTCTCTGCAAAGTACAATTTGGAGACTCTGGTGTCCAATTTATCTTATTTGAAGCAAAAACAAAAGCTGAAAGTAAGAAGTATCCCTTTATAAATAGAAACATTTAGGTCAAGATAAGAACTAACTACAAAGGAAAGAGAGAAATACACAAGGGAGGAAAACAAGACTCAAGAAAGCAGTAGATTAAGACTTAGAATGGGGCAACAGCCCTTGTAACAACAGTATGTTAACTGACGGCATATTATATTCATGTTCAGAAAGGTGATCAGAATTAAAATAATTCAAATTATAGCCCCCACCCAATTTTGAAAGCATGTAAAACTTGTTTCCATCCATGTAAAAACACACACACATTTGTGTGTAAGTGGTATCTCTTTGTAACTAAGAATAAAAGGACAAGGTTAAGAAAATAACCACCAAAAAATACAGTAGAATTAGGGGGGAAAGACTCAAGCAGTTAAGATGATTTAGGATAGGGGCAAATAGCTCACCTAACAACAATATGTAAACTGTGATATATTATATGTATATGTAATAAAAAAGTTAAAATGACTTCAATTATTTAGGACACCCTTTTAATTACCCAGACTATTTCATTATCCCCAGGTTTCATATAATCAATATTTTAATGTTATTTGAAGGCTTAATTTATGGTATAGTTATGTTTCCCAAACTATTTCAATAGTTTGTACAAACTAGGTTATTTGTATAACCTCAAGCTATTTAACCTTTCCCCCCATAACTATTTCCATCAAATTGTAAAATATTTCTGTTGTTCTCCTTTGGATTTTTATTTACTTATTTCTCTAATGAGAATGAATCCTGGACCCAATACCCCAACTAATGCTTAGAATAGCACATTGGGGACAATGCTAATGGCAAAATGTTTCAACAAAAAAATGACAAAACAGAAGTTATACCTACTGCTTCAACCTCAGAAAAGCCTCTTTTTTTTGTCTTTTTTGTTGTTGTTGAGAAAATATAGAAACATGAAGCTTAGGACCCATCATTCTTAAAAATGATAATTAATAAATTCTAGAGAGTTGCCTACAATAACAATTACTCTGTGGGAGTAATTCTTTATTCATTAATTTCTTCCAAGGACTTAGGAATCTCTTGGTAAATAATCTTCTGTGGCTCTAAATAGTATCCCTGGATTCTGAAAACTTTGTGAAAGACTAGTCCCACAGAACAGATTGATTTGTATTTTCACCTGCCCCCAATAAGCCACACTCTCAAAGATAATGTTCTACAGAACCACAGAGAGATTACTGAATAAGGAGTAGGTTAAAAAGATGTACCTTTCTAAGGGCTGAAGGATATCTTTAAATCCTTTTCTTCATATTATAATGAAAGCTATCACAAAGAGGAAACTGCAATGGGCTGAATATAAGCCCAATTTTATAGTATCCCTTTTGGGCAAAAGAGAAGTTTAATCCATCATAATAAATGTATTATTATATGAATTTGGGCATACCACTGGGCAAATAACTTGTCAAATCAAATACATAAAGTAGAATACTACTACAATAGATATGAAATCAGCCTATAAGGCAGATGCCCTGATAGTAAAGAAAATGCTCATTAGTTATTTTATTTTTTAATTATTAAAAAAAAACCATTTTTACTGATTTTTTTTGGGGGGAGGTGACATTGATCAACATGAACATATAGGTTTCAGGTGTGAGATATTATGTTACAAGATCTATATATTGCACTGTGTGCCCACCACCAAAGTCAGATCTTCTCCTGTCACCATATATTAGAGAGAGGAAGGGAAAGGGAGAGAGGGAGAGAAGGAAGGAGAGAGAAAAAAACATTGATTGGTTGTCTCACTCATCTACCCCAAACTGGGGATCAAACCTGCAACCTGGGTATGTACCATGACTAGAAATCAAGCCTGAAACTCTTTGGTTCAGGGCCGATGCTCCAACCACTGAGCAACACACAGCAGCCAGGACTCAGTTCAACATTTTAAAAATAAATAAGTGAATTTACTTCATTTTAACGGCAAATAATTTTTAAAATTCTGCATAAGTAACTTAAGAGACAATTATCATACATGGTGTAAAAATTTTATAGACAGAGAACACTGCAATTTGTTATAAATACCTTGTTTTAAAAATTTCTATATAAATAGTATTTTAATGTAGAAACTGCCCTACATTCTAATTTCCTAACAAGAGATAGTCTGTAAAGTGGAGTAATCTATTCATATTTGTGAAAAGGATGTTAAAATTACGTAAAGAAATTGTAGGTTTGAGTTGTTCGTATTATAATAGTGATGTTATGACACACTAGAACATATAGCTTGTTTTCAGGATAACAGATACTATTCCTTCAAATGAATTATATATATTATACTGGAATATTTCATATAATGGTGAAGTTAAAACCTCTTTTGGTATAAAAAAAGTAACATGTAAGAGTCTAGAAAATCTGAAAATTAAAACAACATTCAATTTTAGACCTAGAATAATCTGTCAGCACATTATATTTTATCACTTAAAAAGAAGACTATTGATACCAGTGTTGGTCATCACAAAGACAACCGATTATTATTATTATTTTAAAATTTATTTTAGAAAGAGAGGAAGGGAGAGAGACATGGATGTTGAGAGAAACACTGATCGGTTGCCTCCCACATGTACCCTGATTAGAGATCGAACCCGCAATCTACACATGTGCCCTGACTAGGAATGGAACCACTGACCTTTTGGTGAATGGGACAATGCTCAAAGAACTGAGCAACAGTGGTCAGGGCAAGATTAACAGGGAACCTAACTAAATTTTTGGAAATGTAGACAGAAATCATTTAGTTGTTCCTTGGCTTAAAAGAAAACTTACTTCAAACTCAATATATATATTAGTAATATAAAGGAGGTTACCTGACTACTGGTTTCACTTATGGTTTCTAGGAGTTTTTCAACTGCTGCTTGTAGTCGAGAGCTAATATTCAGCATAAGCTCTTCATTTTCAGGATCTATTTCAGCTCCAGCAAAACCACTCCTCATGAGCCGCTGGGACAGCTCCGTTCCTTCTTCAGTTACTTTTGGCCACATGCTACCGTCGTTTCTTGGCATATCACCTCCAGAATAAGATGGTATAGACTCATCTGTAACTAGAGCAGTATTTTAAAGGCACAAATAAATTATAATTAATAATTGTAATTAAAAAAGGTTACAGAATAAACACTTGACATCATTGAAACTATAAAGGTCTATTAACACCTGATAGATGAAAAAACTCAACTGAAGCCCTGGGAGACTAAGAGATTTGTTCAAGGTCACAGTGAGCTAGATCAAGAATCAAGGGCCTTCCAGTTACTAATCCAGTATTCTTTCCAAAAGGAAGTGGCAGCAAATGAGATTCAATCTTTGGCTTCCTAAAGGAGGGTGTATGCATTCCACTGGTGAACCGTCACAGTGCAAACCTCAAGGAAAATTTTCTTTCTACAAATTTTGGGGGAACTAATTTTTATGAACTAATCTAATATTCACTCAAGTTCAAGAGGCTCAAAATATCCCTTTAATATTATAAACTAGGGTACTCTTATGAGGAAGCAAACGTTAAAAAATCAATTATTTGTTTTTTTTTTAGAGAGTTGACAAGTCCATACATGTTTAAAATCTAAACAAGTTCAGACATGCAGACTGAAAATAGATGACAAGTGCTACCGATAACCAAAGTCATATATAAAAATGGAAAAGCAGAAGTTGCTTCATAATCAGATTATATTAGACAATATTTCAAAAATCAGAAATGCAATAATGCATTCTTACATATAAAACACTGTGTCAATATTTCAATGCCAATATTTCAATGCCAATATTTTCCTCAAAATTTGAGAAAATTCAAGGTGTTAAATTATAAATTCTATTAATTTAATACTTCCTTTGAGACAGGTCAGTAAGAAGCTAGGAAAATTCCCCGGCAAGTGAAATGGGGAAACTGAGACACCTGGACAAACTGGCCAAGCAATTTAAACCCAGATAATAGGTAGCAAGGCCTTATTTGCACATTTTATACCCAACTGGGGCAGACCTGCCTTGGTCGGTTCCCTCTTTGGTGACATTCTTTGAAGGTGAGACTGACCAGAGAATGACCCTGACCACTCTATCTGCTCATTTTGCTGCATCAGCATATTAAAGGACACACCTAAGAAGCTGATGAATATTTTATTGAGATCCTCCTGAGACCTCCCCTAAAATTCCCACCTTTAGAAAACAGATAAAAACCCTTAAGACAAAGGACCCAGCATACGCACTCTAGAGTATGTCTGCCCTTTCTTTTTTTAGGTGTGCAGCTTTGCTTTCTTTCTCCTAAGCTCTAAGTATTCCCACAAGACTTGCAGCCAGGGGGCAATGAGCAGCTACAGCATGTCCTGGCCTAACTCCCTGAACCTGTCTCCGAGGGCTCCTGTTGCTTCTGTAACTTGTTTCCTGAGTATGCACAGCCCAGCTGGCTCACTTTTTCTGCTTTTGTGACTTGTTTCTAAAAGGCCAAGGCAGCATTCTGAGCAGCCCACTCAAATCTTCTCTTCAAGTGTACTTTCCGCTTTGCATACTAAACTCTCTCTTACTAGAGTTCTGAATTCTTTTTTCCCAAATTCAAGAACCAAGAGCTTGCCAGTAACACCTTCAATATGCAAAATGGATCTGATAAGTGTCCCTCAAATTATATTAATGGTCTTTCCAATTTTATTAGTAAGACTAGCATATAAAAAAAAAAACCCAAACAAAAAACCCAGTACATATCACTTAACAGATTTAAAAAAAGACTAGCATATCATTGTTAAAGATAAAAAACAAAGACTAAGTAATTAAATGATAAACATTATAACCAATGATACTAAAAACAGTAAAATTCTTATCTCTGCTATAATATTGTATACTAGTGCACTGTATTTCCTAACTGTGGATTTAATTTTTCCTCTTACATCTTAATATTGCTCTTTCAGAATCTTAAATAATTAAAATTTTAAAAGGCTTAATCCATTCTAGTGCACATAAGGTGGCTTTAAGTAAAATATCAAGTACTATGAGTTTATCTTGCCTTGAACTGAAATCTCAGTATCTACTTCACTAGACTGTGAATTGCTATAAAGCAGAGGACATAGAGAAACTCTCAATAAATGTTTGTAGAGTTTGGCTGGTAAGAACTTCTTATACTAGGTGTACCGGTTAATAATGGCAGATTTTGTAATAAAAGGAAACAGGATAATTTCAAGAGAAACATCAAAAGTTCTTCATTCAAAGTAATGTCCATCGCTAGCTACACATTTCCCCATCTTTCAGATAATTTGTGGATACTGTCCCAATAGAATTTTTCTTGTTTTGAGGCAAACCATTCAGAGACCAAATTTTCCACTTCTTTGTATGTTTCAAAGTGCTGCTCAGCAAATGCGTGTGCCATCTATCAGAAAAAGTGGTAATCTGAAGGAGCAGTGTCTGGTGAATACGGCGGGTGGGTTAATACTTCCCAGGCAAGATCTTTTAAAGTGTCTTTAACAGGTTTTGAAGTGTGAGATTGTGCGTTATCATGTAGGAAAATTACTTTGCCGTGTCTTCTGGCCCATTCTGGTTGTTTCACAATCACAGCATAATTCAAATTGATTATTTGTTGTTGGTAGTGATCAGAATTAACGGTTTCACCTGGTTTTAAAAGCTCATATTACACCACACCTTTCTGATCCCACCAAACGCAGAACATTGTCTTCTTTCCGAAGCGATTTGGTCTTGTTGATGGTTGACCTTGATCAACCCATGATTTTGTTCATTTGGGATTCTCAAAATAAATTCACTTTTCATCGCCAGTCACCATTTGATGCAAAAAAGACTTTCTTTTGTGCCTTTGAAGTGACATTTTATTGATGACTTTTCGGTTTTCCATTTGTCTTTTGTTCATTTGATGTGGCACCCATTTTCCTTCCTTTAAAATCTTTCCCGTTGCTTGCAAACAATCAGAAATTGTTTGCTGAGCAACACTTAATCTTTCTGCAAGTTGTTTTTGAGTTGGACACTCATCTTCATCCAATAATGCTTGCAATTGTTGATTTTCAAACTTTTTTGGTTGACCTGGGTGTTCTTTGTCTTTCACATCAAAATCTTAACTTTTAAAGCATTTAAACCAGAGTTCATGAGTATCTTGAGATGGAGCATGTTCACCATAAGCTTCCTGAAGTATATGATTACTTTTTCTTTTTTCTTTTTTTTTTTTTTAATATATTTTATTGATTTTGTACAGAGAGGAAGGGAGAGAGATAGAAAGCCAGAAACATCGATGAGAGAGAGTCATCGATCAGCTGCCTCTTGCACACCCCCCACTGGGGATATGCCCGCAACCAAGGTACATGCCCTTGACCGGAATCGAACCCGGGTCCCTTCAGTCCCCAAGCCGACGCTCTATCCATTGAGCCAAACCGGTCTCGGCTGATTACTTTTTCTTCAAAATAAAGTAATGAATTAAAACTTCCTGCAAATGCTTTTTTTTTTTTGGCATGAAATTTGACATTTTTAAGTGTAAAAATATCTATGATATTAACACCTTCAGCAGATTTGACATATGAAGTTTTGAAGCTTGTTGTCAATACAACAAAATAACATACACATCAAATCGCATATATATCAACATATGTGTAACTCCATCTACTGAAAAAAATCCTCATTATTAACTGGTACACCTAGTAACTAAAAAGCTACTGTATTATTGGATATTTTAATGTGGGAAGCAGACATATTTAATCTATAAAGGAGTATGCAGATGTAACCATGCAAGAAAACAGATCAGATGTCCTTGCAGATCTGTTTTATCATAGAAAATGAACATAAACACACTCCTCTGTGATTGCATTAAATTACTGACTTAGTCATTCTTATATCTATGAGAACACTGCTCTGAAGAGAGTTTGCTGTCTTTTATTTATTTATTTATTTATTTATTTATTTGATATATATATATATATATTTTTTTTTTTTAACAGAGAGGAAGGGAAAGGGATAGAGAGTTAGAAACATCGATGAGAGAGAAACTTATCAATCAGTTCCCCCTGCACAGCTCCTGCTGGGGATGTGCCCGCAACCAAGGTACATGCCCTGGACCAGAATCAAACCCGGGATCCCCCCGTCCACAGGCCAGCGCTCCATTCACCTGTTCTGGCGAGTTTGCTGTCTTTAAATAAATATTATTTCCTGAGCATTTCAGCAACCACCTTGAAAAGGTCTAAGAAAACTGCTATCAAAGAAAGCACAGAGTATTTTTGTACGCTACAGAACATTCCTCAGAGTGTGTCTTCTGAATATGGTTTAGTTTAGATCTTAGCAGAATAGCAAATTCTCCTTCCCAGGTGATTAAGTAAAAGCTGCTTATAAAATAATTTTTATTTATTTATTTATTTATTTATTTATTTTTAATATATTTTATTGATTTCTTACAGAGAGGAGGAGAGAGGGATAGAGAGCTAGAAATGTCAATGAGAGAAACATCGACCAGCTGCCTCTTGCACACCCCCTACCGGGGATGTGCCCGCAACCAATTGTACATGCCCTTGATCGGAATCGAACCTGGGATCTTTCAGTCCGCAGACCGATGCTCTACCACTGAGCCAAACTGGTTTTGGCTTATAAAATAATTTTTTTTAAAAATGCATAATTTGATAAACACTCTTACAATGAAACCAAGAAAATACTACCTAATTCTTTTATATATATCGTTTCATTTGAAGAAATAAAATAGCCTTGATTGAGAGCTTAAAGTTAAAGTTAGTTTGAAAAATACTTCTAATAACGTTTGAAAAGAATCAATTCGAAAGCAGTTTTAAAACACAGTATTATTTCAGGTCTTATTTTATTAAAAGCAGTTTTTTGTTTGTTTGTTCTGTTTTTTAAATATTTTTTTATTAAATTATTATCTGTGTACATATTTTAACATGGCCCCCCCTCTCCCATACATACCCTCGCTCCCCAGAGTTTTGTGTCCATTGGTTTTACATATATGCATGTATACAAGTCCTTCGGTTGACTTCTTATCTCCCCCCAGATCTCCCTACTCTCCTGGCTGTAATTTGACAGTTTGCTTGTTGCTTTACTGTCTCTATATCTTTTGGTTCATCAGTTTATAATGTTCTTTATTATCCATAAATGAGTGAGGTCATGTGGTGTTTCTCTTTCATTGACTGGCTTATTTCACTCAGCATGATGTTCTCTAGTTCTATCCAGGTTGCTGCAAATGATGAGAATTCCTTCTTTTTTATGGCAGCATAGTATTTCATTGTGTAGATGTATCATAGTTTTTGTTCCAATCATCTGCTGACGGGCACCCAGGCTGTTTCCAGATAATAGCTATTGTAGATTGTGCTGCTATGAACATAGGGTGCATATATCCTTTCTGATTGGTGTTTCTAGTTTCTTGAGATATATTCCTAGGAGTGGGATTACTGGGTCAAATGGGAGTTCCATTTTCAGTTTTTTGAGGAAACTCCACACTGTTCTCCACAGTGGTTGCACCAATCTGCATTCCCACCAGCAGTGCACGAGGGTTCCTTTTTCTCCGCAACCTTGCCAACACCTGTCGTTTGTTGATTTGTTGATGTTGGCCATTCTGACAGGTGTGAGATGGTAGCGCATTGTTGTTTTGATTTGCATCTCTATTAAAAGCAGTTTTTAAAATTATCTTTGACTTTAACTGAGGTGGTGTTTAATATTAATTTTACTTTAAGTTCCAAACCAAGTTTTTCCTGCACTTAGAAACATGCAGCTGGCCAACTTGTAATTAGGCAAACCTTCTGTTAGTGGCATGGATAATTTCCATCTCATAGGAAACTTAAACAGAACACTCTCAAAAATGGCATAACTGGCATTTTTGGAATGTCAGCCTCTAATTGGGGAGAAATGGTTAGCTGTGGCACGGCAGTGAAGCATGGGCTTGATCTTCTGTTCTGAAACTCTATTTCTCTCCATCTGACAAAACTTTCTCCCCTTCTCATTTCCTGACTCCCTCTACAGTAAGAAACAAGGAATAAGAAAGTAGTAGAGGACGGAGGTCAGCAATATGGAAGTACTAAGAAATTCAAAGAAGAGCCTAGCCCACACAGCTGAAAAAAGGTAGGAAGGCAGCTATGTAGGTCATGTCAGGACCTAATTTCTGGACCCACACACATTTTGCCATATTTCACACCACTTTTCCAAAAGGAAGAAATGGTGTTACAGAGGATTGTTCAAAGAAAAATTCAAACCTTAGGTTTCTTATAAAAACTTTCTTCTAATCATACCAATAGATATGCAAACTGTTGTTTGATTCTTAAAAGCTCTTTATTTCTTATCTTTCCTTCATTTATAGGGATATTGCCCAAACCTCCTGGTTACTGGTAAGAGTCCTGAGTGGTGATGTAAAATTTTTCTTTTACTAATGGTGAAATTAAACAGTCTCTGATTTATGTAGCACAGTAGTAACCCTGAGTATATATAATGACAACTCTAAGACACCACTTGTAAACGCTATACAATATGGTGTTTTGAGAAAAGTGGCTCTAAAGCATTTGTGTTTGGAGGTATTTTTGTTGGAAAACCACTTTATTTTCAATACATAGCAAAGTGCCTTGAACGCTAAGATTTATTGAAGATAACAGTTTCTACAGAATATAAAGCTAGTACCTCCTGTATGTTCCTCATGAACACATGACTTTATAGGTGCCTCTGCTTCTGACCTCCAAATCAGGTTGGCAGGTGACTGGCCTTTACTAGATCTATCCAGAATTCCAAGGACATGGCGGCCAATTGTTTCTTCCACAGCTGCTGTTGTCTTTACAACTTCTAGGAGGATCTTCAGAAGTCTGTTATTAGCTTTCTGGAGTGCATACCTGTAGAGATAAAGAAACATTTATTAAAATGTTAAATTTTCTAAAATCCAAACACTTTGCTTATGTCCCCAAAAAAGTGAATTATAAAACATCTGAACTGAAAAATAAAGTATCAGAAGATCTTCTCTATTAAAATAATATGCAATAGCACCTACAATGAAGTGCTTTTTAAAAATATTCTTTTATACATTTAAAAATTCCAGATTAAAAAAAATTAAGGAGATGCAAAAGTTAAGTTTTTAAAAAGTGTGGTAGTACCCAACCCAAGTATATGTAAGTTACGTAATGGTAATACGATTTATGGTTATCATATGTTTTACATTTAATTTCTTTGTGCCAAAGAATACATTTTAAAATGTAATTTAGAAAATCCACTAGAAAAAATATGTATTTATATATATCTTATTGGTGATGATCTAGTCGGTTAAATTGACATAGACCTATTTTTAAAATGGTCTACTGTGAAATTTCACTATATATTAACACCAAAGAGAATATCATAGGCCATTATACCTACTACTCCAAAGACAAAAATTTCTCACATTACCTATACCACCCTCATTTCAACCAGGAGAAGGGGCCTAGTTTCAGCCAAATGATATTAATGTGTGTTTCTCTTTTTAAAAAATTCTTATTTTAAAAAGAATCAGAAAATACTGCTAACCATCCACCAAAATATCTCCGCCCTCAGAGATATCACTATTAACATTTTACTGCCTATCCTTCTAGACTCCCCCCCCCCCCCCCCCAATCTCTCTCATACATATATTTTAAATGGAATGGTCCTAGGCAAACTTCTTTGGTAAGCTTTCTATTTTACTTAACATTAACATCTTTCCATGTCAAGAAATATAATTCTATAAATGGTGATTAAGAGGATGTTCTGATTAATCTTCTGAATAAATAATTCTTGTGTCTTAACAGCTTAATTCAACAAAGATACTGCAGGGGCAAACTTTATATTTCATACATGTAGACAAAGAAAGAGACTTTCATGGAAAAGATCCTCTGCCTTAACACAGCTTTCTCTCTCTGTTTCATACCTAATGACCACCAATAATCAGGTTAAAGGATATCTGTTTTCACAGGCACATGACAAAACTATTTTAAGACAAGGTAATAAATGCATAATTTTACCTTTAGAATTTGTCAAGTGAATAGGCAGATCTATTTTTGCACCTAGATCAAGTTCTCTGCTTACATAAGCAAGGATATTAAAAATAAAACTAAATAATTTAGTTAGTAGAGTAAGTCAAGGGTTTTATTTCTTTTAACTTTTCCTGAAATTTAGTTCAAGCCCAAATACCCCAAGACTAAAATATTTTGAAAACATTTCTATATAAGAAATAATTAAAATATGATGGCAAAAAGAAATGAATATGAATACTAATTTATCAACACTCACCACAAAAAATCCTAATAACTAAACACTGCACAATTTAAAAAATATACCTAATTGAGATAAAAATACTTTATCTCAATTACAAAATAAACATTTATTTTATATTTATAAAATAAACATCTTGTTTATTTTATATTGCCATGGTAACTCTAATTTTCATACACTGTCTTTCTTGTTTGAGTTCCATACTGACTGTGTTCCATACTGATGATCCAATGGGGAAGCCAAAATCTTAGGGGCCAAATTCCTCCATGCAAGCTGAGGAAGGAGGTTAGGAGGACACAGAGGGTTGACAATCACAGAAATTAAAAAAGGAGGAAATTAAGTTAGTAGATATTAGTTTTAATTTAAAATTAAATAAAGTGTTTTCATTTGAGTAAAACAAATTTTAAAATATTGTGCTTAAAATCCTTAATATTAATTGGGATAACTATTCTCTTTTATATATTACATTTTTATACTAACTTCTACAAAATCAAAGAAAGGAAAAGTTTTGTTAACATCAGGTCATTACTTTGTTTTAAAAATTCTCATGTGGCCCAACCCATGTGGGACAGTAGTTGAGTGTTGGCCTATGAAACAGGAGGTCACAGTTCCATTCCTCGTCAGGGCATATGCCTGGGTTGAAAGGCTTGATCCCCACAAGGAGGTGTGTAGGAGGCAGCCAACCAATGATTCTCTCTTAACATTGGTATTTCTCTCTCTCTCCTTTCCCTTCCTCTCTGAAATCAATTAAAAAAATATATATTTTTAAAGTTCTCATCTGTTATGCAGTAAATAATGCATGAAAGCTATATGTGGAATATCACACTTAATGTTTTTTTTCTCATGAGGAACACACCCACACCAGGAAGTAGCTTATACTGAATTCATGTCCACCCAGTGAAAGAATAAAACCATGAATACAATTTTGTTTTTTAGTATAAAAATGCCTATGAGCAAAATAAAATTAATCCAGAAATGTTCAAAAACCAAATGATGCTGTAACATTTACTGAGTTAAGTATCTGATCAGTATCTGTTAAAAATTACTTTATATACAAAAAAATTAAATACTTGTCTATTTAAATGACCAAAAACTGTTACTCTTTACATACAAAATATAATGTAAAAATAAAAGAAATACACAAAATAAAAATAAGGACAAATACAATTTATAACACTGAAACAACTATTTTAATTCATTTTTGTGTTAAAAAAAATAAACATTCTGTATACCTTTCATTGGACAGAACAGCAGGAGGCACATCTTCAAGTTTTCTGTCCAATTCCTTTTCTTTAAAGGTCTGTTCCTCAACTTCCCCTTGCTTTTCATTTTCCTCCTGTGTAAGTTTGTGTAAAGGTAGAGAGGACAAGATAGAAAGAAAACCTGTCATCTTGGAAATAGCATGTCATTCCTTTATACTGTTACAAAGTGAAACAGAAACTTTTACATGCAGAATAGATACTGTACAAAATAATATTTAACTATATTTTATCAAGAGATTAGCATTATCAAAAAAAGATAAGAGACTCTATAGATGAAAAAAATTCAGTAGGTTCAAGCTAATGCATGCTATAGTGCAACAATAAAGTTGGTTAGGCTGCTGGGTGAGACGACAGTTGCTCCTAGCAATGTCAGTTTCAAATTACTCACATAGAATGTAAGGCATTTTAACTCCACCTATCGTACATGTCAGCAATCACAAATATTTTAAGCGCAATACCAATAAAGGACACATTCACAACAACAACAACAAAGACAAACAAATCCTACTGCATTGTTGATCCATTGCTCCTAGATGGGTCAAAGTCCATACTACCTGTGTTTGCGTACTGCTGTTGCGCAGCTCACAACACAGCTTCTCTCTTCCAGCTAGAGACAGCTGCTTTAGTGCTTCCAGCTCCTCTAAAAGCACCCTCTCTCTCTCTGAAACCAGGTTTTCATTATCTATTGAGGATCTCTAAATAAGAAAAAAGGTCATGAGAGAATATTGTTTGCGACAGAAAATAAAGGCAGAAATATTAAGCAGGTTTGTTTTAACCCCCTGGGACCAAGAGACCCTAGTTCTACCCATGATTCATATCCCATGATCAGGGGTTAAAAGCATTTATAAAGTTCAATGCAAAATTTGAAAGAACAAAAAAACAAAAAAGCTAATAAGCCTAAATATTTAGGAATTTATGCAACTGAAATAATATTATTTTATATGCCAATTTTGCATTGAAAATTCGGAAGTTTAAATTTACAAAATGCAATGAAGAAAAGCAAAATTAATTTTTCCAAATGATTAGTCTATTCCCAATTTTCTGGTGTTCTGTATTTGAAAGAACATATTAAGAGTTATTTCTTATTTCTCCTAATAGCTAAGTTCCCAAAATTGAATGTTTTAACTTATTATATAAATATTTCTTGCTTTTCTGCAATGATTTTGAGAGTATATCATATACAGCAATTGATAAGAATCCAGCTCCCAAATACCAAGGAGTATGTAAATTTAGCCAAGAAAGGATTAAGAACGTTATATAAATTTGCATTTCTCAAATCAAGAAGAGATGTTTCCCTGGACAAAGATCCAGAAACATACCACTTCAGATTTCTATTCATGATTTAAAAGGCAGATTAAGGACAGATAAAGATAAACCTTGGAGATGTTAATTGGTGACTCACAAACTATAAATAAATATGGGAAAACTGAATATTAACAGCACCTCAGCACAAAAAATTTGGAATGATTAAAAAAACAACAACCTTGCAGCCCCTTTTTCAGTGCCTGCAAAGAAAGATAAATAAAATGGTAGGGACACTGCACTCCAACAAAGAGTTGGATTTCCTTAATAAGACCTAAGGCTGTTGTGCTGATGGAGTCTATTTCTGACATTAAATATTTGTATTTATTCACATTTTGGCAATAATTTTGACTTTTAAAACCAAGGCTATATAAATAATACTATTTTTATCAGGAAGAAAAGGACTCTTAAGTCCCATACCTGGGCTAACTGTCTATTCAGTCTCCTAATCTCTTCTTGTAGCTGCTCCTGGTCTTCTCGCTGTCTCTCCATCTGGCGCATGTGCGCCTGTCTTAGTAGTTCTGTTGCCTGTTGATGTTCTTGATATTGTCGTACAAGTTCCTGCCTCATATCTTCCAACTGTTCTTCATTTAACATTAGCTGTCTAGAAGCATCCATGCTTGATACCAAAATCTCATCATGGTTCTATAATAATTTAAAAAAAATTAATCATAACACATTTTGTAGAAATCTGTCAACATCAATATTTTAAATACATATGAAAGCAATTCTATTAATCCCACAAAGCATCTGACTTAAACGTTTTTGTTTTTTTTACAGAGAGAAAGGGAAAGGGAAAGAGAATTAGAAACATCAATCAGCTGACTCCTGCACACCTCCTACTGAGGATGTGCCTGCAACCAAGATACATGTCCTTGACCAGAATTGAACCTGGGACCCTTCAGTCCGCAGGCCAATGCTCTAGCCACTGAGCCAAACCAGTTAGGATCTGACTTTTTAATATACTTAGTATAAACTAGAGGCCTGGTGCACAAAATTTGTGCATGGGTAGGGTCCCTACGCCTGGCAGGGAATCAGGGCTGATCAGGTCCCCCAACCCCCGCCTCCTCTTTCCCTTGCCACCCACGGGCTGCCACTGCACAGGTTCCTCCCACCTTCTCCTTCCCTCATTCCTTTAGCACCCTGCCACTGCTGGTTTCCCAACATGTTCTGCGCCACACTCTGGTGGTAGTGCACATTATAGTCAGTGATTGAACTCCTGTTCTCCAAGTCTAACTACCAAGGTGACACTTTTCATATTAGCTTTTCATATATATAGATACTTAAAAAATATGTTTGTCTTAATTATAATTCTTAATCAATGTAAAGTTAGTTTATCACTATACATTAGTTACATATTCTCCAAAAGTAAAATAGTTATTTATCAGTTAATTTAGATGTAATCCAATTCTATGGGAGGATAAAGATACTCAAGATTCCTTCCATACTTAATGAAGCTACAACTCCATTATTCCTTTGACATTTTATAATGGAAAATAATAGAAATTTAATACTTATATTTTAAAATTAAATTTCTAAAACATGAGAAAGTTTATCTATTTAATTTATATTATACAGTGGTCATCACAATACTACAGAGAGCTGCTTAATAAGAAACAATCTCCAATAAATTTTATTTGGAAATAAGTTTTATATTCCACTTTCTCATACTGATAAGAGTTGATGGGTTTCTACAAGTACTTCAATTTCTGAAGAGCTACTACTTAAATGATCATTCTGATGTTTCTGCCTTGAATAGATTAAAGAAATTTTCATGAATACCTCAGGAGTTTTGCACTATAGAAAGAGTTGGCAATTTTATTTAAATATACCACTAACAAGATATAACCTATCCTAACATTAATCAAAAATTTGAATTTAGATAATTTTAAGAGGTAAAATTTATTCTGTAAATGGCACAAATAGTTGAGATATAGACACAGAACTGATTCTCCATTAATAAATAATAAAGAAAAAGATTCAGTATATACAGACTAGAGTGCTTTAAATTGTTTCTTAAATTGGTAGCTATTTTCTTGTGATAGTATATTAAATAAGTAATATTAAATTTATTAATTCATATTGTCAAATTATAACATACTTAATCTTGAATTGCCTAAGACAAAATTAATATAGGTATAACTTAAGATTTTACTATGCACAATGTGTTAAGACAAATAAGGATACTATGAACCAGACTTGTTTTATTTAATAATAATATTAAGTCATTCACTTATATACCTTAGAAGTAATAAAACACTTTCATTGTGTGAATCCTAAGACTGGATTTCATACTTTCCTTTTCCATTAAGCGATATCACTGCTAATATTTGTATAGTGAAGAAAGTCACAGTTTTAGCTGAAACTGGTTTGGCTCAGTGGATAGAGGGTCAGCCTGCGAACTGAAAGGTCCCAGGTTTGATTCCGATCAAGGGCATGTACCTTGGTTGCGGGCACATCCCCAGTAGGGGGTGTGCAAGAGGCAGCTGATTGATGATTCTCTCTCATCAATGTTTCTAACTCTCTATCCCTCTCTCTTCCTCTCTGTAAAAAATCAATAAAAAAATCAATATTTTTTAAAAAAAGGAAAGTCACAGTTTTACGTAAGTTTTTATATTCAAGGAGGCATACTTACAGATTCTCTGGCTATAAATGTTTTATCTTTGGAGAATAGTTCTTCTGAAATAGTCAGTTCATGGTGCTTTGATTCAAGTATGTCATCAAGATGATCACTGTTTGATAACAGAACTTCCTTCGCATCTTCTCCTAACTCCTTACTAAGTGGTTTAAATTCTTCTTTACATTTCATGTCCATTGTCTCAAAAGTCTGAAAACCAAGCTGACCCTGAAGTAATTTCATTTCATTTAAATAATGTTGCTCTTGTTGACAAAGAGCATGTGCTTCTTTCGATGATGAAGTATTTTCTTTTTCTCCAGATATTCTAGATAGTTCAGTTTGTTGAGCAAATGCTACACTCATTGACACAATGACCTAACGAATAAAGTAAACAAAGAAGGATTATATTTCTAAATACCAGCAGAAATTACAAAGCAGGTACCACTCAAAATTACATGACTCTGGCGAGGAGGAAGGTAGTTTGGGGAGAGAAGGATTGAGGAAAAAAGAAAAAACAAACAAAATCAAAACGGGAACTCAAGGCATGGACAATGGTATGGGGATTGCACGGTGTGGAGGGTGAGGGTGAAGGTGGGAGAGGGCATAGAGGGGATAAATGGTGATGGAAAAAATAAAAAAATAAAATAGATTACAAAATAATAAAAAAAGAAAAGAAAAAATACATGGATTAGAAAAACGCCTGACCTCATAAAAGAAATCCTATGATAAAGTGATATGGAGATAAAGATTTTCTAGTTTACAATGAATCTAACGTAAAAGTATTTTTTATACTGCCTGCCTTTTTTAATTAAAAAAAAAAAAGTTTTCAAGTTCTTACAATGACAGCAATAAATGTCCAGTACAGAAATTAGAAAAAAGGAAATAAAAGCTCATATGTTTCTCTCTTCCAAGACAAATCACTAGCATTTTAGTAATACTTTTCTGACTCTCTCTTTCATTATCAATATGGATATGAATAGATATAAATATGCATTTTTCTTATAAAAAATGTCAAATTCTAATATTGTAATCTGTGTTTATAGCTTGACTATAGTAAATATATTTTCAAGTTAAAATACACTCTATAATTTTTAATGGGTTTAAAGTTTCAGATTATACAGATATATTATAAATTTATTCAATTTTCTATGTTGGACAGTTAGACTAATTTCAGTCTTACACTATTTTAAACACCACTGTGACAAAAATCTTTGTGCATATCCTTTCTTATTTCCCTAAAATAAATACCTAGAATGAAATAGTTGGTTTATGCTATTGTGTTATTTCTACTCCAACTATGATCCTAAATCCCTACAGCATAGGTACATAGAAATTCTGACCAGCAGCCTTGGCTCTGAGAAACCAAAGCCTCTGAGGACCAACTGCACCAATAACTTATTTCAAGGGACATTCCACAGAGAATTTGCATTGTGGGAAGTCTGGTTGCCACAGTCTGAGATAAAGCATGCCTGGACTTTGAAATCCATCTAATAGGGACCGAACTCAGAACAAAAGCTATACACAAACTGAAAGCGAAGTAATAGAAAAAAATATCCCATGCAAGTAGAAACAAGCAAGCAAACAAAAGGTGGGGTAGCAATATTTACATCAGACAAAACAGACTTCTAAACAAAGACCATAATACGAGACAAAGTAGGACATCATGTAAAATTAAAGGAATTGATCCAACAAGAGAATATAACCCTTGTAGACACATGTGTACTCAATATATAAAGAAAATCTTGGTGGGCATTAAGAGAGAGATTGACAACAATACAATCATTTTGAGGGATTTTAACATCCCAATGACATGAATGGATAGCTCTTACCGAAAGAAAATCAACAAAACAAACTGGACCAGATTAATGTTTGATATTTACAGAACATTTCATCCCAAAGCACCAGAATATACATTCAGAAAGAAGAACAAAGTTGGAAAAATTATGCTTCCTTATATCAAACTATATTACAATGCCACAGTAATAAAAACAGCATGTACTGGCATAAAAACACACATACAGATCAATGATACAGAATAGAGATTTCAGAAATAAACCCATGCCTTTATGCTCACTTACTATTTCAGTGTTTTTCAACCTTTTTTGGGCAAAGGCACACTTGTTTCATGAAAAAAATCACGAGGCACACCACCATTAGAAAATGTTAAAAAATTTAACTCTGTGCCTATATTGACTATATATAAAGTAATTCTCTTGAATAGGAATCAAATAAACACAAAGAAAGTATTTTATAATTACTTTATTATGAAATATTAAGTAAACAAAATAGTGAAAAATTATAAAATTCTTGTCTTGTCTGCACCTACGGCACACCAGGCAACACTAGTGTGCCGCGGAACAGCGGTTGAAAAACGCTGTACTATTTGATAAAGAAGGCAAGAACATACAATGGAGTAAAGGCAGTCTCTTCAAAAAACAGTTTTGGGAAAATTGGACAGATACATACAAAAAAAGTAAAACTTGACCATCAAATTACACAATACCCAAGAATAAACTCAAAATAGATTAGAGATTTACATTTAAGTAGCAAAATTACAAAAATCCTAGAAGAAAATGTAGACAGCAAAACCTCAGACATTTCTTAGCAATATTTTTGCCAATGTATCTCCTGAGGCAAGGGAAAAATAAACAAATGAAACTACATTAATGTAAAAAGCTTCTGCATAGCACAAGAAACCATCAACAAAATGAAAAGGTAACCCAATGAATCGAATAACATATTCAAAAATGATACATATGATAAAGGATTAACTTCCAAAATATATAAACAACTCGACACAAGTAAACAATCCAATTTAAAAAAGGGGCAAAGGACCTGAATAAACACTTCTCCAAAGAGGACATACAGTTGGCAAAGAGAGATATGCAAAGATGTTCAATGTCTGCTCTAACGGATTTGGCTCATTGGATAGAGTGTCTGCCTGTGGACTGAGGGTCCCAGTTTCGATTCTGGTCAAGGGCATGTACCTTGGCTGCAGGCACATCCCCAGTAGGGAGTGTGCAGGAGGCAGCTGATAGATGTTTCTCTCTCATTGATGTTTCTAACGCTCTATCCTTCTCCCTTCCTCTCTGTAAAAAATCAATTAAAAAGTATTTTTTAAAAAAGATGTTCAGTGTCACTAATCATCAGAGACACACAAATTAAAACCACAATGAGATATCACCTCACATCTGTACAATGGCTATCATCAATAAAACAACAAACAACAAGTGCTGGCAAAGATGTGGAGAAAAGGGGAACCTTCATGCACTGTTGGTGGGAATGCAGACTGGAGGAATCAAATAAAAAAATAATAATGGAGTATACATTAGGATTTGTCATCTCCACAGAGCATGGAGCAGCAGGAACTGGCTAGTGAATGACAACACTACCCTCTGGTGGCCAACCTAGGCTAGAATCCAAATAGTGCAGGCTCTCTGTTAGCAAGTAGCTTAGGGTTTCTATACAATGCAGAGTTTTCCCACTAATTCCCTAGAAACCATAATCAAGCAGTGAAAAGAATTCCCCAAAAAGCATTTGGGCCAGAAAGAAACATAATAGAAAAGTCCCATATTTTAGCGTTTGAATTTTTTTTTTTTTTTTTTTTTGTCTCCCAACTATGAGCTGTTTCTAAATAGTTTGGAGCTCACTAAAGAAGCTCAGGCTAGCCCTGACCAGTTTGGTTCAGTGGATAGAGCACTGGCCTGTGGACTCAAGGGTCCCAGGTTCGGTTCCAGACAAGGGCATGTACCTTGGTTAAGGGCACATCCCCAGAAGGAGGTGTGCAGGAGGCAGCTGATTGATGTTTCTCTCTCATCGATGTTTCTAACTCTCTATACCTCTCCCTTCCTCTTTGTAAAAAAATAAAAATAAAATATATATGCTCAGACTTTTAAGGGCATTCTATAATGTTGCTTTTAATAAACAGAATTTTAAGCCATTGCTATCTCTCTTACTGAGGGTTACTCTTAACCAAAAATACTTATGAAATTCTCTAAAAGGAATGAAAGTTTTTGCTTCTTTTACATTAAGTAAAAAGTCAGGTAGAGAAACCTACATTTTTCTAAAGAACTACATAATGAGAGCTATATAAAAGATGGTGCCTCACTTTTTAGTTTGACCTCCAGGAACTAAACATTCAGTTCAGATACAGAAGCAACTAAGTCCTAATGGCCCATATATTTCCTTGGGTCTTAACCTCTTCATTTAATTTATGTTTAACCTAATTCCCATGCATTTCCTGTATATCCTCCCCCCTGAAAAAAAAAATATATATTCCACTGGGATTGTTATATTGGAACAGTGATATATTGTAATAAATAAGAAAACAAACTCAGAATTCAACTGTTGCAATATAAAAACCTAATCAGGTATATGAATTTTTAAAGAGAATACAAAGATAAAATAAATGGAATCATAATGGTAGGCTAAGTAATATACTTGGTATTCAAGAGTTTAAGAGAATGGTTCTGGGTATAGCAGCTAAGAGTATCTATAGTCATTAACATCACAGTAATGTCTCTGGGAAAAGGTAAAGAAAGGCAATATATAAAAGACCAGCCACATTTTTTCTCATTTCCTACTACTTCTCCACCTGTAAGGAAGGCCAAACTCCTACTATTCACAAGGCAACAAATTTATAAAAACTTGTTTTGGTATTTTGAAAAGTTTCTGATTACTATTCCCCATCAAGAAAAGAATGCTTTTTCTCAAAGAAAACGTCACAGGATGTTCCACTTAAAGGCAACTGTGTATCTGAGATCTTAAAGACAAGCCATGTATGAAACTTAAAACAAAAAAATAAAGTGTTTTACCATCAATAAAACCTACATTTTTTGAAGACTCAAAGGAGTATAAACCACAATAATCTTCTGGACAAACTATACGCTTACCTTAGCTACTTCTTCTTCCAATCGTTCTTGGTACTGTTTTTCCAACAACTTAACCATATTTGTTTCTTGTTCCACTCCAAATCCACCACCTGAAAACTAAATTATGAAAATCTGACATATTTATTTACACTAATTACACATAACTTATTTATAAAGTTCTACCTTTCAAATATCTTCAAAAGGTCAGTATTTCTTAGAAAACTTCTTATAGGTTTTAATAAATAAATTTCAGTTTCATTCTTTTAATTAAAAACAGTATTTCTAGTGAATAATTGTAATGTATACTTCACTAAATAATTATACTTGCTACTGTGCACTTAACTAAGATGCAAAGTGAAAAAATATTTACATATTTATATTTAATAACATACAATTCTAGTGTGGGACAAAGATACTTTTAAAAAAAAATATATTTTATTGATTTTTTACAGAGAGGAAGGGAGAGGAATAGAGAGAGTTAGAAACATCGATGAGAGAGAGTCATCGATCAGCTGCCTCTTACACACCCCCTACTGGGGATATGCCCGCAACCAAGGTATATGCCCTTGACCGGAATCGAACCCGGGACCTTTCAGTCCGTAGACCGACACTCTTACCATTGAGCCAAACCGGTTTCAGCCAAAGATACTTCTTAAATATAATGAACAAGACTTGTTTATTTAATTTTAAGTAATGTTAACAGTGGCTAGCTTTGCTCATGAAATTATAAGCAAATTTCCTTCTTGGTACATATGAATAGTATCCAATTGCCTATAAATACAAATTATTTTTTTAAATAGAAAAAAAACCATTAATTTTTTAATGTAAATGTGTTCTCAGCATGAAAGTCTTTTTAAAAAATATATATTTTATTGATTTTTTTACAGTGAGGAAGGGAGAGGTATAGAGAGTTAGAAACATCAATAAGAGAGAAGCATCACTCTCCTACTAAGGATGTGCCCGCAACCAAGGTACATGCCCTTGACCGGAATCGAACCTGGGACCCTTCAGTCCCCAGGCCTACGCTCTATCCACTGAGCAAAACCAGGCAGGGCATGAAAGTATTTATTTACTAAATATCTGAATGTCATACAAAGAGATACTCCAAATGGAATGAATGTGAAAGAATATAAAAGGTAGCCAACATCTCTCCTTTGCATCCAGAATGAAAGAGATCAAGGATCTTTATTTTTTTGTGGGACTTAAGAACTAAAAATCTACTAACACCAGGGTTTTACAGTTATGATTCTCAAAAAAGTCGCCATAAATGGAGACCAGACAGAACACTGAGGAGAGGCAGAAGGTGGTTTACCTACATGACATATACTGGAAAAGATGAGGGCTTTTATATATAACATGGCCAGTGCTGAAGGAAGTCTCATCCACTGACCCAACTACCATCTTGGGTTCAGGAGATTCCTAAAATCTACTCTAGAGATGGTCTGGTCCAACTTCCCATGGCGATAAGAAAAGCTGTTGGCCAAGGCACTGGAACTAATTTGTTACACAGCCCATATAATACAAAATAAAACAAGTTTTAATCTAGGTAATATTCAGGGGGGGAAAAAACGTCTATTCTTCTGGGTATTTTATATAAGTATTATCCTCACATTTATGATTCTTACTTCTCAGCAACTATTTATTGGATAATTATTAAACCAGACAGAAATGACAGTAAGAAAAAAGATAACTACACATTACAGTTTAAAGATATATACCTCTGTTGTATCATCCATGTTCTGATTTAGACAATTTCCAGTTTGCATGGTTTTCCGTACATCAGATTCAGTAATTACGACTGAATCAATGGAGAAGCTAAATATAAATAAAAGAGAGGGAAATTGTTGTGAGTTTTACTTATAATCCAAATTTAAAGCATGCATTAATGTGTGTATTGGAGCAGTGGAAACAAAAATGATAGGTCAAGAGTTACAGATATTATATTTTAAACCATATTAGTTATTTATTTTCCATTTAAAAGCAAAATAACTGAAAGAGTATTTTAATATCACCAATGAATTTCATGTCATTTTATTTTATTTTCTAAATACGTTTTTATTGATTTTTAGGGAGATGAAGGGAGAGAAACATTGATTGGCTGCCTCCTGCATACCTCCTACTGGAGATGGAGCTTGCAACCCAGGCATGTACCCTGACTAGGAATTGAACAGGTAAAGCCAAGGATCAGAATAGTGCATATAAGAAGCACTGTTTCCTAATTGCTTCTTACATGCACTATTCTGATCCTTGGCTTCCGTCTTTTGTACCTTTTGGTACATGGGTTGACACTTAACCATTGAGAAACATTGATCAGGAACATGTCATTTTCTAAAGTCTACTACAAATGTATGACACAAAGCTATTTACAGGTACAGATATTTTAAAAATGTTATCTATAACATTATTGAGTAAAAAAGTTTATAAGATCTCATTTCTATTAAAAATTATTTATATGCACACACATCCACACCAAAAAAGAAGTCTGGAAGAATGCACATGAAAAGTAACAATGATTACCTCTAGTGGAACTGGGAGCAGTGACAATGAAGGGAAGATTCTTAATTTACAGAGTCACTTCTGAAATATTTTTATCTTTAATCTGTGTTGTATTTTGGTATTTTGTAAAAAAAAGTTCCTAAAATGCTTAACTTAGGTCATAAAAATAAGGTAAGATTAATATTTAGGAACTGTGGGTAAAAATTAACATTTTTAGCTAATATGATTTCTCACTCCCATTTTTGTGTGCACCCATGCCACCCTCTCCATTCCACCTTTCTCTTGACCTCCTCCTCCTTTCTTTCTCCCATTGTCTTCTTTCAGTTCGCCATCCCCAAAAAACAGGATACAAGTTGTCATTGTCCCATTTCATAACTTACATAACTAATCCCTACTGGTAGACATTTGATTGTTTCCAAATGTTCACTACTACAAATAATACTACAATATAGATCTTCATAAATATAATCTATGGATGTTTTTATATAATAAAATCATAATTGTCGGGCTTAATATTTAAATTTTTAATATAATGCCAGAGTACAAAATGTTATATTAATTTTGTTCCTGAAACAGTATTATTTAAGTATTTTCTCAAAACTTCAGCAACATGAAGTTCTAATAGTCTTAAAACTTTGTTAGAACACATGTGTCTTTATTTTTGAGATGACATGTCCTTTCAAATGCTATCGGCCAAGTAAGTATCTTCTGCTATGAATCACTTATTCATGTTCTATATTCATAGTCTATGTCCATGTGAAACAAATGGAAAAACTCATTTCCCTTGACTTTTTTTCCTGCCCTTTCCTGGTTCTCCTATGTTCCTCAATATTTGTCTCTGTTTCCTAATTGCTTCTTATATGCACTATTCTGACCCTTGGCTTCAATCTTTATTATTATTGTCATAGCCTAGAAAACCCTCCTGATTATTTATTGAGCCATTAATATACAAACTCCAAAAAAGTGCTACTAAGTTACCTTGACTTCATTCTGTAGTTTTATAGTGTTTGAAATTACTTATCCCAAATTTAAAAAAAATCTGGCTAACAGCGAATTCACTGCTCCCCTCTTATAGTTAAGGTCCCATTCCCCACCAGCCTGATTTATTTATTTATACTTATGCACCATTATTCTCCATATTCTTTAAGCCCAAACAACAAAATCAACTTTTCATTTTCTCCTCTGCTTTGCTCCCAACATTACTCCACCCCAATGTCTCATATCCATTCCTTGATTTCCTTTTCTCCTAGGGCCACTCCACTTTAGAAAAAGGTACAGGAAAGACAGTGAAAAACACCACAGAGATGGGTTTAAATTCTAGCACTTTGGCTGTATCACCATGCTTCACTCCCCAATCACTACTTTTAAAAAATTATTTTGTGAATAATTGTTTCAGTGATTGGATAGAAGTCCTATGTGGAAAAAGGCAGCTTTATATACATCTAAAGCTTCTTCCATGCTATCTAGCTAAGGCTCTTCCCTCACAATCTTAAGAGTGGTTATTATTATTATTATTATTGAGATGCTTAAATTATTTGCACCAAATAACAGAGGCAATAAAAAGTCAAATCAGAGGTGGTCAAATGCAGCTCTGTCTGACTCTTATGCCCATGGTCCTTCTAACCTCATACTATATCCTTTAGAGGCTTCTAGTATGACATAACCATTGTGGTAAATGAATGACTCAATTATTTCTCTTAAACTAGTTCATGTCTACCTTAGGAGAACACTACATTCTGTATTCAAAACGTGTTATACTTGTGTCCAAATGTATTCTTCAGTTACAAAAAATGACTTTGACTCATTACTGTTAGCAAGAGTGAGCATGGTGGTCAATAAATGTCTCTTTGGCAATGGGGTGAGGGAGGAAAGTAATGATTTTAGTTGAAAGGTATTCTCAATACATTTCCACTGAGTATAGACACTCTGAGAGAGGGTGGCAAGCTGGCAAAAGTTCAAATGCAGGAACAGCAAAGTAAGCCTATATTTTAGAAAGTTCCCCTTTTTTCATGCTTTGGAGAAAAAGCATCACTAATTAAAAGAAGGCTATTTGAAATATTATAGCTGGTTGTTAGAGAGTTTTTGCTATCTACCTATTTCCTTTCCCATCAGTGGTTTCCAAGTGGCAATCCATGGACTGCCTGTATCAGAATTACCTGGTTACAAATACAAGTGTCCAGGTTCCATCTCAAAGCTATTGAGTCTGTAATTTAAGTATTAAAAATAATATTGTTTCAATAATATAAATTCAAAATTTAAATTAAGTTTCTGAAGCATGATTAACTATGGGGACACCTGATCTCAAATAAAATGGAAGCTTTAAAAGGCTGTGCCAATGCTGGGTAAACAATTCCAAAGCCTACATGTAGGCCCTGAATCAAAGGAGAAACATACTGCTTCCAAGGAACTGTGGACATTCACTCTTTTGTCTCAAAAAAAACCCAAACAAACCTGTCTTGAGATTAGTGTCTATAAAGATATCAGTCCAAGGACAGCAGAGCCAAGCAGTTAGATGAAATATTTGAGGACTTTACAGAGCTAGTTATACACTACAATACACTTCCCAAATAAAGTTCATTCATTTAATAAATATTTACTGAACACCTACTGTGCATAGGGAATTGTTATAAGGTTTGGGATATATCAGTGATGTTAATAGACAAAAACCTCCACCTTTCTAACACTTCACAGGAGACAGTCAATAAGCAAAACAAACTACCCTCAAAATACACACACACTCTCTTTCGTTTTTAATTTTATATATATAATAAATGATATTAAGTAATATGGAAAAATGAAGCAGAAAAGTAGGACACAGGTTCTAAGGGATGATTTAAACCTAAATAGGGTGCTCAGAATTGGTCTCATTGAAACATGACATTTGAACAAAGACCCCATGGAGGTGAGTGTGTTGGGCATGCAAGCATCTGGAGAAAGATCACTTAGGTAAAAGGAACCCTTGCAGGACATTTGGTCCTGTTCAAAATGTCCACTGAAATGTTTGGTTCCCATGAAAAGGTCCTTGAAATTTGGTCCTATCAGAAACTACTATGAATATATTTGGTCCATGCCAAATGGACCTTGATATTTAATCCTGTTAAAAACCATCCATGGTTAGAAAATGTCCCTGGGTTCAAATGGCCCATAATGTTTACTTATATTTTTGGTTTACAGAATACATAAAAACACTCTCATGTTTTATTGGTTGAATAACTATGTGGTGACTGTATCGCCAATAACGATCCTTCTCACCTCAGTAGTCTAGCTGGGGATGGCATAGAGGTTAGGTAGAGGCGCTGGTGTTTGAGTCTTGCAGAAGAGTGGGATTTAAATATCAGACCTTTTGGTGTGGACCAAATGTCTTCATGGACATTTTAACAGGATCAAATGCCCACTAATGGAAGGAACAGAAATGAGAAGTCCCTAAAGCAGGAGCATATCCACGATTTGACAATCTCAAGTGCACTAGCTTGAGAACAGTAAATGACAGGCAAGTCAGTTGGAGATAAAGTCAGAGAAGTAATAGGGACTCATCATGCAGGCCCCCATAATAGCAGTGTAAGAACACAAGAGCTCTGGAATAACTTCATCTGTCTTAAATTTTAAAAGCAAAGTTCTGAAACTGTGTTGAGTTCAGACTCTGGGGAAGAGTTCAGGTAGAAGCTGGGAGATAGGCTGCTGCCACAATCCAGGTGAGACATGACGATGGCAGCGACCAGAGGAGTGGGGAGAAGTGGTCCAGTTTGGATGTATTTTGGAGGTATAGGTAACAGCATTTACTGATAAGTGAAAGTGAGCTCTGAGAGAAGAGGAGTCACCATAGATGGAGATGCTGTGGAAGAAGTATATTTTGAGGAGAGAATCCAGAATTTTATTTTGGACATGGTGAATCTGAGCATTAGACAATCAAGTGGGGAAAGTCCAGCCATGACTGGAATGATCGTATCTTAGAGTATTTGTGTATTCCTCAAAGTAATAAAGACTAGGCATACAATAAACAACAAGTACATGCACACTGCCTCATTTAATCCAGCAGATTAATAACAACCAGAACCCTTATAAAATATAGGTGTAAGTAAAATTCCTATAATAAAATGTGTGGTTTACATTAATATTACTTTACACATTTTAAGATAACTACTTCCTGTTCTTATTTCTTGATACTACTATATCCCATCTCTTTCAAATAACTTTGCTTAAGTTACTTTTCCCCCCTTAAAACAACCATCCTATGAATGTTACTAAGCTACAAATACTATTAATTGAAATTATAAGTAGATGGATACCTTGGCTGAACTGCGGACTCACTAACAGCTTGAAGCCTTTTCTGCAAACAATGGATCTCTGCCTCATGGTTTTCTTCAGTTTCTTTCAACTGTTGCTGCAAAGAGGATGTGAGTTTTTCTAATTCTTGGACTTGTCTTTCAAGTTGTTTAATTTTTTCAATATGTTGCAGGGTCGATAACTTGCTTTTATGACTGGCATCTAAGATAAACGTAAGAAAAGACATTTAATACATACTTCTTAGTGAAATACCACAATTACTTTTCTGTGTGTGCAGAGAATATTCATATATAAAGCTATTCCTGATCAAGCTCCTGCTAATAATCTGGACTTTATCCCTCACTATTTTTTCACACACCTTGCACTCTCAATTCTCCAATTTGGATGCGGTCTGTCACACTTGTAGGTTTAAATCTCAGGAGCCTGCCCTAAAATTCCAACCTCCCTACTCCTGCCCACTGCCTGACCCTACTCGTCCTCCAAGGAAGTACTAGACTTTCCTCTCTCCTACCATTCTTTCTATTCATTCTATTATAGAAATTGTCCTACTGTTTTCTAACAGTTTATATTGCTTTCCCACTGGATTTGACTTCCTTTGGGAACGTATTTCAGTAATTTTAGATTTCATAAGCACTTGATAAACAAATGAATCCAAGACTAAGATATACAATTACCTTCCTCTATGGGCTCTAAGACAAGAACAAAATCATTTATTTACTTCATAGTACTTACAATTTTGTCAAAAACCATTTACCTGTTTCCTGTGTTTTTATATTCTGTATCTCTAACTGGTGAATTTTCTGAAGTTCCTTGATTTTTTCTTCTTGAGCAAAAATAAGTTCCTCTTTAAGATTGCTAAGAGCTTTATCTTTTTCATTTTCCATGTATGCACGAACCTGATCCACATGAGTCGAATAAACCAGAGAGAGGCATATACGTTGAGCTTCCATTTGTAGCCTTAATTCATTCTTAAAAGTGAGTGTATATACGTTAGAAAATTTAAAAATAACAAATCAAGTAATTTAACTTCTGTTTTCTTGCATATACTGACCACAAAATGGAAAATACATAAAATTACATTTAAAAAATTCATGTAAGAAAAGTGAAGTCTAAATTTTCATTCTGCTGCATTGATCTACTTATCTTTTTCAAGGAAAGTGCCATAATGCTTTCATTAGCTAAAATTTATGATAAATTCTGATATTTGGTATAGTTACTATGGCATCATCTTTTATTTTTATTTAAAAATATTTTAAATGTAAAGAAATACAAATAAAAATGTAATAAACATCTATGTATTCACACCCCATATTAACAAATACTAATATTTTGTCTTTTTAAAACAGATTTCTCCTCTCTACACAGTTTTTTGGTTTAAAACAAAAATATAAGTAAAATTTAGCCTACAATATTCCCATTCCTCCTTCTCCAGAGACAATCATTATCACATTAGTTACAAGTCTAGTCCACTACGTATATTGTCACTTCTCAACATATCTGTAGACAATGTACTATATTTAGTGTTCTACGGAATTCACATAAATAGTGCAAAATGGTATTTGTTACAAAACACTCTCCTCATGCAATATCCTTCTGAGAATTATCCATGTAAATACAGGTTAACTTATTTTAACTGTAATGTAGTATATACGAATACACCATAATCTTCCCATTTCTTTTTTGGAGATAAACTGGATTTCTACTTTTTTATATTTCAAAAAATGTTGCAATAAATTCTTATACACATCCCTTGTAAAATGTGCCAGAGCTTTCTCAGACTTTAGTATGCACCAGATTCATCTGGAGTGCTTATTAAAACAGATAGCTAGGCCCTTCCTCCAGAATTTCTGTTTCTGGATATTGGGTGTGGGGCTCAAGAATTTGAGTTTTAACCAGTTTCCAAGTGATACTGAAGTCGCTGGTCAGGAACCACACTGAGAGCCACCTAGAAATATAGTATTTGGGTTGTAGCTAATGTACATTAACTGTATTAGATTTTACCAAAACATCCTACCTAATAAAAGAGTAATATGCAAATTGACCATACCTCCTCTATACCCACCAGACACTCAGAGTGAGTATGCAACTAAACCCAACCAAGATGGCTACAGCTACAGAGAGCAGGAGGGAAGCTTGGGTTTCCCAGGCAACAGAGGAAGTCAAGCTTTCCACCTGCCCTTGCCGGCCCAGGCCTCCACTCAAGGCTACAAAGTTTCAATTATAGAAGGTAAACAAATCCAAACAGAAATGGTGGCAGCCAGAGAGCTGGAAAGAGCAGCCCCTGGCAATGGAAGAAGCAAAGCTTTTCCACACACCCTGGCCAGCCTAGGCCTCCACTCCAGGTTACAAAGTTTCAATTATAGAAGATATATACCAACAGAAATGGCTGCCGGCCACAGGAGCGAGCAGGTTTGGCTCTGCTCTAAGCTACAACGTTTCAATTGTAGCCTAGAGCAGAAAGTAAATTAATTCCAGATACCAGGGCCTCCGCTTGGGTCACCAGGAGGCATGGCTGGCCTGCAAACCACCAAAGGCCCTTCGCCCAAAGGGAACCCCACCCTCATCCAGGACATTCTTCAGGGCAAATCACCTGGCCCCCACCCATGCACCAGGCCTCTATCCTATCTAATAAAAGAGTAATATGCAGATTGACCATCACTCCAACACACAAGATGGCTGCCCCCATGTGGTCAAAGATCCTGCCCCTATGTGGACAAAAGATGGCCACAAGATGGTCATCAGGGGAGGGCAGTTGGGAGGCACCAGGCCTGCAAGGAAGGGCAGTTGGAGGCGATCAACTCTACAGGGGAGGGCAGTTAGAGGTGACGAGGCCGGCAGAGGAGGGAAGTTGGGGGGAAACAGGCTGGCAGGGGAGCAGCTAGACATCAATCAGATTGGAATGGGAGTGGTTAAGAGGGTGATCAGGCTGGCAGGCAGAAGCTGTTAGAGGCAATCAGGAAGGAAGGCAGACAAGCAGTTAGGAGCCAGCAGTTCTGGATTGTGAGAGGGATCCCAGATTGGAGAGGGTGCAGGCTGGGCTGAAGGACACCCCCACCCCAACCCCGTGCACAAATTTCGTGCACCGTGTCTCTAGTTTTATATATAATTATACCAATGTATATTGGCATTACCAGTGTATGAGTCCTCATTGCTCCCATTGCTTCACTACACTTTTTACTGAGACTTATTTTGCAATCTGATGGGTAGAAAATGCTGGGTTTTTTTGTTTTGTTTGTTTTTTAATAAATCCATCTTTGTTTGTTTGTTTTACACATTTAAAATATATGTATTTATTGATTTCAGAGAGAAAAGGAGAGGGAGAGAGAGAGATAGAAACATCGATGATGAGAATCATTGATCGGCTGCACCCTGCATGCCCCCCACTGGAGATCAAGCCCACAACCCAGTACCCTTCAGTCCACTGATCCAGACCAGCTAGTGCTAGAAAATGCTGTTTTGTTTTGTTTTTTGTTATATCAATTTATAAAGTTAAAAATATCCTTTCATGTTTATTAGCCATTTTGGTTTCCTATTCTGAGACAAATGTCTGTACATATCTTTTGTTCAATTTTATAATTTTAATCCTCTTCTTACATTAGTATTCTTTACACCTTCTTGAGATTAACCTCCCCCCTTTTTTACTATATGTGGCAAATATGTAATCCCAGTCTTTCAACTTGTTTTGTAGTATTTGTAAAATACTTTAATCAATCTGGAGTTACTGTATTCTAAAGGGAAAGGATCTAATTCCCTAATTTCCCACCCCAAATATCAAAAGGATATTTGCAAAAAAGCATAAAATAATATTATCAATAATCTATATCAATTTGAAAACATAATCTAACATGAAAGTTTATGCTGTTTCACTGTTGGTTCTTGATAAACTGGCTTTGTTTTGTTTATTCTTTCTTTTATTCACTCATTTAAAAAATCTTAACTGCCTATCTTATGTCGGACATCATTCTAGTCCCTAGAAATACAGCAAGAGTTCTTGCTTTCAAAGAGCTGATATTCTAGTTGTTCCTCTTATAGTTTCTAAATGCCAATATTTTTTTCAATTCTAATTATTACCTTCAATTTTACACATATACATTTCAATCCATGTTATCCCCAAGCATCAATAATCAATCATATCAGTAGCATTTCTGCCACTCCTCCCTCTTCCTTGAATCCTGACATTGATGAGACTTCTGTGATATTATTTTCCTCCTGCTCAAACTTCCTAATTATATTCATATGGGATTATACTTCAAAATTATGTTACCTTTAATTATAAAAAAAATCTTAACACCCACATTTATTTTGGTTTCAGTGAGAGATATCTGATCTATTTACTAAGTGTATTTAGTCCCAAGAGTAGTAATTGGTGTGGCCTTAGCATTATTTCTAAGCATATTTCGATTCCTCTTAGGTGTCACTGTTGTGTAAATTATGCTCAGTTTCTTCTGTGAGCTTCCTTCCATACACACATATTCCCTCTCCTCCCTACCAAGCAGGGCGTTTGTCTTGGTAGTGGTGAGTGGGCAGGGACAATTTATAGGCTTGCCTTTCTTCACTTTCTGTAAGTTAATGTCATCTTTAGTAGAGGAAATAAAATTTCTATTGAAAAAAACATGACCATTTTATTATCTTCAAATTTAGGTCCTCTTCTAATAATGCTTTGTAAATAATTTCTGGTATTTTAGGATTAATTAGTCCTAGCTGGTTTGGCTCAGTGTACAGAGTGTCGGTCTGTGGACTCAAAGGTCCCAGGTTCAATTCTGGTCAAGGGCACATGCCTGGGTTGTGGGCTCAGTCCCCAGTGGGGGGCATGCAGGAGGCAGCCAATCAATGTTTCTCTCCCATCATTGATATTTCTATCTCCCTTTTTCTCTGAAATCAATAAAAATATATTTTTAAAAAATTAAATTAAAATCATTTTAATGTTTTAAAAATAATTTCAGATATTTAGCAATCATTAATAATTATGCAATTTGAATTTTGTAATTATTTAAGTTAGGGGTGTCGAACTCAATCAGAGAAGGGGCCAAAATCTAAAATCCAGCCTAAATCGCGGGCCGAATGGTTTACTGAACAGTCATAAACTGTCATTGTGATGGAAACGCAGCGGAGTGCAGTGATGACAGCGCGGTGCGGGCCACATTGCAAGGCCTGGCGGGACGGATTTGGCCCGCGGGCCTTGTGTTTGACACATGTGATTTAAGTTATTAAAATGGAAACTATCTTCACATATGATATATTATGTATCTGAATATATTAAACTAATAAAGAGAAAACTTTCCAGTGGTTTCTTATTGTATCCTATATAATAAAATCCTAATATGCAAATCGACCAAATGGTGGAAAGACCAGCCGCTATGACAAGCACTGACCACCAGGGGGCAGACACTCCATGCAGAAACTTCCCCCAGCCTGCAGGCCCCAGGCCAGCCAAGGTGGGTGCCAGCAGGGGCGGGGTAGGGGGTAGGCAATTGCCCTGCCAGTCACCCCGCAGATTGGCCCTGATTGCTGGCCAGGCCTAGGGACCCTGCCTATGCACGAATTTTGTGCATCAGGCCTCTAGTATAAAATAAAATCTCAACATCTTACAAAGGCTATAAGGCTCCCCAAGATCTGGCCTCTTACTTCTTCAAACTCTTCTTCCACTCTTCCTCTCTCAAAATCAACTAACACACTTTCATTCTGCAACTCAAATCCATCTATATCTTCACAATTGCTCTGATTTCCTTGTTGTAGGCTCTTCCCTTTCATTCAGATCTCAGTTCAAATGTCACTTCCTCCAAGAAACCTTTCCTGACCACTCTATTTAATGCTACCCCCACATCACTACCCTTCATTCTCTATCACCTTAACTGTTTTTTTTCTTCCTAGGACTTACCACTATTTCTAACTACTCTACTTGTTTCCTTGTATACTGCCTGCCTCCTTCACCAGAATTTATGTGCTCTTTGAGATCTGGAATCATCTTTCTCTTGTTTGCCATTATACACCTATACCTGGCAAGAGATTCAGTAAATACTTGTTACATAAATGAAGAAACACAAAGACTGAGTTAATATCATTACATAAGACACCCAGTGGAATTTTCCTGTTATTTCTAATATTTTATCTAGCAAATATAAATTGTTGGGAGTGATCTATTATTACTTATACATGCATTCTTTAACTCTATTTAGAATTAATACTTTATCCCCTTTCAGGTATAATGATACTCAGAGAAAACTCTAGGGTTTAAATTGAGATTTTTTTCAGGGAAATATAGTTTCATAACTACTGAACAACTATATAGAGTACTTTAAATTTAAGAGTGAATTTTCAGTTGTGGAACCTTGAAAACACCAGTATGAATTAAAATTCTGAAACTGATCTTTGAGACTGTAACAAAATAGTAAAAAAATAATTTTTGTAAAGTTTATATTCTGAACATAGTTATTTAAACTCTTGCCTTTTCAAAGAAAATGTGAAAGCATTATTTTTTTTATTTGTTGAGCAGAATGTACAACACAGATGAACTGAAAGAAAGTCAACAATGTTTAAGAAAAAACAGGTAAGAGAAATAATAAATGACAGGCCCAAATAAAAAGTATATTATAGGGTTCACTTTCATTCTCCTATAAGGAGGTTAATTTATTTTAGAAAAATAAAAACTTTTTTTTTTAGTATGAAGCATACATTAGCAATGTGCTTTAGCATATATAAATAAGTAAACATACCTGTTCTGATTTAAGTACACCAAGTTCCTGCTGAAGTTTATCATTGTCACTTGGTTCAGTTATCCCAGGTGATACTTCATTTGTCACAGATGGCAAGTGATCCCAACACAACTGTTCTTGTTTGCTTTCTTTCCCAATAGTCATATTTTCAAAAGTTATTTTCTCATCCTCCACTATTTTTGATGCACCAAAATCTTTACTTATTTTAGAAACTGATCCTCCAGATTCCCTGCTTGTCATAGTCACAATTCCATCGTTTAAAGAATGTAACTGAACATCACATCCACTTACATCTTCTGTCCTATTATGGTTAATTATGACTTCTAGCTCTTTACATCTCAATAAAACTTGCTCTTTCTCTTGTTTTAAAGATTTAACTTCTTCACTTAGAAAACAAATTTCGCCATGTTTCTGTTTTAATTGTTCAGAGAGGTCAGTCAGTCTTTCTGACAGTTCTAATTTTTCTCGCTTGGTTACCTCAAGTTTTTCCATAAGTTCTGTTGTATCCTTTTCAACCACCTCACCAATTTCCAATGATTCTGCTATAAAAGTTTTGTTGTCATCAAACATTGAACTTTTTATTTTTGCTGTAGCTGGACTTATTCTTTGCAAATGATGAAGTTCTTCACTAAGTGCTTCAAGCTTACTTCTATACTCTACCTCTTGTTTATTTTTACTATCTTCTAAATCATTTTTTGCCTTGAGAAGGCAAGCATAATCCTCTTGTAACTCTTGATAGTTAACTTCAAAATTTTTTTCAGCAAATGAAAAAGTGTTTCTTTGCTTCTCAATCTCTTCATTTAGCTGAGTACATTGTTTTTTGAGGTCTTCATTTTCCTCAGTGAGCATTTCTATTTCTGTTTGCCAGCTACCATCTTTGGATTTGGACTTAATGGACTCCATGCAAACTAATCTTTCTTCTTGGTTAACAGGAGTATGTATTTTCAACATGTCTTCAAGAGCTTTTTTTTCATCTTTAAGAATACTATTCTCTGCTTCAAGTTGCACAAATTTTTCTTGAAGGTCATCCTCCTTTTCCTTCATTTGTTTCTCCAATAATTCAGTTTTAAGTTGCAATTCTTGAACTTCTTGTTCAAGTGTACCCTTTTCCTTTTCTTCTTGTCTGAGTATTTCAATTTCTTTTTGAAGTTCACTGATTTGAAGAGCCATTTCTTCTGATTTTGAATTCACAAGGGACTGCTGTAAATCTTTTAGCTTTGAAATTTCCAAAATTAATTGATTCTGCTTAGTTATCAAATTGTCTCTTTCAAACTGTATGTTTTCTATCTTTTGACTCATTTCATTCTGTAAGCCATCTATCTGCTGTTTATAGTGAATGCCTAAATTATCTTTAAGTTTTTCAATATTTATTCGATGCTCAATTTCTAAATCTTCCTTTAGTTTGGAAAGTTCTTCTTCATGACTAAACAGAAGCTGTGTTCTCAGTCTCTCTAATTCAGCTTCTTGTGATTCCGCCATTCTATCTAACACAGCATTCTTTTCTCTTTCCAACATTTCAAGTTTTATCTTATAATTTGTAACTTCTGCTTCATGTTTTAATTCTAATTCCTTCCTGGATTCGGAGGCAGATACAATCTCAGCTTTCAAATCCTCCACTGTACTAAGGGACTTATGTGCTTCATTTAGTTTACTTTCCTGTTCAGCTATTGTCTGTCTAGCTCTCTGAATTTGGTCTCTTGAAAAACTCAATTCTTCAAAAAGGTCTTCAAGCTGTCTTTGTAGAGTAGACTTTTCTCCTAAAATTATTCCTAGTTCTTCCTTGAGTTTTTCTTTTTGAGAGTTAGTATCTTGCAATTTTATATTCAGTTCATTTATTGCCATATTCATTAACTTTACTTGATCTTCATTAACTGTAATATTTGGACATGATCTAAAAGCATTATCCATCTCTCCCTTATGTTGTGCTTTAAGTTCATCTATCTGTGATATGTGTTGTTTTATTAACTCTTGTTTCATCTGTACTATCTGCTGTCCATACATCTCATCCAGCTCTGCCCGGAGTTGTTCTAACTTTCTTTGTGTTTCTTGTTCCATTCTTTGCATGATATCAGTTTCAAATTGGCTCTCTTTATGGTTTTTCTTCTGAAGTTCTTCAACTGTCCCCATTAATTGTTTTATTTCCTCAGAACACTGTCTTTCCTTTTGCTTGGAATTAGTCAGCTCTAAATTCATATTTTTTAACTCTTGGTTCTTTTGTACAACCTGTTCTTGTAATTCTTCCAGTAATCTGTCAGCAGCTGCGACTTTATCCTTTAGCTCAGAAGTTTTTCTTTCTTCTTTAATTATTTTTGTATTTAATTCTTCAATGATTGCTTCCTTTTCTTGAACTTCTTTATTTGAACTTTCTACTCTTTTATCTTGTTCCTTTAAAAAGAAAAAAAAAGAAAATTTAAAAATGATATTTTTAGTTCCTAGGAACTTATGTCACTTAACCTCAAAAAGTAAGATTTTTACATAATCATATAATCATATAAAAAGTGACTGCTGTCCCTCAATTTTCTCAAGCCAGTGAGAAAATTTATAGCTCTAGAAGAAAGTCTTAAAAATCAAGGTTCCTCCCGTGTATTCTAGTGACCTGAAGGTATTTGATGGGCAAGTGCCTTAACTTCATTCCTGGGGCTAAGTAAATTAGAAATTTAGGGATATGCAGCACCTAAGTGATTGAACCTCAAGCAACATGCAAGACAACCCTACCATGTATGACATATCAACTTGGTCCTAGAATTCTGGTTTTAATAGAAATTTGAAAGTGGGACAGATACTTTTTCCTGGTTTGGTATTCTATTTTAGAATTGTAGGTAAGCCTAAACCCAGAACACTTGCCAAAGCTGTGATTATCATTAAGCACAATCATTCACAGGAGTCTGATACCAAAATAAGTCAAGCAGGAGCCATGGAGCTGAAGTTTTCCCTCTGTTAGTTAGTTGCCTATGTAGTTAAGGGTTGTAGACTCAAGAACAAAGAAAAAAGTAAAATCCAAAGAATGGAACAGACTATAAGTAGGTAAATTAAATCACCTTAAGGAGACAAGAGTCCCAGTCCAAGGGGATTTACTAGTAAAGGCACCTCGAATGAATATATTAACATATATAAAGCAAGAATGTCAAAGCCCAGACAAAGAAAAGCCTCAGAAGGAATTGTTGGCAGAGCCCATTCCTGTATAGTCAGTCTAGGGAAGAGAACAAAGGTGCCAGGAGACTGAGAATTCTGATCCTTCTGGGAAACCACATTCCAAATGTAGAAGGAAATGTAGGGGGTTGCAGCAAACAGAATTTAAGAATTCCAGTCCAGAGGCATGACCATTCCTACTTTGAGATGAATACATCAGGTTCTCACAGCCTAATGCCCTGAATATTCGATTCCTATAACATTCCTTGATCTCATGCTCACTGAACAACTTTCTTTTATTATTATTTGGCTCTTCAAAAGTAAACCCAAAGGAACTTGAAGTATACAGGTCTTTGGGAAAATTATTTTTCATTATAAAGTAATAATCTTATATGTAAGCCCTGGCCTGTGTTGCTCAGTGATTAGAGTGTCACCCCATGCACCAAGGGGTCGCAGATTCCATTCCTGTACCTGGGTGGCAGGTTTGATCCTGGGCCCTGGTGGGGGCACGTGCATGTATCTCTCTCAGTGTTTTTTTTCTCTCTCTCTCTCCTCAACTCCTTCCACTCTATCTAAAAATCAATGGGGAAAAAAAATCCTTTGGTGAGGATTAACACTACATAAATACTGCCTTCTCCCCGCCCCCCCCCAAATAAAATAAAAATCTTGTATTTAAGATTTAAAAATTAGTCTCTTGAACTTGGAAAATAAACTGAGACAACTCGTCTCAGTTGAAAGAAAATAAAAACCAAATCAGACTTCTGATCCTACAAGAAAAAGGCCACATTCTTTACTATCAATATATAAATTAACCTAGGCAATGAATGCTTTTCTGTGCAGTCACTTGAGAGCAAAATCCTATCAGTTTCTGCCTTGGTATCACATATCTCATCCAATGTCACCATAAGTTATTACCAAGGACTAAGCCTTCTTATGTTAATTTCAGCACTACTATATGATATTTAAACCAGCTTAATCTCTGAAATCTTAGGGTTTTTCATCTATAAAAAAATATAAAGATATTTTCTCTATCTCACAGAATACGCTTGACACTAAAATAAATATATTAATTGTTAAAGCAAAAGAAATATATTTATATGTAAATATATAAATGTAATATAACTGTATACTAGGAAAAAAATCTATAGGGCATTTGGAACCTATAAGAAAGTATAATCAGTTTACTGAGGTCAACTTCAGTTAAGTTGTTAAATAAGTAATTAGTCTTGAAAATGTGAACATAGTTATTTATCTGTAACATTTCTGTCTCCTGATTTTCTGTAGGGGGAAAACTCTCACAGAACAGTTTCATTAATTCAAAATTGTCCATCACTTGATATAACTGTAAACAAATAACAATAATTCTACACTTAACTATTAAATAATACAAATTCATGGTTCATTTTTTGTAGTACCATTTATTTCAAAATAGATGGTTTTAAACTACTTATTATTTTATATTTAAGGAAAAAAAAAAAAAAAAAAGACAGCCCTGTGGTTGAATATACAGCCCCTCTACTTCTGGACCCTGAGAGAGTAGGGAATAATATACTTCCTGCCTATGACTACACGGGAAGTTCAGAGGATTAAGACAACGTAAGCAAGCCTGGAATTATCAAACAGTTGTCTAGGGGATGAAGACAGTTTCAACTATCACCCTAATGCTTTAGTCCCTCAGCTACTCTGGTGAAACTACTATTCAGGAGAATTCATTCAAAGGGGGAAAAATATGTGATGAACTGACAATAAAGTATTCTTGCTAACATTCAAATCAACTAAGGTTATTCCCCTACATCAATGAATTATTTGAATTTTAAATAACCTTTCATTATTCTGCCAACTAAATATAATACAATTAAATTTAATTTCTATGCTTCTAAACTAGATTGTCTTTTTACTTTCATCCTAGAAAGGGACATTTTCAAAGACTATCACTTTCTAGTTAAACTACTTTTTATTCCCTATATATGTATCACCTGGGTTCCTATGAACACTCCATCTTCTGTAAAAAATGTTCTCCCATCTTGCCCTGGCTGGTTTGGCTCAGTGGATAGTGAGTCGGCCTGCAGATTGAAGAGTTCCAGGTTCGATTCTAGTCAAGGGCACATGCCTGGGTTTCGGGCTCAGTCCCCAGTGGGGGGACATGTAGGAAGCAGCTAATTAATGATTCTCTCTTCAGCATTTATGTTTCTATCTCTTCCTCTCCCTTCCTTTCTAAAATCAATTAAAAATATATTTTAAAAAATGTTCTCCCATCTCTATCAATTCAGATTCATAATTTAATCACTTATTTACCAAATAAGTATTGAGTAGCTAGTATGTGCCACACTTATGCCAACTGCCAGGGAAACAAAACACAATTAAAAAGAGATTGTTCCAACTTATTGCCCTACTTTATATATCACCTCCTCCCTAAGGCCTACCCTTAATCACTTCCTTTATGAAGCCAGACTCAGAACTTTCAACACACGTATTACCTACACTTATCCTTGTTTTGTGGTATCTGTGTACATGGTCCACTATTCCATTAGTTCCAGTGAAGAAAAGAACACATTTTAAGCATCACTATTTCTTGCAGGGGCATGTTACAAAAACAGGTGTTTTGTAAACATCTACATAATGATCTTTTTAAATCACCCTGATTGTAAAGCATGCCCATTTATCTTAAATTTTTTATTTTCTATTTTCCTAAGAGCAAAGTCTCTGAAGTCAGACTATGTAGGTTTGATATTTGGTTCTACCAACTTATTTTTTTAAATATGTTTTATTGATTTTTTACAGAGAGAAAGGGAAAAGGATAGAGTTAGAAACATCGATCAGCTGCCTCTTGCACATCTTCTACTGGGGATGTGCCGGCAACCAAGGTACATGCCCTTGACTGGAATCAAACCTGGGACCTTTCAGTCTGCAGGATGATGCTCTATCCACTGAGCCAAACCAGTTAAGCTTCTACTAACATATTACCTCATACTTAGGCAAATTGCTTCATCCTGGTTTGCCTTGGCATCCTCAGAAGGTTATTGCAATGATTCAATGAGTAAATATGTGCAAAATATTTTAAATACTGGCTGGTAGCAAGTGAACAAAAAATAAGTGGTAGCTAATACTTTTATTATTAACCAAATAATACTTCTGCCTTGGAAATTTCTCAACTTCTTCTTGCAGAAGAACCTGCTAAGTTTATAAAGAGTACTGTATTGTATCTACAGTCTGTCCTCATTATTCACAAATTCTGTATTTGTGAAGTCATCTACTGCTGACACTTATTATTTTTAACTCCAAATCAATCCTCTCCGTCATTTTCAGAAGTGTTCAGAGTGGCAAAAAATTTGAGTGGCTGGACATGCATATTTCCAGCTGATGTCAAATAAGGTAACCACACTCTGTCTTCTTGTTTCAGCTCTTACATGGAGAGGAGAGTAAAGATAGTAGGAGGAATGCAGTGTAGTGCAAGATGTTCTGACTTTGGGCCAGTTGGACAGAATTTGAATCCCAACTCTGGCAACTGTTAGTGGGGTGGCCACAGCCAAGTCACTTAACACTTCTGAACCTCATTTTATCTTTTGAAAAATAAATAAAACATAATCTACCAGGAAGAGTTGTTTTTAGGATTTAAGATTATAATCTATGTAAATATATGTGTGTGTGTGTCCCCAAGGAGCACTCATTTGCTAAGTAAGTGCTCTAGGCAAGTATATAAAACATAACTAGAGTGAATAAAGAGAACTGACTTAGTTTTTCCTAGCTAAAATCCATAAAAATTCATTTGGCTGTAAAAATATTTTCATGCCCAGCTGGGTGTGGCTCAGTGGTCAACACAGGAACCAAGAGGTCACGGGTTCGATTCCCGGTCAGGGCATATGCCCGGGTTGAGGGCTCAATCCCCAATGTGAGGTGTGCAGGAGGTAGCCAATCAATGCTTCTCTCTCATCATTGATGTTTCTATTTCTCTCTCCCTCTCCCTTCTTCTCTGAAATCAATAAAAATATATTTAAAAATATTTTCAGAATTTAATAACCATGGCTAAAATGAGAATACCTGTAGATGAATAAAAAGAATAGAAATTCTAGTTATAAATTCTCCTTAAAACTCAGTTTAACATAAGCACATCACCTTCAAGGAACTCAGTAATGAGTTATTATCTTAAAACTATTATTGTTAGATTCCTAATGGACTGTGAAAAATTATTTTACAAACTTAAAGAGCTTTCTTAATTATAACATTTTGTAATTCATGTATACAACAAAAAGATGAACACTTGCATACAAAACTTGAAAGTTAATTATAAAGCTGCTACAAGTTACCTCTTTAAAATAAACATACCATTTCATATGCTTTAATTTTCTCTTGCAAAAAACTGATTTGCTTTTTGAAGTCTTCTTTCTTTTTTTGATAATCTTCTAATAGATGGTCTTGTGCTTCCAGCTGTTGCTGATGAGTGAGAATTTGTTGTTTGGCTTGTAGTAAATCTGCAGCAGTGCTACTGTGAGTGCTGTTTCTCAGAGTTTCACTAGCCTGTAACTTGAAAACAAGAAGAAACCACAAAGTATTAAATTCTGAAGTGACTGCACTAAGGAATAGACACCTCTTGGAAGTATTAACTTGGCTCACAATTCTTTCTGGGAACTGTGTTGAATTTATAGGCTTTAGACCTCAGCAAACATACTGTCATGGCTGATCAGAGAATATGGGCACATTATCCAAACTGACCTAATAAGATTATTTTTCCTATGATAAAGCTGGGAAGGTAGTCTAATGAGAGTGGTAAAACTGAGGCAGACAAGCAGAAAGAAATGGGGCCTGAAAAACAGTACTTCCTGAATTCCTGATGACGTTCTAGTTTCTGATCACAATCCATTTCAGAAGCCTGGTCGCAGTTCTGCCTTGAATTCTGTAGGATAAGTAGGATCCTTACATTAAATTCCCCCTTTTGCTTAAGCTACCTTCAATTATTTTCCATCAGAAATCTTGATTAATACAATTATACAATACAATTAATATGACTCTAATTAAAATAAAAGCATACCAAAGTTGGCAAAGGATATGACTATATATTAATTTGTGCAAAAACTTGACCCAATAAGATTTATAAGGTTTTGTAGGATTTCAAAATACAGACAAAGATGAAGCAAAAAGCCACTGAAGAAATATGACTTAAATTCTTGGTTAAAATAACAATGGTCTTTACTACTTTTTTGTTTTGTTTTTTTTCCAACATGATACATAATAGGCAAGTGAATTTTAAACCAATTTAAATTTATTTTGTAAACTGTGAAAAAATGCAATTGTTTATTGTTTATTAAAGATCTAATAAACTTTGTCCTATTAGTAATACTTACATGCTGAAATTGAATCTGTAAATTTTGGCTTTGTTCTGTCAATTCTAAAAATTCTCTCATTGTCTCATCCTTTTCTCTTCTTGCTTGTTGTAAATTAGCAGTAAGCTGAGTTATGATGCCATCTCTTTGTTTAATGGCAGCTTCAAATTCTTGTAACTAAAAGACACAGTGAAATTAAAAAGTGCTAGACTTACTTTTTAAAACAAAACAGATTATTATAGGTAACTGTTCTTCAAAAATATGATTTCAAAACTCATTGGCAGAATTATTACAATTTATAAGCAACCTTCTCCATATTTGAAGGCTATTACTTACAAAACAACTTTTAAAAAGATTATCTGATCTTAGAAACAAAACATATTAGGTCTAACTTGTCCATGTATCTACTTCTAGAAGGACAGTGCCTTTACATTTAGGAATGCCTCAATCTGTTCCTAAGCAACACCCCTCCTGACAGGTTCAATCCACACTCTTTTGTGGAAAAAATGAAACTGAAATGTATCCTCTCATCCTCATCGATGTTCTATTTCACCTTGTTTTTATAACTGACTGCCAAAAACAACAGATGTCATTTTAACCACAGAGGTTACTTACAAGGACTCACTGACATTTTTAATGAGTTTAAATCATCATATTTTGATGTGGTAGGCACAATTTTCTCTCAGGCTGATTACAAAAACATCTACTCTACTGAAGTGATTTCAGCCTACCTATCTCTTAAAGTTAAATAAAAGAGTCCATGTTTTATTAGCTCCGTTAATAAAATCCTGTTTTTAAGTGAAGCTATGATATATATATATATATATATATATATATATATATATATATATTATACACACACGCACACATATATATACACACATACATACATACACACACAAATATTATGAGATGACCATAAGCTACATTTAATAACCTCATCCTTAAAACATGTACATAAACTGTCACATTTCCTATTTTTGTTTCTGTGAGTATCAGAAACCACGTAAGGTAAACATACTTGCTGTAGTCCTTCAGTCCCATAGGTGGCCCTCATTTCTTCCAGTTCTCTGTTTAGCTCCTCAATCTCATGCTGTTTCCCAACCAATTCATTTTCCATCATCTCTAGGTGGGTCGGATTGTACTGTGCTCCATGTTCAGAATAAGAATCATCAACACCAAATTCTTCTTCCTAAATCAATCCAAGATGTTGAAAAATTCAGTACTAGCACATTCCTCAGGAAGAGGAATTCAAATATTCAAAGCAATGTCCACTTTAACTCATCACCTGGGAGTTTACTGATATGGCAATCTACTTTGTTGTTAATGAATATATAACTCAAAAGCAAAAACAAGGTATCTGCATATTCTGTTACATTGAGTTTTATAACAAACAGTAGATACTTTTGTTTTGTTAAATATTAAAAGCATTTAGGATTCACCCACAGAAAGAAGTACATGCAAGAAAAAACTTTGTTAGTAAGCCAGATGGTTTTAAATAGCATAAAACATTAGTATCATGAGTAGTTTTAAATACTGTACCCTTAATAAATTTGTAGGCTTTCCTGTTCTCACCACAAAACTGCAACCATTTACCTGTATAAAAACAATTTCCTGATATGTTATGATTTTAAATAGAATTCTATTTAGAGCTAACAATTGTATTTCTGTTAACTTTATTCATGTCTCTTTCATGCCAAGGAAAAATGCCTCATTGGCAAAAACAGATAATACAGTGATTAAACGTAAATTATCTAATGAGTGCTTATTATGCAAAAAACACTGTACAATACATTTGCTTTTCAGTGATTTAAAGTTCTAAGTGCAGGGTTTGTTTTTTTTTTGTCTTCATAAGAATAATTATAAACTTCAAATTAGGGGATTGACCCTCTTCTATAAAACAATGCTTTAAGTTTATTTAAATGATTTTTATAAAGTCCTATTCATTTTTAAAGTGAGGCTGTTTACTGTTACAAATTCACTGAAGGTTGGCAAGCAGGTCTAGAGATAGGAGATGAAGAAGCGAGGAACACTCCTTTCAGAATTTTCCCCTGGGGTAGCACTAGATAGCCATGCCAAGCCTGATGGGCGTGGAGATTTTCCATACACATTACTATCTGTCTCTATCGCAGACATTTTGTGGTAGGAAGAAGGATGACTGCTATGTCTTTAGGGTTGACCTGGTGGGAGATTAATTTCAGATCAATCAATCTAATTAACAATCCTCTCTTCCCCTTGCCCCCAACAGTATAAAAATGAACTATATTCCACTCACATCTAAATTATTCACAATTCTATGCTAGTAGAATCCAATACAATGAAGTTTTTACTGTTGAAATACATAAGATAGAATATCCCAGAATTAGATCCATATAGACCATAACACTTTAAAAACTGCAGATCCTAAGAATTATATATATATACACACACACACACACACACACACAAACCAGTTAGGGCCTAACTAAGAATTCTTTATCTGAGTTTGAGTCCTTTGTTTTTTCCCTAAGGATAATTTCTGGAAAGCAAAGCTAAAGTAAACAATCAAAAAATGACCTTTATGGCAACATAATATTAAAAATCTGTAAACACCAAATTCTTCTTCCTAAATTGATCCTTCAATAAAGTACAAATAGGTACATTTTAAATATAAAAATGTTCTGTAGTGATACATATCATGTATTACTATTTAGAAAAAAAAATCACAGGAAAGATCATTTTTAATACTATAAATTGGCATTTACACAAAACTTTTAAAACTATACATAGTTTTATTGAGGGAGAGGCAGAAAGAGACAGAAACATCAATGAGAATCATCAACCGGCTTATCAGCTGGGAATCCAGCATGTGCTCCAACCAGGAATCAAACTATGACCTCCTGGTTCATAGGTAGACTCTCAACCACTACACCACACTGGCTGAACTCACACAAAACTTTTTCTTTCAATAAACATTAGCTTAAAAATATTTTTTAAAAACCCTCACTCTTTAATTTATTTATGATTTTTACCTTATCTTTATACTTAATTTGGTAGTAAATACATTCAAAAATATTAATAATTGACATTTTTAAAAAATAAGAAGAATCTGATGATTCATAAAAGTTTATGAAAATGACACATCATAAACTGAGTTCACATCATAGCTGATTCAGGAAATTGAAGCCAAGTAACTAATGAGGTTAAGACGATCCATTCAAAATCAAACTTGAATTTCAAACATCACACTGTACACCTTAAGTATACATACAATTTAAATTGTAAAATTATATCTCAATAAAACTAAGGCAGCTAGAGAGAAATATAAAATTATTATTATATGTAGTATAAAAGAGAAACCCAAGTCAAAGTTGAAAAGCTAAGTTTATATTACTTTATGACTGTAAACAATGTTTCCCAACTCCAGCCAGTAATTTCATAAATATTATGAATCAAACAAGTGTCTTGGTTAAGAAGTATTACATAATCAGATGAAATCCATAATAAAATTGTATACCCTACCATCACTTCATCTTTCTATGTATAACAAAGCATATTTATCTACCTGTCTTTATCTCTAAGTTGCCTGTAGCATTTTCTACTTTCTGCTCAAATTGTATGAATAAAAATATGTCATGTAAATATGGCATTCTGGTCTGATTTCTCTAGTATATATCATTGGAAATATACTTATACAAAACATCTTTCATAGGTGACAGGATAGAAATATCTAATTATCTCTAGGCTTGAATCTATTTTTCAACCCAATATGTATATACTAGTAAGCCACAGAAGTCAAGAACATTAAGCTCATACCGTATCTGTACACATAAAATTTCCAAAATAAGTTCTAAATTAATGTATAACCAAAAATCTAAGATCCTTCTGAGAATAACTTAATAAAAGACTTTTCATCACTCACTTGTTTCATATATAGGGTGAATAAAAGTATATTAATGATGAGAAGTCATAAAAGATAAATAAGCCTTGCAAATTGTCTTTTATATACCAAAACACCATATTAAATATCATCAAATAACCCTCTCAACTACCCTATGAGGTAGATATTATTACCCCTGTTTTATGGGTAAGAAAACTGTTTCAGAGTTTAAGTAATGAGCCCAAGTTTAGCTTGGAGTGGATGAAGCTGAAATTTGAATACAGGTCTTTCTGGATCCAAAGCCCCTACTCTTTATATCACCTTAATCCTACATATCCGAAAAATGGCAGTTATATTTAGACAAAAATACAACATATGTGGTCTATGATAAAACCATGAAAATTTGAAAATTTAGAAAACTCAAGCTTATAAACCAGGGCAGCCAAGATTAATAAATTGCAAATATGGCATTTGTCATGGTTACAATACAGGGGTTGACAAAAGTAGGTTTACAGTTGTTAGTACACAAAACAGATTTATTCTTGTATTATTTATTATTATTATTAACCTACTTTGCCCACCTCTGTATATGTGTTGCCTAAAAGTAATTTTATGGGGGACAGGGATAGAGGGGATGTTATTGAAAAGTTATGCCTAAATAGGGCATCAATTTATTTATTTAATCCTGGTTAATTATCTTCCTGACCAGATTACTACCGTGTTTCCCCGAAAATAAGACCTAGCGCATGGAAAGATAAGACATCCCCTGAAAATAAGACCTATAGCGCAACTTTGGGAGAAAAAAATTAATATAAGACACTGTCTTATTTTTGGGGAAACAGGGTAATAAGTATACTCACAGCTTTTAAACACATTAAATTGGCAATCCAAAACAGTAATACATTCATTTAAAAACAGGGAAGTTATATTTTAATATTAGAAATCTATTATACAATAAATCAAAACTTATGGAATATACTGAGTTACTAAGCCATTCAGAGTAAGGAATATTTTTCCATGTCTTCATAATCTGAAAAAATAATAATCATATCTAAAAAAATAAGAAAAAGTTAATAAACTGATATATATATTTATTACTAATACATAAAGAAGGTATTTCCTAAGATGGCCAATGCCTACATCAGCTTTGATCATTACTGTGTTAAATATGGATACCTTAAATAATCATGTATCCTAGAAAACCAGTATCAAACACTCCTAGAAATGGGGGGGGAGGGGGCGGACTTTATCTAATTAAGGACCAAGCTTTCATACAATTTAAGGCCTTAGTTAAAATCTGGGGGGGGGGGAGGGGGAATATATATATATATATATATATATATACACACACACATACATACACTCACACACACACACACACACACACACACATTTATCAGAAAAGCATAATCTGCCAAGACTGGTTTGGCTCAGTGCATAGAGCATCGGCCTGGGGACTGAAAGGTCCCAGGTTCGATTCCGGTCAAGGGTTGCGGGCACATCCCAAGGGTTGTGGGCACATCCCAGTAGGGGGTGTGCAGGAGGCAGCTGATCGATGATTCTCTCTCATCGATGTTTCTAACTCTCTATCCCTCTCTCTTCCTCTCTGTGAAAAATCAATAAAATATTTTAAAAAAGAAAAAAAAGAAAAGAAAAGCATAATCTTTATGTTTTCTAGGTCTTTATATCATTTCATGTTATGCTATATTTTGTTAAACTTATAAAAATTTAGAACCATGTAAGTTGTAAGAAGTAAAGTATTAATAGTCAATAATAGTTTAAAGAATAATACAATTATCAATTATAATATTATTTATTCTTACCTCAGAACTATAATCTTCAGCTGTGGTTGAAATTTCACTTTCTGGCTAGAACAAAAGTAAAAACTGATTACATTAAGGCCCTTTACCATCTAAATATTGTATTTTATTGACCTATTACTATTGGTGCACATAAAAATATCACTAAAAAACTGTAAAAATTATTCAGATCTTTAAAATTTTCACTCTGATTAACAATGGCTAAATAACACATCTAAAATTTAACACTAGGCATTTTTCTATATATAAAAGTATCAAGAGGTACTTTCACACCAGGTCTTGTATCACTAAGAATCATTTGTAAGACAAAAACACCAATTAATATATCATCCCACTAATTTTTGTGTCTCTTTTAAATAAAAAGTCATGCCCTGGCCCACGTTTCTCAGTGGTTAACGTGTTGATACAACGAAGGATTGTGGGTTCAATTTCCAGTCAAGGGAACATACTTGGGTTGCAGTTTCGATTCCTGGCCCCTATCCAGGTGAATGTGGGAGGCAATCAATCCTTGGACAAGAAGTAAAAAATAAAAAGTAAAAAATAGCCTGGCTCGCAGGAAGTCCTGGTTCAATTCCCAGTTGTGGCTGGATCCCCAGTGGGGACATGCAGGAGGCAGCTGACCATTGATTCTCTATCATTGATATCTCCCTCCCTCCCTCCTTCCTTCCCTCCGTCTCTCACTTCATCTCTGGAATCAATAGAAATATTTTAAAAAATAATATATTTAAAGGTCCTAATAAGTTAGTAAAAAAGTCCAATTTCTTCAAAAGGAAAAATCATTAGATCTTGATTCTAAAAAAGTAGTAACAACTTGAAGAAAAATAACTTTTGTTGTTAACACCTTTGCAGCTTACAAAGCACTCTTAAAGACATTCTTGTTTCATCTGTACATCCCTGAGATTTGGGTATGAAGTAAGTGATTTTTCCAAGCTGCTCTCAGCTGACAAGTACTATCATAGGAAGGAAGAGTCAAGGAGAAAACCTAAATTTTCACTCTTCTCCCTCTCATGTAAGAAACTCATTTTACAAGTGAGGAAAGAAGGCCCTGATATTTCAACTATTCATTCAACAAATATGAACCATCACTGTCTCCTTTCTGATCAACTTATGGAAATTTTATTCATCATTCAAGACCAAGTTTAAGTCTACCTACCACCTCTATGATATAGTAACTGATGCCAGGAACATGAAAAAGCCCTACCCCTATTCTAAAATTCTGTAGCAGTGATTCTTAACTCATGTGACCCTCTTTTAAATCTAAAGTATTTCCATGACAGACGCCCTCCATGGTTCACTTGCTTATGCATATTGTGTACTAAAAACAGTGGCACTGAGGATAAGAAGACACTCTGCACTCAGAAATGCTAAAACTAGTGAAGAACCCAAATGCCGAAAATCATAATGAACACTTCAAACCAAATCAAACTCCAGAACTGCCCTATTATATTATTTAAAAGGTCCAAATTTCAACAGAAAATTTCAAGATATACAAATAAAAAAGTGTGGCCCATACTCAAGAAAAATAGTCAGTAGAAAATGTCTCTGCCCCTAGCTGGTTTTGCTCAGTGGGTAGAGTGTTGGTCTGAAGACTGAAGGGTCCCAGGTTTGATTCCAGTCAAGGGCACATGCCAGGGTTGTGGGTTCAATCCCCAGTAGGGGTCATGGAGGAGGCAGATGATCAATGATTCTCTCTCATCATTCATTATTTCTATCTTTTTCTCCCTCTGAAATCAATTAAAATATATATATATTTTTTAAAAAGAAAAGAAAATGTCTCTGAGGAAACACAGACACTGGATTAATAAACAGACTTTAAACTATCTATTTCAAATATTGTCAAGTCAGTGAAGAAAATGTCTAAAAGACTAACGTATTAAAATATTTTGCCAAATACGGAATATCAAGAAAGAGAGAGCATTCTAAAGTAAAATTAAAAAAGAAAAGAAATTCTGGTGTTAAAAAATTCAACAAAAGGGCTTACAGCAGATCTAAGGATGAAGAATAAAAAATCAGCAAATTGCAAAAACAGTTCAACTGAAATTATCCAGTTTGAAGTAAAGAAAGAAAAATAAGAAAAATGAACAGAGCATCAGAGACCTGTGCAACAATATCACACATACTAACATATGCATAATGGAAAACGCAGAAGGAAAGGAAAGGGGTAAAAAGAATATCTGAGGATATATTGGCTGAAAACTTCCCAGATTAATGAAAAACATTAATCCACACATTCAAGATGCTCAACAAACTCCAAATAGGAAAAACTAAAAAAGATACAGTCTTATAATACAATAAATAACAAATCTGACACTCCTGACCTCATTAATCAAGTTCAAATCCCTATATGTCTAAATCTTTCTGTTTCTACATAAATATGCTAAAGCCCAATCCAAACTGTAATAATCTGCCTTGTCTAACACTGTTCCTCCTAAGCATTCCACAATTATCTACTCCTGGTCTCAGCTGGTAATTCCACCATCCCACCCACTATCCTAAACCACTCTTCTCCCTCATTTTTATATTCTGGAAAATTACATCACTACGGGGAGGGAGAAAATTAGTATTCATTGAGAACTTTCTAGGGGGTAGGTGCAATCTCCTGCCTTTCATCATTACCACCATCCCATTCCCATCACTGAGATCCATTTAAAACGAAACTATTTATGGTTTCCAAATCACATCACAATGTTTCATGTCTTTGTGAACACAGTCCCTTTGGCACAGAGATGGCATCCCCTACCTCTTTACTTCAGGTACATAACCATACAAGACTGACTTATGCATTCTTCCAGATCACGATACCCTAGGGTACCATGTACACTGTTGCTAGCAAAACTCTAATCAGGGTACATGGCCTATTTTACATCTGCCCTCCTTACTAGACTGACTTTCCTAATGTACAAAACTGTCATATTTTACCTTTGTAACCTTGGTGCTCAATCATTGGTACATAACAGTTGCTTAATAAATGTTTATTGAATCAAATATTTTTTAAAAAACTGCACAGGGTGCTAATGAGCATTGTCATTACAGTAACTTTCCACTTACAATTTTAGTGTTTAAAAATCTGGATGAATACTTACTTCAACAGAGAAGACCTGGTCATGTTTGATTATTTCTCCACTGTGTAGTGTTCTCATTACTGTGGATTCAGGAGTCACGACGGATCCTACTCCCTGAGAACTATTCATATACATCTCATCACTCTGTGATTGCTCAATATTCAAAGCATGGTATGCTGATACATCAAGTTTACTGCTTGAAGCATTTTTCTTTTTTTTCTTCTTAGAAGGATTCTGCCCATCACATTGAGCTTTCCTTTGTCGAAACTGCGCAAGCTGCAAAATAAAATAAAATAAAATAAAATAAAATAAAATAAAATAAAATAAAATAAATAAAATAATATAAAATAAAATAAAATAAAATAAAATAAAATATAAAGAGATTGTCATTATTGTTAAAGATATTTTTTCTTTATCACCACTAAGAGAAAAACAGCTTTGGAGTCACTTTCTTTAAACCTTCACTAAAATGATAACAAAATAAAGGACAATTGTTGGTCTTTAATATATTAATAACTATTGAGTTGCAAGGAAATCAGTATTTCTGAATGAATGCTTTTTAAGTATTCAGAAATAAAAATGTCAGGTCTAAAAAAAAAGTATTAGCCCACAGTTGGGTACAATAAAGGAAACAGGCACTCCCATTCAACACTTGGTGAGAGTGTAAACTCTGGATGTGAGATTATACAAAAATATAAGAGCTCTAGATAAATTTGCTTTGTGGAATTTCTGGGACTTCTACTAATTTATACTACTGTAATTAGTCCATGCAAAAAGATTTAGCTATACAAATGATCACTGCAGCCTTGTTTATAATGGGGGAAAATTAGAAATAATTTTAATATCAAACAACAGAACTTCTCACTACTTAATCATCAGAACTTATGCCATGTCCTAGTGCCACTTATACTTATCATTTATTTAACATGTTTTAACATATGCTTTTCTTTTTTTTTTTTCTTTTTTCTTTTTAAATATTTTTTATTGATTTTTGTACAGAGAGGAAGGGAGAGAGACAGAGAGTTAGAAACATCGATGAGAGAGAATCATCGATCAGCTGCCTCTTGCACACCCCCCACTGGGGATATGCCCGCAACCAAGGTACATGCCCCTGACCGGAATCGAACCTGGGACCCTTCAGTCCCCAAGCCGACGCTCTATCCATTGAGCCAAACCGGTCTCGGCCATATGCTTTTCTTAATTAAATTTATTTTATAAGATTTTCTACCTCTGATATAAATTAATAGCCAGTATCACTTGTGATTTCTTTAACAAAATAGTAAACAGAAATAAAAATAATGAAAAATAAAACTACACTATTAAAATTCTAGTTAAATATTACTGCTTAAGTTTATAAAAGAAACAGGCAAGTGTGAGAAGGGTATAAAGGATATATGAGCACCAAATAGACTTTTGGTTTGCCATTAGCAGATGAACTTAAAGACAGAAAGGTGGTAACTTTCTTATATTATTATCCTGTGTCATTTAATACCAGATTAGGATATCATCTAAAATATCTGTCACAAGTATGTACTATTGTATGTACTAAAATCATAAGTATGTACTATTGTATGTAACACTAAATTAACTGAATTAAAATAATATTAATATAACCCATTATTCACAATAAAGATGTTTATGACGCAGTAGTTATAAAATAATATTGTAATGTATTCTTTTCCTTAATAAAAGGAAAATTATGTGCATCTCTTTAACAGACACAAGCAGGCTTCAGACTCACAAATTTCATCAATTCATTCTAACTAGCTTGAATTTCAATAACATACATAGGCATAGACAAATTCTGGAAGAATATAATTGTAATAACTCTAATATATATCTGGACTTGAGATTACAGGTTCTTTTTCTTATGTTAATTTGAAATTTCCTTTTTTATGTAATAAATTATCTAAGTTTTATGAAGCAACTACTAACCACTGATTCCTAAACTGAATTTGAGCTCTTCATCATTCTAGAAAAGAGAAACAAAACATAAGAACAAGTGTAAGCCCTTGGTACCTTAAAAAGAGGAAATATAGCTAAAACCGGTTTGGCTCAGTGGATAGAGCGTCGGCCTGAGGACTGAAAGGTCCCAGGTTCGATTCCGGTCAAGGGCATGTACCCTGGTTGCAGGCACATCCCCAGTAGGGGGTGTGTAGGAGGCAGCTGATCAATGTTTCTCTCTCATCAATGTTTCTAACTCTATCCCTCTCTCTTCCTCCCTATAAAAAATGAAAAGAATATATTAAAAAAGGAAATATATTATCAGTAAATTAAAAATATAATTATTAATGAGTCCAATTAAAAAAATGACCATTAAATTTCTCATAAGGTATAAAAGCAATCTTAATAGTGATATCGATATCATTAACTATCAAACTATGTGACCAAGAAAATCTATAGAATAACACACAGTATATTTTATCCTTATTTTCTCTGCAATAGATGAAGGAAAGTATATATTAATAAGAAAGTATAATTCATAACTCAGAACTATCTAATCACTGACCTCACAAAATATAAAAATATTTCACATTTAAATCCCCTCCCCCCTCCAGCTATTTGGCAACTAGCCAGTTATTCTACTTCAGGTCTGCTTAAGGAACAGATGCAACACCAGTTGCCTCTATTTGTATGTTATTAAGCTGCAGGAATGCATTTAAACTGCTTTGAGGATAGCAAATTCATTCTTAAAAATAAACCAACTAAAACACCATTATGCATTATCTATAAATAGAATCCAAAATCCAGGCACATCGTTTTTAAAAAGATCTCTCAGACAGAATGCAAAAATCAAGAAAAGTATTAATGAAATTCTTTTTAAAATATTTTTAATTGATTTCAGAGAGGAAGGAAGAGAGAATAGAAACATCAATGATGAGAGAGAATTAATGATCAGTTGCCCCACACTGGGGATCTAGTCCACAGTCTGGGCATGTGCGCTGACTGGGAATTGAACTGTGACCTCCTGGTTCAAGGCCAATGCTCAACCACTAGGCCACATTGGCCGGCCTAATAATGACATTCTTGATATTTATGCTCAATTTCAAAAGCTTCTTAGAAGCCCAAGTTATCTGTGTTAGAAAATATATTCAGACAGCAGATGATAGGACAAAGATGAAGATTCTGTTTAAAATTTCAACTCTGTTAAGTTATATATATCTATATCTATAAAAGGCTAAGTTGACTCACAAATGCGCAATACATATAAAGCTCTTGCTGGTGCAAATCGCACATGTGTGCTCACATGTGTTTCCAGGATAAATAGCGATATAAAATATTTCTTCTAATTAATTTTCTTTCAATGTGCACGAATTTGTGCACTGGGCCACTAGTGTTTATATATTTTATATTTAATATTCACTTATATGTACAAATACATAACAAAGAAGAAAACTAAAACTACATTATAAAAAGTTTAATTAAAAAAAAAAAAATCTGGTCCTGGCTGGTGTGGCTCAGTTCGTTGGGCATTGTCCTTTGCGTGAAAAAGTTGCCAGTTTGACTCCTGGTCAAGGAACATGCGCAGGTTGCAGGCTCAATCCCCAGTAGGGTGTATGCAAGAAGCAGCAGATGGATGTTTCCCTCTCACATCAATGTGTCTCTCTTTCCCTATCACTTTCTATCTTTCTAGATATCAATGAAAGAAGTTTTAAAACATATTCTGTCTGAGACAATAGTATCCATTACAAAATGAACCCAAGTGAAAAAGTTAATTATAGATATGGAATAAAAAGTAAAATGGTTCTATTATGATATTCAGAATAAATTATTTCTAAGGGCATAAAATTACCAAGACATTATTTTAGACCTGCCATTGATTATATGAAGTAATTTCTTTTTTCAGAAAAATTAACCAGAAGCCAAAACCCATGAGGATAAGAACTTTTGTTCACTGCTATATTTTCAAAGGCTAGAACAATATTTGACAAATACATGGTGAGTGAAAAATGAATAATGTATCTTTTACCATTAAGTAATCATTTTAAGTATTAAGCATTAAGATGATATATTAGGCATATTGAATTCTATTATATAAAAAAGTTCCATGGTCTCAGAATTAAAAATAGTAATTATATGAATTACAACACAAAATAACCCCTCTCACCATAATATCTCTTCCAATAGGCCCTAACCCAAGACAAAATTAAATTCTCAAAAATAATGCCCAAATAGCTTTTTACCAAGAACTCTGTTGTATAAAAGAGAGGTTAAAGGGGGAGAAAGGAGGACCTATGTAATATTTTCAACAATAAAGATTAAAAGAAAAAGAAAAAAGAAATTGAGACATAAAAATGTTTAGAGACATGCTAAAACTCATACTGTTTGAAGATAATGCCTCCTCCACGATTAAATGCTCAAACTAAAATAAACTAAAACTAAAAATGAAAATTTCTTACTTTTAATAAAAGGATTTGGGGGGGGGGGAAAGAGAGAATAAGGGAACGAGATCATATTAATTTCTTATAGTTATTGAAACTATTTTATTATAAATCTAAAGGATGGCAAGCTAACATAAGAGCAAATATCAGAAACTACTCAGATAATCATTTTATACTGAAATGATACACTTTAAGTTACTGGAAAAACATTTAGTCTAAAACAGGCCAAAAACTCATATTATAGCCATCTGTGTTTGTCATTTGAAAGCCAATGATAAAAATGTTAACATATGTATGAACAAAAATTGTTGCAAGATTTACTAGAAAGATATTATGTCCACATACACTTATTTCAAAACTGATTCAGATCTCAAACAAATATCCTGATTAGAACATGAATAAAGAACCAAATATAAATGACTGAAAATGTATTCCTTAAAATCATTATAACTTTATAAGTGGTCATTCTCATATAAAGCACTTCTTTAAAATACTGTATAAAACATGCCAAGTGTTTATAATATCACACAAAAAAACCTTTCTTAAAAAAAACACACACAAAAAAACCCTCACTAGAGAAGATGTTTATTGATTTTAGAGAGAAGAAGAAGAGAAAGAGGAAGAGGCAGAGAGAGAGAAATATCAATGTGAGAAAGAAACATCTATCAGTTGCCTCCTGTACCTGCCCTGATAGGGAATGGAATCCAAAACCTAGGTATGTGCCCTGACAAGGAATTAAACCCATAACCTTTTTATATATAGGACTAGAGACCCAGTGCACTTTTGTGCGGGGAGGAGGGGGGGGCGCGGGGAGGGCGGCGCAGGGGAGGGTCCCCTCAGCCCAGCCTGCACCTCTCTAATCTGGGATATCCTTCTCACAATCCTGGACTACTG